CCATCCCCCAATTCTGATTAATATTGTTATCCTGGCCCATCACAATTAAATTTTTTCAGTTGGAATGTAAGCTCTGCATTTTCATAATGTGTTTCTAATCAATTCTTGCATTAAATTGTACTTTTTTATAAAAGCTTTGCAATAGTTTAAAATCATCCAATTTAAAACTTAAGGTTAACTTTGTACTCCCCCGACTTCAAATTCTGTATGGTTTTCTTATTCATCTTATTTATGTGCATATGTATTATAGAAGGCAATTGTGCTATTGACAGGCAGGAAGAACTAGATCCTGTTTGGTGAGAAACATCATCGTGGATTCTGTCACATAAATGCCCCTTTGTACAAATGTCATAAACAAGCTCTGCATTTTTGCTGGGAGTTGAGTTAGTACAAATGTATGAAGTTATATTTTCTGTACAGTAAAAAAACGTGTAAGCAAACTTGTCACTTTTTCTTCTTAGTTTATTCAATATATGAAAAGCTCAAATATGATTTTATTATTTTTGGATCGTATTTCGATACATACTATTCCTGAATGGGATTTTTTTAGTTTATCAACTGTCAGTTCTAATTATCCCATCAAATGGTAGGGATATAGTAAAGTCTTCGATGGGTTTGTCTGTCTGAAAATAACTCAATAGTGGATGAATTCTCCTCATATCTGGCAAAAAAATGATGAAAAATGGCTGCTTCAAATGATGGGACTTTTAATGTCCAACCAAAGGAATGAGTACTGTTTGAAATGTTGGTTGCTCCATTTTTCTGATTCATGCCTCAGAAAACTAAGAACTCTTCAAAGTGTGGCGATATTTTATTTTATCAATGTATTATTATTCTGATTTGTGCATCAGGAAATGCAAAACAGCTAATGCAAGAATTCGCAATAATTATAAGATCCCACTTCAAAGTATGAGGATGTGATACTGAAATCAAAGCTATTCTTGAGTAGATCATACATATCTTTCTAATTTGTGCCCCTAAAATTCCAAACCTTGACTGATGGGAATTCTGAAATTTTATTGATGTATGCCTTTTTATGTGCAAATCAAAGGGTTTTGAACAGTAGATTGTAAATATTATATTGTGACATATTATTTAGATTCATTAATAATTTATTATGAATAATGTTATCGTCTGGTTCAAAATTAAGTATAATGACATAGGTTTGTTTGCTTATTTTTAGGTAAGTATCCTTGCATTGGCTTCTGTTAGTTAGTAAATCTTGAAAATGCTGATTTCAAGAAAAAAACATTCGGCTGTTCCTCACACAACATTAGATTACATACAGTTCATCAAGAAAACTATCCAGAAAAAACAAGGAAACACACCAACATCTTTTTACTTCTTATTTTGACCAGAAAATGACATGGGCACGTAGGGTGGCAATTTCTAAAAATGTGTATATGGACATAATCCTTAACATGCTTATTTTCTAAAAATAGCAAAATTGTAAAAAAAGATCATACGAACTAAATTAAATAAAAAATAATTACAACTTCAAACACAATCATCTATATTAAAAGAAGTTTGTTTCAGAAAGATGGATACCAGAACTAATGAAAGTAAGAGAGGTTAACAAATTCAGGATATACAAGAAACAGGTGAATTTAAAACACCCTAGATGCACGAGTGAACCGTGCTTTAAGTGCAATGCAGACAAAAGTCAAACTGAAAAACACTTTTTTTATAATGCCCAGCATGTGAGTTCTGCGTAGGATGAAGAAAAGAACACTATGAAACAAGCACAAGCAAATACTATCAACCCAAACTTTACCAATGTAAGATTCAGAATGACCAGTTTATATCCACTGTTCTTTCTCAAGAGTTTGTCTTATCATAAAATAATTGTCTTGTAATGAATAACTTCAGAGAAACCGATGCATCCATCATATTCAAGGTTTTCAGCCTAGGGCTCAATAAATTGTGGACGATTTAAAGCACAAACGTATTGTATCAGACTTTGAGTGTGCCAGGGAACAGAATCTTGTGACAAATAAGAATTAATATAAAGATGCCTAATATTATTAGAAAATTAATTCAAAGGGTGGTAGTGGTTGCAGCACAACAAATAAACAATGTTCAATTGTAATTTTGTATATTATTCTGAAAATCTGAAGAAGAATTTTATAAAACAAAGAAATCTTTCTTATTATTACACAGTGGTCAGGGGATTGGCTTATTTTACAATATTCAAGAATCTAAACTTATATATTTGTAAGAAAATTCTTAATACTAGCATAAGTAAGAACTTCTACTTGACGTTCATTTATTCTTTTCAATTTTGATTTCATTTCATTCGTCTCAGCATAAAACTTCTATTTTACCATCATTCTTTCTTTCACACAGTTATTAGTTCGTAATTAATTGCTTGAAAATTGTCAGTTGAGTATGTTCCTCTTAATCATGGCCTTTGGATGGACGAGTTCATCTTGGAAAGGAATGACTTGTGACTATATAAACTATAGTTAGTATGGTAAGTTTTTTGATTTTCTCATTACTTTTTGTATAATGCATAAGTTAGGACTAACTCATCTAATTGTTCGTTAAAGCACGACTATTACTGCTTTCGAATATTCAATTCTCATTTTGGTAACTAAATTATTTGAAAATGTATTTTTTATTGATAATGAATCTTATATTGAAATCGCAATAAACCATTCTGTTAATTTTAGGTACAGCAGACTGGTACACAATAACGCAACACAATTCTAGAGAATATTTTTTTGTAATAAATGTAAGTATTATGTTACCCTTTGCACTTTGTATTTGTCTGATTTGTAGCTCGACTTTGTGTATTTTAGTGAAACACAAAGTTCAATGTACAATGAAACATCGCACAAATGCCAATAAAGTGAATAAAATAGTGTATTGTTTCCCAAGTTTTGATTTTTTATATGTCATCTCAACTTTTATTCGCAAGATGTTACCATTTTACTCACATTAACGTAATATAATTTAGCAATTGATTATAATATAGTTTAAGCAGCTCATTTTGTCGGGTATATGCAGTATATATTATATGTTGATGTCACCTAATAATAACTTTATTGTACTAAACCATGATATTTCTCTATTCATAGGAAACTGACTACGTTCAAAGATGAGTTAATTGCCATTTCAAATGAAAGATGATCAACGTGGTGTTCATTGCTCAACGACTACGTACTTTCCAGACAATATAAAGTAACATAAATATTACCGCAATAGCGATAGGAAATATCAGATTTACAAGGTATGTATAAAATTATCTCATTTTGTGACATCTTCAGAGCAACATCAGAAAACAAAACAGCCTGTTCTCATTGTTATATTTGTTGCTACCTACCTACCATGGTCCTTTAGTTTTGGATTGTGATTCTGTTCTTTAATGATGGAGAAACACAGGGCGTTGTTTGTTTGTTTGTTTTTGGGTTTGTTTCTTCATGTAATGTTGTGATTTTCAATGATCCTTTAGTTTTTTCTGATTTGGTCTTAGTGTTACAAATTTACAGTGTTTTACAGTTACGCGGATAACAATGAAAGCATAAATCTTTATTAACTGAAATTTCCAAATATTTACTCAGAGAACGCACATCTGGCATTCTTAAAAAAGACGACCAATATTTCTTATGTCACCATCACAAGTGGTGACATCTTGTTATGGTCTTCAACTTTTTGCCAACGGTGTTCGGCTGTTGTCGTTCGGCGTCTGCAACAAATGTCAGGTGGTGACGTTTTGTATGTTAATACCTTGTATCATATTAGTTTACTACCCAATCAGGTGTATTGTTTGCATTTAATTTGTAATAGACCAATTGTATGAATGTAAATCATACAAGGGTAATACCATTGTACTGTTTCACATGATCTGGACGTGATGGTATAAGCATATTACCTTACTCTTTGATTCATTGATGCCATGTGATATCGAATGGAGCTATGAACAGGAAATTAGAAATATGTAGGGTTTCAGTATTCTAGTGTCTTATCCCTTGTTCTTACTTTGTGACATTTATGATCGTTCATTCTCAGATTCATTTCCTCCTCACGAGGTGAAACAACCATTTTGTATGGTTTATGTGATCGTTGGACAATGTTTAATATTATAGATTTGAAGATTGACTCCAATTTTATTTTTTGAGTATTGTTTTTGTTTGTTTTTACAATGCTCCTCATAATGTTCTATGCTTGATAGCACCGGGGGATATCTGTGACCTAAATGGTAGTTTAAGCCATTGATTCCGGTGGTGTCGTTGGCTACTAAGGTACAGAGATCAAATCCAGCTAGAGTTTGCACCTGATTCATGTGAAATAGCAAATTAATCAGATCGCAGAGTTAAGTTTTAACTAAATGATTTTTAGTAGCTAAATCAAACGAATTAATGCGAATTATTGTGTTTTATGGAATGTGGAATATGGGTGTTAGACATCGTGTCGTTATTCGGTTGATCATAATTTTGGATAAATGACAGATCACTCATATGCCTACTGTATATTAGGAGTTTCTCTTTGGTACTTGTGTTAACATATTTATAATCTATGATGTTTAATGATTTAAACGTGGCATGGTATTGTGTTGTTTTATTCTAATAATGATTGTGTCCTAGTAACAATGTTGTGTGTTTTAGTCCCTAAAGATAGAGGGGGTGTTACACATTGTATCGTTATACGTTAGGTCATAATTTTGGATAAAATGACAGATCACTCATAGGCCTACTGTATTTTAGGAGTTTCTCTTTGGTACTTGTGTTTACAGATTTATAATTTATGATGTTTAATGATTTAAATGTCCCATGGTATTGTGTTTTTCTAATAACGATTGTGTTCTTATAACGCTTGTGGTTCCTAAAGATAAAGGAGGGGGTGTTAGACATCGTGTCGATATACGTTAGATCATTATTTTGGATAAAAATTACAGGTTATTCGTATTGTATTTTAGGAGTTTCTCTTTGGTACTTGTGTTTTCATATTTGTAATTTATGATGTTAAATGATCGATATAAATTAACAAACATTGTAAAGTTGTATTTTCACTTTGATTTTATTTCAATATTTCACCACTTTTGACTGTTCACTGAGAACACACCGGGTCATACGACATCTTACAATACACTTATTTCATTACTGTTAGCTTTAATCATGCAAGTATTGTGTAACATATAATATTCCAACTTTTGATGACTAGCACCATGTTGCTTAATTCATATAACAATCGTAACAAGAAATGTGTCCCCAGAAAAGACACTTAATGCATTTAATTCAGATCTACTGAATTCACATGTCTAGAATATCCAGGCATTACTATTTACAGAGTTTTATATGTAAAGTAGTCTCCCATAGTTCAGCATGGTAGTTTATTTTACATATATAACAATGTGAACAATGATAAACGACGAATAAAAATAAAAGTACATTCACTACATTCAATATAGTTTTATAACAGCTTTTCAAAATAGAAAAATAAAGCATCAGTGTACACTGTACAATACTTACACAATATGAAGTGCATACACGTACACATGACAGTAACAATATATATATTTTTGTAATATAACTTTGATGAAAAAATAGAAGATTTCCATGCAATATTTTGTGTGTTATAGTATTGGAACCTGAGGAATAACATTTGGCAAATTACAAATAAGAATGTGCTAAAAAAGCATGGAAACACCACAACATTCAAAAGTTCAAAATAAAGTTTATAGTCTTGTTAAGGAAATAAAAATATGCTTGAATTTCTGTTTTCGATAACAATCTACTACTAGTATGCCTGTTATCATATACTTATATTGGAAATATGGCACACATATATTCTTTTTTACATATAACAATACAAGACAGTAGTACCCCACTAATAATGATAATCAACATATTTTAAATAGGTATATACTTTATCTTTGATAAGCACCAAAAAGTGTTTTTAAAGACACTATGATATTAAATAGTTAATACCACAATTCTTTCCAAAACCACTGTTAAGATTAAATAAAATAATCAGGCTAGCCATATTAAACTCTGCCTCTTGAGCTTTGCTCTTATAGTTCGTCACTGTGTTCAATAAAGATTGTTCTTGCATTAGAATGACGACGTTGTAACAGGTAAAGGAATATTGAGAGTGTCTTGATATGTAGTTTGGACTATGCTAGCCATTGTAACGCTTGGCCCTGCTTGTTGACCCAATGTGGGACATGGTACTGTCAGTGGAACATCCCTACCAGAGGGAATAGCAGGGCCACTAAGTGTTGCCATTGCTGCAGATCCTGCCGCCGCAGATGCCAACATCTTAGCTTCTTTCTTTAATTTTTGTTTTTGATGCACTTTACTATGGCGTTTCTTTTCATCTGAACGAGCGAATTTTCGTCCACATACGTCACATGAGAATGGTTTTTCACCAGTATGTGTTCTAACATGTGTTGTTAAGTGGTCGCTACGGCTGAATGAACGCATACAAATACGACACTGGAAAGGCTTCTGACCAGTGTGGATTCTGATGTGCCGTGTTAGCTCATCACTTCTGGAGAAACGGCGATCACAACCCTCTACGGGACAGCCATATGGTCGCTCGTGTGGTGGGGTCTTGCTAGGTCTATTTGGGTACTTTCTAGGCTTAAGAGGTAACAATTTCAATTGTTGTCCCCCTTGTTGGTAGGTCTGGCCTATTATGTCCATTGCTGTAACTTTAGAATGAGTTGGTAACGATCCAACTGATTGACTGGGTGCTGCAAAGTCTGTAACAGAGCACGTTGTCTGTAAAATGTCTGATGAAGGCTCAGTTTTTATCTGACTTGCGGGAAACTGTGGCATTGATGCAACCTGTTGCAGTGTTGCAAAGTCCTGCATCGAAACAGTTGAGGGAATATTTATCGGCCATTTTTGACTTGTGAATCCACTAGAACTGTCTTTAGAATACGTTAAATCTTCACTAATTTGCACCACTGATTGGGCAAGAGTTTGTGAAAAGTCACTAGGAAAACTTGTGGAAGTCGATGCTTGTTGAGAACAGCTACTATATTGTGGAGGTTGTTTTAGAGCAAAGTTAGGTGCGCTAGTTGAGGCTATGGAACCGATATCAACAAAGCTAGGCTGACGTGAATATGGGGGTGGCGGTGTGGTAGTATAAGTTGTTGTGTCTTGGCTGGTTTCCATACCCTGGCTAAAAGCTGGTTCAGGAGTTGATTGAGCCGAATGTGAAGGCATGCTGGTCCCACTGTACTGTGGTGAAAATGGCCCTTGGCTTGCTGGGGAAGGTGCAGCAGATTGTGGTTGCATAAACTCTTCCTGAGGTGACGGCGAGGGCGAAAAAGTCGATTGAGGGGCCGGTGAGTACGCCTGTTGGGAGGCTGGTGAATATGCTTGTTGCTGTTGATGCGGAGGCGATGATGCAGTTTGCATGGTTGAACCAGACATATCTTGAGTATTTATTGTCTCTTGCTGGTGACCGGTCATCTGGGAAAACATACTATCTGACACTGATGTACCTAGTGAGCTCATCGAGAACTGCCCTTGCATCTCGGAAGGGGCAGATCCCTGAGCAAAGATGCTCAACAGTGGTGTGAAGAGTGGAGTGAATCCCGGGGCATTGGTGTTGCTTCCAGTACTTGTTGGTGTGGCCGTGGTGGTAAACGTACCCTTGTATTGTATACGATGGGTGGTGGCCGCACTCGCTGCGGTGGTTTGCTGGTCCTCGGACTTGCAACCCTCGGACATAACTGATGGGATTGTAAAGCAGGCATCGATCTTTGCTGCAAATACATAAAGATATTTATAAATAAAATGTCGTACAATTATTACTATGAGTCATGTATTCTTATTGTTATTCAAATTATATAATTGATACTACTACTACAAGATAAAAAGTACATGTAAGCAATGGCATTATGATCATTTGAAGATGAAGCATCAGGTGGTTGTTCTTATTAACGCCGATTTTGATATTGATATGTAACCATACCAACCGCGTGCGATGAGTTAATTTCATCCGAGTAACAATATTTTCTAATTGTCCACTATATATGTTTCATTTACTAAATAATTAAGCGTTGTTTCATTTTCTTAAAAAAGTATGATATGATTTATATATAAACTACATTTTGATCAATTTGTCAACATACCTATAATACATCGTTCCTGATGAATAGGAGTTTCCACCGCCATGAGTTTTTTTTAAATTTCCCGCGGAATGTATTTTTATATGAATTGATTGGTTAAGAATATTTGTATTTTCGAAAATCTATGATAACTAACTGCTATCTATAAAGAAGGTCACATTAAAACGTCCTCAAAATGTAATGCCCACTTGATACGAAATAGGCGTGAAGCGATCCACGTATTTCTCTAACTCAGTAGACGGCCTTCGTGTTCCTAACTCGCACGCACGTAATGACTATTGCTTTTATGAATGGCCTTACGTATTTCATGGATCTCAAATTAGATTGCGGGCGTCAGGTTCACTATAGCAATATATACGTAAATCTACTAACGTTACTTATTATTATAATGCGGCGTTCGTTGCTTCTATCTATTGCAATGAATGGATCTGTATCTATATTTAGATGTAGTAATGGTTATTTAATTAGATGTTCCATATTCACCCAATAGAGATAGAGAGATCGTCTGACGTCAATTGATTGCGTAGGCGAATCTAATAGCCATGTACAATGTGGGCGACTGTAGCACATGTTAGAACGATGGTAAACATAACCACGTTTCTTCATCAAATTCACTTTTAAAGATAATAATAATACAACGATATCAAATGAAATATTTATATATTGTGTCGGTAATTTTGTCTGAATTGCGGATCTTTAAAGATTTTATGTGTATTGCTGTAATGGTATGCGGTTGCTATCGATCCATATCAACAATCGATATAAGCATTATGATTCTCAGAGTGCTATTTCAGGACTTGATTCTTTAAGTACCATTTCTGATGTGACAATATAAAAATGCAATGTATCTATAATGAATATATCAACTTACCAGCTATGGGTAATGGGTCGAATATCATACTGTCTGTTGCACTGAAGAAATTGCCAGATTCCGAACTGGTCGTGACGGGTGTATTCAGTTCATCATCTACTGCTAGTCCAAGAATGGCCTGTTGGCTAATATTTTCCAACTCTGCAACAGTAGTATCAGACATTGGTTGTCCAGAATGATATGTATCAAAGCTGACTTGTAAGTCTCCTAAAGCCACTTGGGACAGTGTATCCAAACCGTCCATAATCATTTTCGGCTCTTGGCTGTCTTCCTCCAGTTTATTATGTAGATATTCTTATCCAATATTAATCCACTGTCAGCTATTACTGCTGTTATATAACACTATGACAGCTATCCGTTGTTAAAATCCCGTTGTATCATGGACTCCAGTAATACTCCGTTCTTGAAGCTCTCAAAATCTATGAATGAACTACATCAATATATACTTTAGTTTTATGAATGAACATTCTACGTCAGCTTTCCATATATGGCTCTACGCCTAGCCAATCAGAGCGCTGGAAGTCCCAAATGAGATCGATTGCCAGTGACGTCAGATTGACGTTTACAATAAATAAAAGATTACTATTCTCCACCCAAAAAGTGCATCAAAATCAACATTTTCGTAAGATTTTAGAAATAAAAATTTGGGAATATGTGTAAAATAATTGTGTTTACACGAATATCGAGTTAGTTTTAAGTGTCATCTTCGAAATATGTCGCATTTTGAAGTTTTGTTCTATCGAGTCTATTTACATAGTAGTAAACTGGCATTCATAATTTATTCGATATGTCCGACCTTATAACCCGGAACTTCCATATATGGCATATGCTCTACCGGTCTCAGCATTCCAATACTCTTGACTTTGTGTTTACATTAAGTGGCATGCCCATATATGGGACATGATCTTCCGGGCAGATTCGGCTATGTTCGTAAATTTTACGGAAACTTCCTTATACGGCAACCGGAATGTAACGAATACTTACGAACATCGTACGGTAAATTCCGGTTTAAAGGTCAATATCAAATCGATATAATTTATGTACATGAATAGACAGCTGTATAGCTCGAGTATACTAGTTCATTTCTATTTTTAACTTGGCGATATTGATATATCTGATAAGATCAAATAATGTAAAGCAAATGTGGTCAATTAAACACAGGTTTAAAGGTCGACAGTTAATAAACACACATGTACAACATGACGGTCTATGGAATAGCGTGCAAGCATAAAATCAATGAATTTTCCTGTGTTGTACTTTGTATATACAAGGATAATATTCAAGGCAAATATCATAGCATTATAGCGTTCGTAATGTCATAAGGCTGTAAGGGAGGCTTCCAAAACTGACCTAGTTTTAAGGAATAAGCGTTGATCATTGCCTATCATTTTTTGTGCTCAAACTTAGGCAGATGGCATCAGGAAGTAAGTAGTCACGAAGCATGTTAATACTGCACTATCAATTTAAAATTAACTGATATAATTAAAATTATTAAACTTGTTTAATAGTGTCAATTTTTTCTCGTTTTAAGTTGTACTCTTCTAGCATTGACCATTTGAAAGAGGGAGTAATAACTCAGAGGCCATCAGGATGCTATTCTTGTTTGACCTTCTCCGTAGTCATAACGTTTCTGTACGCAACTCTTGTGTTAATGAGAATTTCATTAAAATAGTGAACAGTTAATATGTGTTGCTACCAGATAGAAAATGAAACTCTCATGTGTTAATGAATTATATACGTCACGTTCCATTGTCATTGCACTCGTCTATATATATAAAAGTATTCAGCAGGGGCGTAGCCAGCTTTCAGTCAGGGGGGTGGTACTATCGCCATTGTGCCATTTTGGCATAACCAAGCCCAAAAATTAAGATTTATCAAATAAAAAGCATTTTAAAGGTCTTTTCTTCTTCTATCTCATGGTCGTTTTATTGGTTAAATGGGGGGATGGGGTTGAACTCCTGGCTACACCTATGTTCAGGTATTTTAGAGATTTGACCACCAGTCCAATTAGAATACTACTCATTAAATATATGCACTATCCATCATACAATCTCTTCATCAGTTTGAACAGTATTATATCGAATTCGAGAAGGTAGATGCGATGAGTATCAGAATGTGTGTTAAACTAAGAATGACGACGAATGTGGTGTTGACAGTAGATAGAAAAATCAGTTGAAACTTTTCCAATGTTGAGATCTCTGTATATTGGTATATGATAATAAATATAAATAATATATTAATGATATGGCTACTTTGAAATGTAACACAGTACAATCAATCCCGTGTTATTTTTACCATTCTAGAATAGTCTAAAACGACGGCTACATGGTGTTTTCATGGTGTTGTTATAGGAGTACCTGCTGGAGGATATGTTGTTTGTGTTTCAGTCAGCGACACCCTCTGTACTAGCATCTAGAACATTCGACTGTTTATCAAGTGCATGAATCATTTGCCTAAAATACAAGGGACTTGGTGTAGCTTGCCAAAAAATATTTTAACTCTTGGCCGTTTACAGCGATTTTACTTATAGAATATACTAGAACATTTTAACTGTTAGCTTTCCAACTTAAGTACACCATTGCTCATCATATGGAATATTTTCCAATCCTACAGGTTTCTTGGATTATATTTTGTTATCAAATATTATTGAAAAAACATTTACCAAATAACTTAATTAACAGCTTGATCAGGAAAACGCTTTTGTTTTTGAACACATTTTCCTTTCTTAGTGAACTAATGAATCGACTGTTTTGGAATATTCTTAAAATAGCGTAGACAAATAAACATACATTTTAGAACAATTGATCAGATATATGAGCAACGGTGAACCTTCGTGATTGTTATTTTTTATAAATATAAGGACATTCATAGATAAGTCAACTTATTAAATATCAAAATGTTTTCTTTATCTGTATAATCAAGTGGACTTTACTCTTGGCTTCACTCATACTTAATACTATAAATGTATTATAAAGTAATGTTCACGTAGGTAGGTTGAACTCTTAATACATAGGGATGAGGGCCTCTCAAATGTCTAAATTGATAGTTAATGATTTTGAAAGGTTCAATTGGACTTTTTAGCCTTGATTTTGTAAGCAAAATATTCATAATTTGGAGAAAAAAAAAATCAAATTTATGCTGTTATATAATTGAATATTTTGTCTAAATCTGATAGGCATTGCCCGCCAGTATTTCAAGACATAGTAGTTTCATGCTTATATTTATTGCCAGTAAATATGTTTTACAGATGTACGTAGCAGCCATTATGATGTAAGAAGCAGTTTTTATGATGCGGGCTGATGAACTAGCGGCGTATCTGAGGGCGTGATACACGAGGATACTGGTGTCACCATGTATCAAAATCGAGATCATCGTTCAATACTGATGTTTAAAACATGAGTAAGTTAACAATGATACAATAATAGCAATTAAATCAAATTATTCTTGTGTAAATAATGACAAAATATTGCAATTATGAAATAATTATGAATTGAATATACAAAAGGCAATATTTAAAATACGATATTGCATAAACTCTTATTGAACTAATTCCAGACGTCATTATTACATCAAAGTGATTTTTTGAAAAAACCTCTAGAACCCAAAATTAAAAATCGTTAAGAATCTAAACTATGGTCACTGCATTCGGCAAAGGCACATGCTTAACCGCCAGTGTTTCGATATATACACTCGAGTAATGTGTTTTTTTGGTGATATTCTAGGTTGTTGCAGCACAGATACATGTACCTCCAGTCATATCTTAAAGACATTGGTGACAGTGTAGACAATATTGGATGACGTTCAAAAGCTCGTGGCATCTCTATCTAAATCTAAACTCATACATGCCTTTTGTATAAAGTAAGTGTTTCTTACTGTGCATTGAAATGCTCTTTATAATAGAGTGTTTTTGCATCGTGGTTATACATGTATGAGTGATATGATAATCTCCATATAGTGTATAGTTAAAACATCTATCTATGTTAATCAGTTTTAATTGCTTAATCTGCCTTCCAGTTTCAAATGATATTTTGCCTTATTATTTTAACAAAAATAGTAATGAATACCTGTTTTATGATATCTTCAGAATATAATATAGAAAATGGATTGAATGATAAAAAAATAAAAGGGTTCATGTAGTGTCCTTAGGTCACCCTTCCCGACGGATGTGAAGTGATATATTACAGTTAATTGTTGCAGTGTTATATTTAACAGTTTAAGTTGTTATTTTCAGAAACTGAGATGAGGTATAACCAGTTGTACGCAGAGGAAAGTAATAGGCTGTCCAAGGTTCTTTGCTTGGAGGTGATTGAAATCATAAAGCTGCATTGTGTGTTAGTACATTAACCGTTACTCAGCCTTGATGTCACTGTTGATGTAAAACTACCGTCATACTGCGAAAATGTACCTAGTTACTTGGCATATGTCATTTATATTCATCAGACACACTGACAGATACAACTAAACAAAGACGTAAGAGAATTGCCATTGAAAAAATGAGTCAGTGTTATGAATATTCCGTACACACTACACAGCAGTTGCTATTGCCACATAACAAAGCAAGACAAGGCACCGGCAGATAAAAGGAGAAATAGGACAAACAGTGTTCATATATTACGTATTTGTGAGCAAATAAGATTGTTAATCTACAAATTGTTTAAATTACAAATGATAGATTGTAAAAGTACAAGACACTATGAGAAATACAAGAGTCTATTAAATTACCACTTGATGCCTCAGATTTTAAGCGTCAGTATGTTCAAACTGTTAATGTCTTAATCATCTCTCTGATAACCAAATGACAACAATTAATTGATTTTAATTCCAAATTGCAAATTACAGCAAACCGGGGAGCAAACAAGATCTGGTTTAAATGACATCACAAACGGAACACAATGTAAATATTTTGTTCTTTTGGGATTTAACTAAAATTAACTAAGTTTGACTTAAATCTTGATAACAGCTTGTTTTCTGCATATTGTTTCTGTATGATATTATCCTACCAATGAGATTAAATATAGTAACATTAATTTAATTCAGCAAATTTGGCATCGATCCTGTGTGCAAGTCGTTTCTTTACCATGAATTATTTGGATGACGTGATACAGACCTATACACATTGCAGAGTGTATTTTCACAAAATATAACATCAAATAATACATTTGATCATTTCTAGTGTCTTATGCTGTTTGCAGGAACTCAATATCTATTGATTTCTAGCCAGCGTATACGCAGGCAACTATATTGGATTAGAAAATGTACTTATTTATGTCTTGGCTGGTAGCTGATCGATTCCTTTACAGACATTGTTATACAGCTTCTGACATTAACTACTTATTTCAATAAATAGAGAGGATCAATTATACAGTAATATATGTTGTTAGTCATTATGATTTTGATACTTCATCTTACACTTATATAATTAAACTGTGTTTCAATTGTTTAATATAGACGTGTATTTTCTAAGTTAAAAGTTAAGTGCCTCATACTGAATTATTGATCACAATTTGACGTCAGTCAGCAACGTCCAATGCTTTAGGATCACCCAGAATGCAATATAACTACGTAGGGACTTCGATTTTCAGCTATTTTTGCATCGTCAATTCTATAATTAGATCAAGAATATCTATATTTGGTTGAATGAAAATCGTTCTGTAAATTGCTCAATTGATTGGATTTCATCTATTATATTGATCTTATTTGCTAAGACTTCCGGAAAATAAATACGTCTTTCGTCAGTATGATAAAATAAACGTCATCTCATATTATACTTGCTTGTAATGAGGTGAACTAATTAAATACCCTAATCCGGTAAATAGTAAGAAAACAATGTCATAGAATTTACACATGGATAAATTGTTCTCAAATGATATATGCATTTTGCATCATATTGACACGTGTGATCACTGATCAGTTGCGGCTTCATGTGTATTTGGATGACAGTACCTCCATGTGTTCCAAAAGTGTTCGGATTAGCAATTAAATACATGGAAAATAAGAAGTCGAGAAAAAGTGTTCACATTGAGAGTTTTCCGGATATGGGAGGTGTTCACATTTCAAGGCTTTTTCATAATATGAATCCATGGAAGATAAACCGAGGAAAGGTGTTCACATTGAGAGGTGTCTGGATTAGAAAGGTGTTTGATATACAGGTTTCACTGAACAAGTGAACATACAATTGTTATACTCAGCTCAGGCTTTTGTATTGTACTCAATACTTTTATCAATGTAAGTCTCATCCGATAGCGTGTCTTATTCTAATAAGATATATCAATGAAACAGACCAACGAAAACAATATTAACGGTTATTGGCCATTGATTGCCTGGATATTCTTTATGATCTGTTGTCCCGCAGCACCAAATACTTGCCATTACAGTTAAGAAATACAAAATGATTGTCATCTGACATCTATTTGTGTCTACCATATCTATTTACTCGTCGGTGTACAACTGTCAGTGTAATGCCATCTATCTTTTTCTTTCGCTCAAATAAGAAATTCATAATAACTGAATAAACCGGCATGCAACTTTAGAATTAGAATTGATATGAACTTATCAATGATCCCATAGTTTCTGCGTGGACTCAAAACTTGAACAATGATTCATATTATAGTTGTCAATAATTTTCGTCTCACGGCAGATTTAAAAAGAAGTATACTTGTAAATTGCACAAGGTGTAAAAACACCAGCCCCAACCAATGAGGTACCTCATACATTTGACTTTTATTGTCTAAATCTATGCATTAAAATATAGTTTTTGAATCAATAAAGATCAACTAATTACGGTTCCGAGAGAAACAGCCAGGTCATTTTGACTTCCGTTTGTTTAGTTGATGGCATTTGCTTGTGCTATCATAGCAATCCTTAATATTTCTGAGCATTCAGAATATAAATTTTTGTTCAGTCTCTGTTTGTGTCTATTGCACATATCACAAGTCCTTTCATCAAGTTGTGTTTTAGACTTTGTGGATATTCCTTTTCTCATTTTAGTGACAGGGTTCCAAACTTCAAAGGAACTAGAAGGGAATCATTTTGCAATATTTTGCTCGGCAATACCTTATGTATTTGATCGCTAAAGGGGTTTGTAAGAAAAATATTGACATGTTGCTTCAAACTTTTTTCACTCTGTATCCCTTCTTATTCCTTTAATGTCGAAAATGTGATTCTTTGATAGACCTTTTGGACTTTCTAATGCTATGTAATTATTTATTTACCTTGATGTTAAAAATATTTTGTTGATAATGATTTGATGACATGAAATACCAGTTTCTCTTTTGTCATTGTCAGCCAGGTCATAAAATGGTTCAATCAATCTCTTTTATCCTAGTATTATTTTAGGATTGGTATTTTGTCGCTCATTCGCTTGCAGTCTTACTATTTTGGGATATATACAGGGTGTTCCAAAAGTAACAGGACTGGTGCTGGTATTTTGTTTAATATGCACCAATCATCTTCAAAATTTTACATGATGTACTTTTATGCATGGTAACTTAAACTGCAAAGTTTCGTCCAAAATTATGAAACTCTGTTAGAGTTATGGTTGCTATGGTAACGTGACATCACAATACCCGGGGCAACATTCCAAACAGAGAGTTACTGAGACTTTAAGCGTTTTGTACACCCCATATCAAAGTTAAAATCCAACAACTGGCGGGAATTACATTTGCTAAATACATCATTTGATATTCCTATGTATCCTCTACTTTGAAAAGTAGGCTCCTCTTTGGTCAGTCCAAGAGTTACGTACTCTGTATCCATGACTCAAACACATAAGTGAACCCATTTTAGGACATGTCATGCAGGGTCCATTGGACAACTTGGAGGCGGTCATTCTTATCTTTAAAGGTCTTACCGAGCTGTTTAACATTCCATACATTCCATTCTTAATATAAGTAAAAATTAGATATTGCATGATCAGAAGAATATGGTACATTGTCTTAGACCTCATGACCTAGCTCCTCTATAGCTGCAGTGGTTTAATGCTGACTTACAGGCAAGAACGTTATCAAGGTGGATAACTGGCTTCAAATGGGGTCTTTTCAAAAGCTCAACCATGAATTGTGCTGTCTGTCATACATAGTGTTATTCCAGTGAATTGAATAAATATTATTATTATGAAATCATACTTGAATCTGAGTTGTATAGCAACACCATTACTACAAAGCAACTAATAAAACAAACAAGAAATGCTGTATTGTAATAGGTGAATTAAATCTTTCTTCAGTAAAACCAAAATGATAGATATTAAATTTTCATGAAAAAGTTGCCCCGGGTATTGTGATGTCATGTTACTATAGCAACCATAACTCTACCTGCGTTTAATCATTTTTTCTGAAACTTTAGAATTCTAGTTGCACTACTTCAAAGTACAATTTGTAAAAATTTGAACACGCTCGGTTCAGAATTGACAAAATGCCAACACCAGTCCTGTTACTTTTGGAACACCCTGTAGGGTCTACTTTTCTTATGACAGATTTACCCTTATAGTTTGCTTTTCTTGTTTGGTTTCTTTAAAGTTTTTGGTCACCCTTCCCTTTGGCATTTGCGCTTATGAATTCAAGGTTTGGCCTTTATGTTCTAGTTAGTACTATATGTAGTATTGGGATTCATGTGATTTAGTCATTTGTCTGTTATGCTAAAGGTACTAGGATGGATGCATTAGTTACTTTTTAAAAATATAAAGAACTGCACAATTCAAATTTGATGAGGTTAGGGTATCATGAAATGTTCTTTCCAAGAGAATTAATAAATCGGCGGTAAGTTTAACTTGCATTAGGAGAGGGGGTATTAGACATTGTTTTCACGTATCTAAATATGAAACAGAACTTCAAATTGAGTATACATATTGCAGTAAGATTATTTTATTATACATTTCAAAACAAACTAACAGATATGTTACTGATCAGCTGGTATATTCTGTATTCATCATCAGATAAAAATGAGTCATTGAAACATTTGAATATCATCGCAGTTACATCATGTTTCATCTTGTCAAGATAACACAATCTCTTGATGTTGTATTATTAATGGAACGTCAATCTATGTCACTTCACATACTTATACATTCAAAATTTATTGTTAGTTTTCGAAGTCCAGATTCACAGCCCTGTGGTACACTGGCTCCATAAAATATTGCGTCTCTACCAGATGAAGGAATTGTACATGTAGACACTCCAGTGCCTAAAGCACAATAGTCAGATAGCGTGACCAATGCGTCCTGCGCACTACAGCCTTCTTGTATTGTGGTGCATGATTCATCGGTAGATGTTCCATATGCAACATATACAACGCCAATAGCGGTGCCTTCTGGACAAGTCATTACTGCTTCCTCGTCTCCACATTGCATAACTGGAAAAATAATTACGATATTGTTAACAAGATTCTTACGAGCATTTTGTATTGAATGTTCCCATTAAAGAGTATCCGGTCTGATTCGAGAGAGATGCTTCGGAAAATGGAATAGTACTGTAGTATTAAATTGACAAATGCAGATCAGATAAACTTTGATTCTATAAAACAACATTATTCATTATCTCGCACACCTGTCAAGGAACAGAGAGGCAAAATTCCCTTAATTCCCCAGAATACATAATAATAGCAATCTGGCACTAATACATACATGTATACAGTTTGGCTTAATTATTCAGCACATTTTGTGCATTCTGTCATTTTGCCCTTCGTACAAAAATGGTAAAATGTTATCATATTACTCACTTGGACATGGCTGGGTATTACATGGGAATGTATCAGTGTCTATAAGCCCATTGCTGCATATTGCACCATTTACGAGTGGTGTGGGACAATCACAACGTCTAGTCAATGTCAAATTGCCGCCTCCACAATCAGCGGTGCATGTTCCAACTTCAGGTAAACAGTATCCACCGTTAACTGCAATAAACGTGTTGACAAATAAGATGCTATTTCGTACTAATTATATTAGACGTTCACCCTATAAGAACGATTTAAATTCCATGAAACAAATACAGTTTAGACTAATATACTTTAACTAACATGATACATTAGTCATAACTGTAAAGCAAACGTGGGTATAGGACATGACAGTGGTCAGGCGTATGGTTTTTGCTATTTTTACTGAGTAAATCTACTTTTCATTGAATTTTTCAACATACCAACTAATGGATTGAAGCAAGTAAAATATTGAATATACTTTCACTTACTGCTTTCACACTGAGCACCAAAGAAGCGTTCCCCAAACTGATTTAGGTAACATTGACAAATAGGTGTATCGTCAATTACGACACATACCCCCTGGTTGTCGACACACTCGAAATCAGTACACAAATCTGCAAATACAACATAAATGTACCAGCTGTTTTACCGTGATAGACTGTAAGATAATATATCTTGTGATAGACTGTGGCATAACTTTATTTATTTAAGACTGTGGCACAACATTATTCATGGTTGCTTTATTCGTGATTGACGATGGTAAAACTTTGTGATATGCTGTGACATCTTTATTATGCTAGACTGTGACATATCCCTTAGATGTGATATAACGTGACACAACTTTATTTATTAAAGACTGTGACACAGTTTTTTAGATATACTGTGACTTATACCCCTTTGTGATAGACTGTGACAAACTAAATTTATACTGTGACACATATTTATTTGTGATAGACAGTGACACAAATATATGTATGAAATACTGTGGCAAAACTTCATCTGTGATAGATTGTGACACAATTTAATCTGAGATATTCTGTGACACATATTTATATGTGATAGACTGTATGAAATACTGTGGCAAAACTTCATCTGTGATACACTGTGACACAATCTAATTTGAGATATACCGTGACACATATTTATTTGTGATAGACTGTATGAAAGACTGTGGCAAAACTTCATCTGTGATACACTGTGACACAATCTAATTTGAGATATACCGTGACACATATTTATTTGTGATAGACTGTATGAAAGACTGTGGCAAAACTTCATCTGTGATACACTGTGACACAATCTAATTTGAGATATACCGTGACACATATTTATTTGTGATAGACTGTGACACAATTATATGTATGAAAGACTGTGGCAAAACTTCATATGTGATACACTGTGGCACAATCTAATTTGAGATATACCGTGACACATATTTATTTGTGATAGATTGTGACACAAGTATATGACATGAAAGACTGTGGCAAAACTTCATCTGTGATGTACTGTGACACAATTTAATCTGAGATATACTGTGACACATATTTATTTGTGATATTCTTTGACACAACTATATTTATGATAGAACGTGACACAACTTCATATGTGATAGACTTTATTTGTGTTAGACTGTGATAGACTTTATTTGTGTTAGACTGTGATACTACTTTATTTGTGTTAGACTGTGGCACTACTTTATTTGTGATGATAACTTTATTTATGATACACCAAAATACAACTTTATGTATGATAGACTGTGGCAAAACATGACTTTAGATAGATTGTGTCATGACAAATAATTAACTTATTAGTTATTTTGTGATATACTGTGACTAAACGTTAAACTTGCTTACTTGTTGAACAATCTTTGCCGGAGAATGGAGAGATGCATTCACACACAAAGTCTGGTTCACCTGTCACCGGATCAAGAACATCAACACACTGTGCATCATTTTTGCATGGGGCCGAGCTACATGCTGATATGTCTGTAAAGGTTGAAGAACATTTACAGCAACTCTCATTCATCATCTGGTTTTAATATTTTTCGTTGATTAATTGTTGATTTAGTTTCATGCGTCCTGTTTGCTCTTCAACTAATATCACCTAATGTTTAAACAAAAACCTTTTTGATGATTATGATTATATACATATAGAACACCTTACATAATACATAATACTTACCGAATTCGCAATTTACTCCAGTGTAACCAGGTAAACAGTCACATGTAAATGAGGTACCATCCTGCACACATACCCCTCCATTAAGACATGGGTTTTCCAAACATGCTGGATAACATAATTTGCACATATTGTGGAGAGTTTCTTTTTCTTGAATTTGTAGTCATCAATATTAACGTAAACCTTTCAAAGGACGATTCTCGGTTTGGAGAACAGTCTCCTGGGCTAATAATTTTTTTCATGAAAAATATAGAAATATTACCCAAATTAAACTATGAATATTCAAAAGAAGACATTTAAATCTACAAGATGTAAAGATAACAAATTGGTCTGAAGCAGGGATAATGCTCAAAAAGACCGATTCAATATAAATACAAGTCTCGATTTGGGGAAAGAAGTTCATCAGTGTACTGCGCTAATATTTTTTTGCGAAAAATCTAGAAATATTACCCAAATTAAATTATGACTATTCAAAAGAAGACATTCAAATCTTTATTATGTAAAAAAATCAAATTTGTCCGAAGCAGGGATAATGCTCATTTAGATTGATGAACTTCGTTCTCCAAACCGAGAATCGTCCTTTACAAATAAATAAATAGTACATGTCGCAATGACTTTTAGGTACACTTACGTTGACATGCTATGTCGCAAGGTTCATTTTTCGATGCCACTCCAACACAAGATAGTCCTGGGGCAACTGTTTGTGGGCAGGTACAAGTCCTCACAAACATGTTTTCTGATCCATCCACACATGGATCACAAGATACCGCTGGTATCCAATCACACCACCCGCCGTTTGCTAGAAATTCAATTAAATGTTAAAATAACGGCAAAAGGCAAAATGAATTATTGTATTGTATCTTGTTAATTATTTGTTGAGACCAGTAATAGACAAGTCACTAACCAATGTGTTTTCCCTTGTCATAATTACTTCATGTATATAAATATGAAACAGCGAAACTATATCCAGATATCCAGAAGTGTTTCTGATTTTAACATACTTCCTTCGCACTGGTCTCCTGGAGAGTCTTCTGGACATATGCAAGAATAACCACCCTCTATATTTACGCAAGTTCCTCCATTTTGACAAGGCATAGATGCACACTTATCCTCAGCTAAAAAGAATATGTGGCTATAATAGGGCTTTGTGAATATGACCGAGAAACCACATTAAACCAAGTGAAAGTGGTAAACTCTACTTCATTAACTGCTTGCATGCATAGTCATGTTTAGACATATTAAAACAAAACAAAAACGTTCAAAAAGGGTAATGAGATTTATAAGATTTTTTCAATTTTAACAACAGCAGTTGGAATTATCAGATTATCAAATACCCCCACAAATTTGTACAGTTTAATTTTTATATTCCACTAGAAAACATTGTGATAAATTCAAATTTTCTTTATTTCAATTTTATTTTCATGCAATACTATACATGGTATACTATACATACCAATGCATGTTCCATTTATGGCTAATATAAACCCATATGGACACATACATCCCCGCACACCATTATTTATACCACATATCTCGTCGCTTCTACATGCCCATTCTTCAGTCGTTATAATGTCTGCTCCCTCACACGTATGCCTGAGTGAACAATCACTCTCAAACCATGTAGATCCCCTCTGAAAATTTGATAATTATAACTGATAAATAATGAAATTGTTTTAGTGAGTAAGATAGATGGCATTGTCACTATGTGATTGTGAGATAGCGCAAGTTTGCAAAAGCATTAAAGACACTCCGACAATATTTGATAATTACAAAACTAGAGACGCATTGCCAATTAGCAATATAAAGTAATAGCTAAATAGTTAATATTTATATTTATCCAACCCGCGCATTTCTCATTACCTTATAACAATTAATTGGGGTCTGTTATGTTTTCATAACGTCACATACATGATTCATATATATAATAGTGTTATTCACTCTTTGAAAAAACTATGATTACATGTATTATACTTTTCATAAGCAATAGTTTGACTCATCTTGTGTTATTGTCGGTGCTAATAAGGTAAATGATGTTATAATACGTATTTCTATTGTATATAATGTATCATGTATGACTCCTGATTGAGTAATGACTTCATTGATAAAGGGGTGTTATAACCACTGGTACTCACCTAGTTACGCTGACGATACGTCAGCGTAACAAGATGGAAGAACTTCCGGGCTTCGGTGTCGGTAAGATATTTTTATTTCTCGATTCTACACCACTTATAAGTCAAGTTGTGGACAATAATTTTGCTCAAAGTTAAGGAAGATGGTCTAGTTTGAGAATATGCAGGCGGTTCTATGTTTGGTATATTAACGAAGACGCAATTCACATATTTAGTCCCTCGTTTTTGTTACGTTGACGATATTCATGATTATTGTCCATAACTTGACTTATAAGTGGTGTAGAATCGAGAAATAAAAATATCTTTCAACGTATTAAAATGGTAAGAAAGATCAGTATGTATGATTTTTGTCAGAAATACAGGGTATTGTTTTTTGTTCTGTTTAATATGTCATGGCATTAATCGCCCAGGCTCAGAAGAATATACTAGTATGCAGTTTTAGCAAAATGCTCGTCACTTAAGTATAATATTGATTTAGCTAACTTACTGTTCTAAAATATCCATTACTATCTACACAGCCACATCCAAATGGATCAGGAACACACTGAGTTCCTGACAAAATGAAATTTGGAGGGCAAAAGCAGCCTTCCACTGGTGGGTCTGTGCATGTGTCTTCAGCATTTGGATCGACACATGTGTTCGGGCATGCTGATCCCATCTCATTGTATTCACTTGGAAATGGACACATGGGGGTTGCTAAAATATGCCAGTATATGGATTCAATAAAATAAAATGGGGTTCGATATGTTGAAGAAATATACACACTACACACAATACTGAGCTTTCTAGTGTGCCATGAAGATCTTAAATCAATACAAATGACTGGAATTTGATGCTCATCTCTGTCCCAAAATATCTTTATACTTATGTCAACGACATAGAATGAGAGTGCACTAATTTTGGCATTCTAGACCTCCATACTTTACTAATATGATTAATTAATAATCACAACATATTGTTTTAATAGAATGTATTCAATTATTTAACTAAAAGAAGTTTTAAAAATGCTAGACTCACGACACTCTGTTTCATTTCTCCATGCCACAATAGGCCCTGACGTCACTGCACAACTTGCTGCAAAATCCTCCAGAATTTCGCAATACCTCGATTGATCCGCACACATGTCTGCCTGACAAGATTCGATTACATTCTGCCGAGCTGCTTCGGAAAGTTCACTTATACATGGTCCAAAGACACCATTTAAATCACCGAGAATACTACATTTCTCCTTGACAGTCTCGTAGTCAACACATGTCGGCAGATCTGCCATTTGCGGTGAGCATGCGCACCTAGAATGTCATTTGAAATACTTTAGCAGTAGGCTTGGGAGATTTACAAGTCTTGTATCATAATTTCATTATTTGGATTTGAGCTACAGTTGTTCAAAATGAAATCATTTAGAGCATCGGGGCAACTCACTCTGACAAGCTGTTGACTTGGTAACTGTTTCCAATTTGCGTTCCTGGGTTGTTTGTACCAGTTACATCCATTCCATTTCTTAGCCGCATGTCATCTGATGGATTTCCGTTGAAGTTCTGGCATATTCCCTCCACTTTATTTTTCCATGTTTCTGAAGGGACAGAGTTATATTAGGAGCGACAACTATGTATTAGAGATCTACTAGAGATCTCCGAGATCAAGCAAGATATCCTGTTAGTTGACCCTTAAATGGATGAAAACTTGAAAAGTACACAATGAGAAAATCTCAATTACAATGCAACGGCTAGACATGTTATCGTCAAAGTGTAACAGAACCACATACCACTTAGAATAACAATAACTCGTGAGGAACCATCCCACTTAACGGTCAATTTGAGAGGCAGGATTTCGACGAGTACAAACAAACCGCTCATAGAAATCTTAATATCTCCATTTTGAATTTCTGTACCAGGAGTGACGTTTTCACCATTCACCTGAAATGAATGCTACGGGATATATCATCAAACCAGTATGATACAATTACAACAATTTCATTTTCTTTTATCGAAACGTATGAATTAATCGTGTTGTTTATCCTTTGCTATACTGACTTGTGCTGGAAGCGGATAAGTAATCATTCTCTGGTGTATTTACCACTTTGTTCAAAGGCTAGGAACGAGTATTAATAACTTAAGACATTTTAGACATGCTTTCCAGATTTCCAATTTTCTTGATGTTTGACCGTTCACATCTTTGTTTCTTGTAGTTGTGTGGACATAATAGAGCAGTACATAGGTGATCCAGAAAAATGGAATCCGTTGTTTAAACGTGATACATTTCTTTTTTATTAAAAAATGATGAAACACAAACCTGGACGTTAAACCCTCCTTCAGTGGGTCCCTCAAATGAGTTTTCAATGTCTCCCGGAGTTGCAAGTGCTCCTTGTAAGAGTTCAATGACATCACCGTTATAAACGATTTCCACATCACGAGTCCAAGATCCGATATTTTGTCCATTCCAATGTACATTTTGTACATAGATTTGCCAGAATGGATTTCCTAGATTAGGTAGTGACCCGACCAGGAGGTATTTACAAGCGCATTGGAAATGTATTGGAATCCCGTCAAACGTCCAGTAATGAGGATCACCACTTGCTCGACATACTCCGAACGCTGATAAAAATCAAATGTGTGAGAGAATGCACTATTTTAAGCCTGAATTAAGCATAATAATGACATGAGATTTGTGACTACTCTGACATGTGTACCAAAACATTGATCTGAAAAAGTCACTGTCGTGTTAACAGTATTAAAATACCGTACCCATCGGGAAAGTTGGTGGTTCATCGTCGTAAGTACCATCTGGTAAGCACATCAGTGCACTTGGCCCAAGTAGTTGAAAGCCTTCTTGTGGTGCAAATACAGTCATCCCACCACAGAAATTATCTGCGCTGACAATCAATCCATTTGGAGGAGGATCGAGTGGATGACATGGCTTTCCTAAATAAAAATCCAAGTTTGCGTGAGCCATTCTACGAGTGTATTAAACTTTATTAGTGAAAACATTACCGATTTCCGTAAATTTATACATACGTTCGCACGTGGGCACATCGTTACTCCATGATCCATCTGCAAGACAGGTTAATCGGCTCAACTGCTCATCAAATGAATCGTATGGCAACCGGAAACATTCATCGCACCTATACACGAGTACTGTGCCAGTAGGGTAGGGTGGTCCTGGGTTAGACTGCTCCACTAAACTCCCATTGGTTGGCGGAGAATTCATAGGAGCATCGCAGGAAACTTCAAACAAAATGTTTTATCAATATGCTACTTAAAAACGATGTGTATCTCACAAAATTATATAATTCAAATTTGATGATCAGTCTTTTTGTTTATGTTGAATTAAATTGTGTTGCATCTGTCCCTCATTTAATTAGCATAACCGTAAATTAGCAGTAAATTGCTGCTGAAAAATATGTGATCTCAACTTTTTTACGTTTAACTTACCCTGGCACACCGGGACTTCACCATTCCATTCAGCGGATCCATTTCCGTTTGCAACACACGACAATGCGCTTACACCGATCAAGTTAAATCCCTCTTCGCATGAGAACTGAACTTCAGCTACACCGCATTCTGTTTCATTAGATGATATGAAGCCATTCACTGGTGCAGTCAGACCAAGACAATGCATCACTAGAAATATATGATTTCATTATCAAATTACTGATTATTATCCACTGACATATTTTATTGTTCTCAATGATTTTATAGATATATTGTGTAAAATGATCAAGGGGATATGCAAATAAGTTTAAAGATGTTGGTTATCATGTTATTGGCAATGTTTGATATTGTTCTTGGATTACAAGTTCAAGCAAAACTTGAATCCAGATTAGTTGGTATCTTGTGTATTTTAATGGTTACTATTGGATTATTTATGACTGAATATTATTCTTAAGAATTTATACGGAATTTAACGCATTAAAGTATAATAAAAAACAGCAATTTTTTTAATTTATTTATTTGCCGTCACTTTCAAAACACTGGAAATGGAATGTTATTTCATTTTGATAGAATAAATGATAAAAAGCCTAACGGGATTGAATGATTCATCAATGAGCAGATGCTGCTAAATATTTTATTTGAACCTACCCTGGCACTGTGGTGCTTGTGTTAGCCATCCGCTATCGGCGCAATGTCTTGGGTTTTCTCCAACGAGTTTGTAGCACTCGTCACAACCATAAATTGTCTCTTCACCACAATAATAAGCACTATCGATCAGGAGTCCATTGTTTGGAGGTGTTGGCATATCACACATCTTTCCTTAAAATGAACGAGCAATGCACTGTTAATGTAAGAGGTCAAACCGATCAGACATGCTAGTTGCCCTAGTTTTTCAAATGTGGCGCCGTTTCAGAGTCTAGTCATGTGGTTTTTGGTCTTGAAGAAGCTCTATGAATCATGTTTTGATGTTCCGAATTGGAGTCTTCTTAATACTTATTACAATTGTTAAGCTTTCTTGTCAAGAGAAAGGAGTGATTTTCTTAAAATCTTCATCTGATCAGTATTTGTTTCTTAAACCAAACGTATATTGATCTATAATACCGTGTTATTTTAGAAACGATAAGAACCTTACGTTAGCACTAGTTGAATCTCAATTCTACAAACTAGAACATTTATTAGTTAAACCTTTTACTCTATCCATTGATGCAAATTTAATCCCAGCCCTAAATTAATGTGGTATTGTTTTTACTCACTTTCACAAGCGGGTACGTGACTGTCCCAAGTTCCATTAGATTGGCATAAAATATCGTCGTCTCTTATATTTAATTGATTCATCTCTATCTGATAACATGTATCACATTGGTACGTTATCATATCCCCGGGTTCGTATGGAGCCAAATCAGTTTCGTCAGTCTTTCTCGACCCATTTTCTGGTGCGATTGGCATTGGTTCTGGACATTCAATTTCTAAAATAGAAAGACATTAAAGTAAACTGTAATCTGTGATTCAAATTGTTACAGGTTAATGGACGTCATGAACGCTAACTAATGGTATTATTAAGTCACATTGATATGTCACATTGATGTGTCCTACTTTGACAGAACGGAAGAGATCCATCCCATTCTCCATTTGTGCCCCCGTTGTCTGTACAGTAAATGATGCTTTCTCCAATCAACTTATAACCAGGATCACAAGACAGTTCTATATATGATCCACATTCTGTTCCTCCGACGATCAAACCATTTGCAAGAGGACCCATCGCATCACACGTAAGAACTATAAAATGAGTTCATTAAATGAACAATACAGTGTGTTCTCTTTTATTTTGAATCTTATTGAGTTGGACTTGGAAATTTTATGTTTTTGAATTTAACAAGCGGCGAAGTTTGGTATGGTCAAAATTAGAAATTTATTGTGACGGAACGTGGCGTCTGGGCCGAGCGGAAACCCGATGTCACTAAAAACTCTCACGTGGTATGAGAGCCGGCGGGGAACGTCTGTTGGTGAAAGGATTTTGTTGTGTTGATTTTTATTATGTCGTGCCACTGATATAACATGCATAAAATAACAGAATGACAAGGGAAATACAAAATGAATAACTTTAATAAATGTGAAATGAATGAGTCAATTTAGAGGGATGTGTAAATGAAATTAATTATGATGAAGATTCTGGCCAATATCTATTTATACACCCTAGCTCCTTTGGTGATGGCTCATGAGCAAAATGAATTGAGCAATCGGTACATTTAGCTCCAATCAATTTCGGCTCGGGAGGAAAATACAATACTCAAATAGCTTGGCAAAACTTCATACACAAAATGGAGCCGTCAAAATGCTCCTTATCAACGACTCAATATAAAGCAGGAGCAACTCAATGGGCTCCGGAGCAAAATGTAATGCTCTCAATAATCAGGGAGTCTCTAAACAAAGCATAAAGTTTCAATAGGCTCCGGAGGAAAATGCAAGACTCCGAATAAATAGCTGAACAAGTGGGAGCAACTCAACGGGCTCCAGAGCAAAGTGCAATGCTCCAAAATCAGTAGCTAAACAAGCTTGTAAGCAAAACAGGAGCTTTGAGAGCAATTAAGTAACTATTGCATATGAATTACTACTACCTTGGTTATACCAATTAAGTCACATAGCAATAGTCTTACACTACCTTGCCTCTTTGGAATAACTCTTTGCTCCACACAAGTGAAATCAGCTCTGGAGCAAAACGTAAGGAGCAGTTTTGGTAAGAGCAATTTGTTACAGATATGGCCAATCTTTATGGTTGTGAATGAAATTGAAATAATTGACAAGTTGACAGAAATACTGAGAATAAAAGATAAGAAAATAATGAATGTGTGAACTGTTAAAGTGATAGATCCACGGGGAATAAAGGATTAGAAATAACAAATGGCAGGTGGAATGTAAAAGATTGAATGAAGGAAAGGATATGAATTTGAACTTATTTCCCTTATCACTCTTGGATTGCAAAGTGGAATTAAAACGGTTATGTAAACTAGATTCTCTCACTCTGACTTCACTTTACAGATCTAACAGAATAGTGAATTTAAAGAACAAATAACAAGACTTTATTATAATTACCGTATGCAGAATACATGTTCACAACAGCACTGAACGACTTTCAGTATGACAACGCATCTCCGTGTAACGCAAAATATATCCAGTTCAAGTTCGTTATAAATCCATAATATAACACCATCAATAGCACAAATATCTGACGTTACTCAATACAGCAATATAAATCCACAATCTGTTACGAATCTGTTATAAATCCAAATGATACAATTTTGTTATAATTCCAAAATGCGATCGCAGCTCCCTACTCTTCAACGATTCAAAACTAGACTGAACATTACCTTAACGATCGTGAGAACGCTAAGATTTCGGAACATCTCTTTCCATATAAGGAAATGCTACTATGACAACGAATCTGAATGCTTGCTACAATGTCAAAATATCTGTCACATCAAAGACTTAATAAACCTACAGCGAGCTGTCAATCAATTTGCTACATGAGAAAGTTTTTGAAAGTGACGGCAAAATGCCGTAGGAAACATAAATCTCCACTGAAATTGCATGTTTTCAAATTACGATATCTCCTAAAGTATGAGATCAAATTCAAAGTTTAATACACCGTTTGAAAGCTCAATTCACCCTTAATTTAAGAAATAATTATTATAATTTATGGACAAATACTCTTCTCTATATTTAATGAGAAAGAACATGAGTAAATAAGAACTGAAATCATGTGTGCCAGGCGGCCGAGAATTAAATAAACTCACACGTTTACACTAGTTATTTAAACCAATCTTACTCAAAAACTAGGAGACATTTTTGCATAACATTAAAGCTACAATGCTGGCAAAAGACTGTTCTTTTTAACCATATATAAAACATAATTTGATCTTAATCAGAAAAGCATGAAAATAAAACTTGAAAATAAATAAGAAAAATGCGCTCCCGCTACACACCCCCCAACTTAGAAACATGTACGCCCTCGTACATACACAGAAAAATAGAAGAAGCGGAAAGCATTTTTCTAAAATAACTCAGTTTAGAGAACATCTTATAAAACCATGAGATAAAATGAAATAGTTAACCTATAATTTATTAAGTGTCTCTAAACAATGTTGCACAGTCAAGTGTCCTCCATCTGCTGCATGGGATATGAACTCATAAACTGCTTTACTCCTACTCAGGTCACTTGTAAGTCCATAATCCGTTATTGGTTCTTGAAAACAGTGTACTCTGATAATCCCATAACTGTTATAAATAAACTAGTTAAACTGGTATATCAGTCCCTGTTCATTGTTCTCTGGACACTGGTATAAAAGTCTCTTGTCATGGTGGCTTGTAATGACGACTTCACCTAGGAGTATATGGTCGCCAACATCTCATCTTGTTGTTGGGTCTTTGGGATCCCCTGGAAAAAATCCTCCTGTTCAAAATTGAACCGGAGTCATCATCACACATTGGTTTATTATCAGTGATGGAACAAACATTATTTACATAGCTCGGAGTTCTTTGCAAATGCAATGTTTCTCCATGAGACTTAGGAGCATTTAACAATCTATTTATCGGAGGACAATCATTACTACAGTTGGACAAACATTTATCAATTTCTCCTCCAGATGTGGAAGGAGGTACAATAGTGTCCAACTTTGTCTCTTTTGTTACTTCTTCCTTTTTAATCAAGGAAGGTGGCACAGTAATTTGCTCCTCTGTTCTGCCGAAAAGCTCTAATAAAGGAAACTCCGGGAGCTTCTCATGAGCTAATACTTCGGTTTCAAGTTTACACATTTCCCAGGAGGAAGGGAGCTCACCCTCATATCGTCTCAACTGGTCAACATGAATGACCTTGGGTTTACCTCCTTTGGGATTAACAATTTTACATGTCAAATCAGATGTTACATGGACCACTTTCCATGGCCCAGTCCATCGACTCTTGGACTTATGAGTGCTGTCTTTCATACTTTGGTTATTCTTAAACCATACAGCATCTCCAGCTTCATATAATTTACTTGCAACATGCTCATTAGAATTGTGCTGTCGCTGAGGATTTTTCCTTGCAGCACAAGTACTACAGGCTCTACAAAATGCACGAGCATCAGCATGTTGCCTATGCCAATAAAATCTGGCTCTAGTTTTCTGGTAAGTCTTGTTTACTCCAAAATGTCCTGAGCAGACATTGGTGTGGGAGTACTTTAACACAGTCTCCTTCATAGGCCTTGGAGTGATGATTTGAAGGGTACATGAAGTTCCTTCATCATTCTCCCAAGAACGACATAAGACACCATTCTCAATGGTTAACCTATTCCATTGGGTCCAGTAAGTTTTCGTTATCTCAGACTTACAACTGATTTCTTTCCAATGTGGTCTGTGTCTTGAGTGGTTCAAGGCATGCCATATCGGACTGATGTGAGGATCTTCACGTTGAGCCTCACTTATAGTTTTTAGTGTCCATTGCGGGACCTCATTATGTTCACCGTTTAGCTTCCCGGAGGAGGTTTTCAATCCACAGCTGGATTTCTTGTCATTAAGACTCTTAAGCAGAGTGGGAGCTTTGTGACTCCTCACATTTGGCTCATCTACTGATATCTCATAAATTTCCCCACTTACATTTCCATTGGAGGAATTCAGTAACAATTCTCTATTGTGGTAATTAATATTGACTCCTTGTTTAGACAAGATGTCACAACCCAAAATGTTGAACCCACTGAGCTGAGCAACAATTATCTGGGCCTCACAAGTAGTACCACAGAGATCAACAGAGCATTCTATTGCTCCAAATATCTTAAGATGGGAGCCATCCGCCTGTTTAAATATTTTATTCACTTTACATAATTCAGGCTGATTTTCTGAGGGTATTTTCTGGTAATCAGCAATGTCAATCATAGTTCTGACTGCCCCTGTGTCTACTAGAAAATTCATAGGGTAGCCACATATCTCAGCAGTAGTAATTATTCTCTTCTCTTGATTTGAACTATCTACATTCTCAAAACTAATAGGAGCAACAGTAGTTTTCTTATCTCTATCCCTTGACTGTGAAGTCTTGGGAAAGGTACACTCATTACTGTAATGCCCTAATTTGTCACAATTATAACAGGTTATCTCAGACCTAGGCTTTCTTGAGGACCTTTTCTTTACCAGAACAGTTAACAGAGCCTCCAGCCTGTCAAATAGCTTGTACAGTGCATCATTACTGACGAGATTACCATCGTTAGCACTGCTCTCAATATCAACTGCACCTATGTTATCTGATAATAACGTAGGTTTTTGACCCTTACGAATTCGTTCAGATTCAAGGTAAGACTCTTGTTTGAGAGCAATAGAAATAGCTACATCTAGTGTATCAGGCTCTCCCGTATTAACCACATCTCGAATCTGATCATCAAGCAATGCTTGTTGAAAGCGAGTGCGAGCAAATCTGTCTTGAGCTTCTCTGGACAGTTCAGGAAATGCCAGAGCTGCCAAGCGTCGAATGTCTTGGCCTAGTTTTTGCAGTGGCTCCTTTGGCCTCTGCTGTCTACTATGAAACTGAGCTTCATACAATTTGGCCTTGCCTTCAGGCCCAAATCGTTTATCAAGTGCACTCACTAATTGCTCATATGTATAGCCAGGTTGCAATTCATTCAAAATCTCCAAGGCCTGCCCCTTCAAACTGGATGCCAGAAAATCATTTCTATCATTTATGCTCCAGTTATTTGAGCGAGCACACACTTCAAAATGCCTTTTATAGTCTTGCCATGGACTTGTACCGTCATACTTATCAGGTTTTATTTTCACAGATTTGTTACTAGATTGGTTATCATTTTTCAATGATCCAATAACTTCTCTTACAACCTGTAATACAGGGGTCATATCAACATCAGGTGACAGTGAAGTAGTACCTGTCACATTTACTGTCTGCTGTGTCTGTGAAATGTTTTCTCTATGTGGAGAACTATTCAACAGATCACAATTCGGTACGTGCTCTAACACAATATCTCGTGAGGGAGAACAACTAAGTAAATTCCTCTTATTCCCGCCATACTGAGGAGCACTGGGATGATGTGAATCTTCCCTGCTTACTGAGAGGAATTTGTTTGGAGCCTCATTTATATGATCAGTATTCATGGCTCCTTTGCTAAATTTTATATCTGTTACATTTCGAGCCATCTCTGTATTTGACACCTTCATTTCGGGTATCTGGCTCTTTTCACTAGCCTGTTCATCCAGGTCTGAAACAATACCAGGTAAAGACGGAGGATCACCTCCCATCTCTGGTGAACTGTGATTAATTGCTCTCTGTCTTTTAAGAGCACGTGACTTCTTATGAGGAGGACTTTTCGTCTGCTCTAATAATGGAGCTAACTCCTCCCTCTCAACACATGCATCTCCTCCTTTAACAACATCTTGAGGAGTTCTGAACCTGACTTTCTCAAGTTCATTTATCAAGGAGCGATTTTCATTAATCAACTCCTGTGTCTCACGCTTACAAAGAGAAATTTCTTTTTCCATCGTGGCTTTGTGAGCAGACAAACTCTGTTCCAATGAGGAAACTGCCTGTGTAACTTCAGATTTCAGAATTAAGCTCATGTTAGATACAATTTGTATCAAATCTGATTTCATGGAGCCCATCTTAGATTTCATGATATCCACTGTATTGCCAATTAAGTCAATGTTGCTCCAAAGATGACTAATTTGGTCACTAATGGCACTGGTTCTGTCTGTCTCTGAGGTTGGCACAACAGTGGAAGAGCGAGGAGCCAGTTTGCAGTCCTCTCTTTTCTGTGTACCTTGTATAAAACTCAAACCAGTGTCAGACACATGAGACCAATATCCAGTGGATTTTGCCTTCATTTCAAGGCTAGAATCAGTCTTGGGTGTGCTCATAGCAGCATAACCCCTCTTGAAATATACAGTGGGCTCTTGGCTCGACTGAGCACTTGTACCGCACTTTGTCAGATCTATTAAATCATCTGAGTCTTTACTCGACTCCATAGTGCCCTTTACATGCACAAATCTGACTTTCAATTATCAATAAGCACACAAAATGAGCAATTAAGTTGCCTTCGATGAGGAATTATACTACTTTGCTCTTTTTGTTACTACAAACTCAGGAGCAAAATGTCACTTTTGCGTACGAATTATGCTACCTTGGTTAAACCAATTAAGACACGTTTGCAAAAGAATTTACACTTCAATGCACTCTTAAACTGTGCCAATTCTACAGTTCCAAATTTAGTTATATAACTCAGTATAACTATCAACTGCTCTTCAGCCAACTCCTCTCAAAGAACAATACGAATCAAATAGAGCGATCAGGCTAACAATTGCTCACAACAGTGTTATATCTATCTGCCTCACTCAAAAAAATGCACGGAAAAACGTCAATTTCAAAACTTGTTCTTTTTCTCAATATTCAACTTGAGTGGCTCCGGAGCAGTTCTATCACATTAATCAATACAGGCTTTCACTGTCAACTTTTATAAAGATAAGACAGTTACTAGCACATGAGACATGAGGACTACCCTCGGGTCATTAATCATAGCATGAGGACTACCCTCGGTTCATAAAACATACAGATTGAGGACTACCCTCGGTTCAAAGAGCAAATCATGAGGAATACCCTTGGCTCATAAAGCATATACAGTGAGGTCTACCCTCGCTTCACACAATAAAGTCTGAGGACTACCCTCGGTTCATAAATTCACTATATAGCAACTAAATAGAGCACTTCAATTAGTGGCTCATATAAAGTCACGCTATATCTATTCAATGGAGCACTTCTTTCCACAATGAGAGCAATTAAGTCCCTATTGCATATGAATTACACTACCTTGGTTGTACCAATTAAGTCACATAGCAATAGCCTTACACTACCTTGCCTCTTTGGAATGAACTATCTGCTCCGCACAAGTGAGTCTAGTGATGAAAGTTTACACATATAAAAAAATCAAGACAAGCAAGCCTTTAACACCGCGAGATTCACTTACTAAATAATCATAATCCCACCGCTGCCACCAATGTGACGGAACGTGGCGTCTGGGCCGAGCGGAAACCCGATGTCACTAAAAACTCTCACGTGGTATGAGAGCCGGCGGGGAACGTCTGTTGGTGAAAGGATTTTGTTGTGTTGATTTTTATTATGTCATGCCACTGATATAACATGCATAAAATAACAGAATGACAAGGGAAATACAAAATGAATAACTTTAATAAATGTGAAATGAATGAGTCAATTTAGAGGGATGTGTAAATGAAATTAATTATGATGAAGATTCTGGCCAATATCTATTTATACACCCTAGCTCCTTTGGTGATGGCTCATGAGCAAAATGAATTGAGCAATCGGTACATTTAGCTCCAATCAATTTCGGCTCGGGAGGAAAATACAATACTCAAATAGCTTGGCAAAACTTCATACACAAAATGGAGCCGTCAAAATGCTCCTTATCAACGACTCAATATAAAGCAGGAGCAACTCAATGGGCTCCGGAGCAAAATGTAATGCTCTCAATAATCAGGGAGTCTCTAAACAAAGCATAAAGTTTCAATAGGCTCCGGAGGAAAATGCAAGACTCCGAATAAATAGCTGAACAAGTGGGAGCAACTCAACGGGCTCCAGAGCAAAGTGCAATGCTCCAAAATCAGTAGCTAAACAAGCTTGTAAGCAAAACAGGAGCTTTGAGAGCAATTAAGTAACTATTGCATATGAATTACTACTACCTTGGTTATACCAATTAAGTCACATAGCAATAGTCTTACACTACCTTGCCTCTTTGGAATAACTCTTTGCTCCACACAAGTGAAATCAGCTCTGGAGCAAAACGTAAGGAGCAGTTTTGGTAAGAGCAATTTGTTACAGATATGGCCAATCTTTATGGTTGTGAATGAAATTGAAATAATTGACAAGTTGACAGAAATACTGAGAATAAAAGATAAGAAAATAATGAATGTGTGAACTGTTAAAGTGATAGATCCACGGGGAATAAAGGATTAGAAATAACAAATGGCAGGTGGAATGTAAAAGATTGAATGAAGGAAAGGATATGAATTTGAACTTATTTCCCTTATCACTCTTGGATTGCAAAGTGGAATTAAAACGGTTATGTAAACTAGATTCTCTCACTCTGACTTCACTTTACAGATCTAACAGAATAGTGAATTTAAAGAACAAATAACAAGACTTTATTATAATTACCGTATGCAGAATACATGTTCACAACAGCACTGAACGACTTTCAGTATGACAACGCATCTCCGTGTAACGCAAAATATATCCAGTTCAAGTTCGTTATAAATCCATAATATAACACCATCAATAGCACAAATATCTGACGTTACTCAATACAGCAATATAAATCCACAATCTGTTACGAATCTGTTATAAATCCAAATGATACAATTTTGTTATAATTCCAAAATGCGATCGCAGCTCCCTACTCTTCAACGATTCAAAACTAGACTGAACATTACCTTAACGATCGTGAGAACGCTAAGATTTCGGAACATCTCTTTCCATATAAGGAAATGCTACTATGACAACGAATCTGAATGCTTGCTACAATGTCAAAATATCTGTCACATCAAAGACTTAATAAACCTACAGCGAGCTGTCAATCAATTTGCTACATGAGAAAGTTTTTGAAAGTGACGGCAAAATGCCGTAGGAAACATAAATCTCCACTGAAATTGCATGTTTTCAAATTACGATATCTCCTAAAGTATGAGATCAAATTCAAAGTTTAATACACCGTTTGAAAGCTCAATTCACCCTTAATTTAAGAAATAATTATTATAATTTATGGACAAATACTCTTCTCTATATTTAATGAGAAAGAACATGAGTAAATAAGAACTGAAATCATGTGTGCCAGGCGGCCGAGAATTAAATAAACTCACACGTTTACACTAGTTATTTAAACCAATCTTACTCAAAAACTAGGAGACATTTTTGCATAACATTAAAGCTACAATGCTGGCAAAAGACTGTTCTTTTTAACCATATATAAAACATAATTTGATCTTAATCAGAAAAGCATGAAAATAAAACTTGAAAATAAATAAGAAAAATGCGCTCCCGCTACATTATGTTTCTGAATTTAACAAGCGGTGGACTTTGGTATGGTCAATATTAGAAGCACTTATTTCATACCTTCGCATGTTGGAATGTCAATTGGTGACCATCCAGAATCTGTGCATTGCCTTACATCACTTGCAGAAAGTCTGTAGCATACATTACAGGTATAGGTAACATTGTCTCCACACAATACGTCATCTATTGTGCTAACTAATCCATTCGATGGATTTATTGGTGACGGTGTACACATTTTCCCTACAAATAGAGAGTAATTTCCTTCTTATTGTATAGAATCCACATGCTGTTTCCTTAGACATTATATTATAAGAAAAGTGAATAACAGTCTTTCTAATTTTATATCCGAATTCTCACGCTATTACTTACTGTGACAATCTGGAACAGTATTACTCCAAGTTCCACCAAGTTCACATTCTATATCTGGGTCTTTGTTTCCAAGGGGATCCACTCTGGTGATCTCGTAACATGTATCACACGTGTATGTTATTTTTTCTCCTGGTTCATATGGCGGGTCATCTGTATTGGGGTCATCAAATCCACCATTTGGTGGTAGGGGTGGCATAGGTATTGGACATGTTTTAACTGGAATTCGAACATTATCTTTACTTTGTACATGTTATATACTTAATATAAGTAAGTAGTGTAGAACAGTGCAATTATGAAAATGCTATTTACATTTCATAGTATTCTCCGATTCTATATATTCTTAAAACAGTTGATTCAAATGCTCATTATCCCAAGATCCGTGCTGAGCTTACCTTCGCATGTCGTTGGTACCCCTGACCACTGCATTGCTGTGCCGGTGTCTTGGCAAACCCTTGTTTCACTACCTTCTAACTCATATCCAAAATTGCATTCAAACGTAACAATCCCCTCGCATTCTGTATTTTGGAACACGATTCTACCGTTGACAGGTGCTTGAAGTTCCGTGCACGTTTGTACTGAAATCATGATTGAGATAATTTCTACGTTTAAATGAAGTGTTTTGTTTCTCATTTGAAGTGAGCCTCCTGAGATAATTAATCAGCATGGATGATATATGATTTCACCTAATATCTCCCTCATTAAAATACGTTTCACGGATTGCATAATTTGTCTTAATTGTATTTCACATTTTGTATTTTTGTATTTTGCTAGACTAACATTGACACGTTGGCTCATTTAGAGGCGACCAAGTTCCATCTTGTTGACAGGTTCTAGTTGGTTGTCCTTGTAATCGGTAACAACTATCACACATGTATGTAGTTGTTGCGTTACATGCAGTAGCTACGCCATCAATCCCACCATTAAGAGGCGCTTGTGGAGGCGGCATGCAATTAATTGCTTTAAACACAAGTAATAATTTGAACATTAGAATATGAAATATAAAATGCTGAAATCAAATATTGAAATCGTGTATAATGTATGTTCAGATATTCATCATAACCTTCATATTTTGTTAGACTTATAATCTAGTTAAATTTTAGAACGCATTAGGACAACATTAAACATTTTACGTTCACAAGAGGGCGGTTGACCATCCCACTGTCCATTGTTCTGACACATAATGTCATCATCGCGTATTCCATGAGAATCTTTTGCAATTTTGAAACAGTCATCACATCCATATTTGATTGTGTTTCCTGAAATGGGATAGGGCCATTTAGCCATCAAACATTGTAGATTTTATAAGAGTTGATATGGATTGACAGAGAGCTTTCGATAAAAGTTGTTTCGAAAACGTATACGTAAACTTGTACTTTAAAGGGTCTTGTCACACGTAAATCAATTTGAAATTGATTTTGATGAATTGTACCCAGTTGCCAAAAATATCTGGTGTATCTTTGTAATCTGTACATTATCAACTTAATATCTAGCTCTTGTGGGGCGGTGTTCTACAAAAAAGACCGGGGGGGGAGATTTCCCAAAGATGACCTTTCGTATTGGCACGTTCGAAAACAAATTTTATTAACAGGCCTCATTTGCCATTGAAATGGATCTCCAAATGTTCGCTGTAGTTGTATGAGTATTCTCTACAAGTATGGATCGAGTAACTTCAATAGTATTACCGTAGGTTTGAAATGATTATGTTGAACTGATGTTAACGCCACATGATTTCAAATTTAACTTTGCGCATGCGCAGCACTGAGCGAGCACTTGCGCATGATTGTTCTTGTGATCACATCCTGCAATTTGATTGGAGATGATGTGGGAGATGATGTGATGGGGAATCCCCGAATACGATAGAATATGAAAGAATTGTGGGAGCTACTCACTTCTTCTGAAAAAATACCGTTTAACGTGGTTCATCATACAACGAATGAATTATTGGGGGATTATTTCAGAGTTCTTATACAGTTTAAGTTGATAAAAATTTTAAATTGATAAGCTGAATCTGTAAAGTATCCAATCAAATACTTTGACGATCATTTTGATTCACTAATCAAGCCAATCCAGTATTTGTACGGTTTCATATGTTCATCTCCAAAGTCAGTTTGAGATAATATAGACATATAATGTATATGTCATATAGGAATTCCTATTTCATTTAAAACCAAGAGATCTCAGACATGTGATGATAAATACAGTTTAAAAGTTACAAATGGTTTACATTTGAACGTTATACATTGTATTACTAGCCTTCGTTATGTAACACCTTGTATTTTCATTTAGAAGTACGTACAAGTTGTCCAAGTAACTTATATTGAAAGCTCTCTACTATCATACATAAAACCACCGTGCGCTCTAACATTTTCAAGAAATCAAGCACAGTTACAAAATTAATGTGAATCGCTTCAGTTGCCAATTTAATCAGGCTGATTAACAATATCTTATGTTCGTGTCCGTCAACTTATTACTGGTTTACGTAGAACGACCTGAAATGGCATTATGCATACAAATACGTCATTGTATGCGTTTATTTTAGAGACGAAGGACTTCAATAACATTAAACATACCTGGGATATACGGAACATCGTCAGATGATTCATCCTTGAAGCCATTTTCTGGTGCTGATGGCATAGGTTCCATACACTGTATGACTATTAATAATAAATAAAGATATATAATGGGTTCTGAGTCAACCTTTGCTATTTATCATTTGTATAACTATTGCTTGACGTATTCACAGTATTATGGCAACACAATTAACAACAATAAAGGTTCCGTTTTACAATACATCTGTTTGATATAGCTTATAGTAGAAACGTACGGTCACATGTCAGTGGCGTTCCGCTCCATGCTGCATATGTTCCATATGGCATACACGTGACCTGTGAGTCTCCACCGGATGGAGCATAACCTGCCGCACATTGGAAATTGACAGTGCTTTGGCAATTGTTGCTGTCTTCTATTCGAATAACTCCTTCTCCCAGGGTCATTTCCTCACATTGTAGAACTAGAATGAAATGAAATGCAAATCTCAATTAATGTGATAATGAGAAAGACATGTCTCTTGCAATATGCTTGATACAAGGGAACATTTCGTTGATTGGATCTTGTCATCAGGTCACGAGCCCGATTAAAAGGTTAGTCATCAAAAGGTTGCATTAAAATAGCACCTCAGAAATTAGCAAATGCATCTCGACTTTGTCACTCTTGTAACCATTGTTAAATAGCTTTTTAACCCATACATACTTACTTTCACAAGTGGGAACATCATCATCCCATCCTGAGTTGGTACACACTATATTATTGTCTCTTTCCCCAGATTCTCTTTCTGCAATTATGTAGCATTCATCACAGGTAAACGTAACAGTGTCACCAGGAGAATGTTGATTGCTAGCATCAGGATCATCACTTAGTGTAGCATCAAACCCTCCATTGGTTGGTGGCATCGGTATATCGCACCTTGCTGAAAAATATGATCATTTTTTTGTCATTTGTGTTTAATAGCGTTGTTTCATGACAATTGTCATATTTGTTAACACACGAGATCATTTATGATCTATCCTTTCGATTTTATTCTTTCTTCATATATTTGTATTTATTTATTAAAATAGCTTTTCTCCTTCGCCAGTTCTTGAATTATCTTATATTTGCCTATTATGTAGCTATGTTGGGGTGCATTTGTTCTAAGATATTTGTAATTATTGTTCCTTAAATCGGAATGGAATAAGTATACATACGTCCACATGTTAACGGCATGTTATCCCATTCAGCGTCGTCTTCACCTATCTGAACACAGTTTATACTTTTAACTCCAGGTCCTTCTTCACCAAATCCCGGGTCACAGCTAAATACAACTGCTGGGTCGTTGCAGTTGTTGTTACCAGTTGCTGGTTGTCTCGTGCCATTGTTTGGGGGTGGCATCACCATACAGCTCATAACTAAAGGAACCATATATATACAACGTATATAGCTTCCTTACTACGTATATATTCATGATATATTTACTTCAAATGTTTTAAACACTGTGTACTTTTGAATTTAGTTTAGGTTAACAAAACAAGATAATTCATACGTTGGCAAGTCGGCACTGGTCTGTTCCAGTTTCCATCGTCACCACATACAGCGGAATCTGAATCTGCGCCATATTCACTCCTATCGATCTTGTAACAATCATTGCATCTGGAAGGAATTTGAAACACTAATTATGACACAAATGTGAACTGTATTCATATCAAGGTCTAATTCAAGTAATCCCCAAGTTCTCAACTTTGAATTCATTTTAATGTTCTATCTACTTCTGTTCAGCATATGTAGTAATGACTTTAAAATAAATGAAATACCCCATAGGGGTTGATGGTTTGTGACTGATTACGGTCCCATGGATTACTATGTTCCGGTTCTTGTCCGTATATCTATTTTTATTACTTTTTTAGAGGTTGAAGAGGACGTAATGCAAAAATGTATTTCAGCGACATACTTGTAATACACAATATCTCCTTGAATATATTCCAGGTATGAAGTACTAGTGTAATTACTGGGGATCGCACTTATTTCCTCATCAATTCCCCCATTTTCTGGTCCCATTCGGAATCTGCATGTTTCTAAAATTATTACATGTTTTAATCAGCCTGTTACACAAAAACACGTTTTAATAACCTGTCCCAGGGAATCTTGGCTTTGGATTATGGAAATGGTTTTTAAGGGAGGAGACATTAGGGAGGTTAAGCTACACGATTTCAAAAGAACCTGTACGTGAACGCGTAGAATTATGGACATCTGAAGCTACATTTTCCCCTATGTAGTACTCATTTGCCCGCTTGAGTATATAGGTATAAGGGAAAATAGTTGGGTTTAGGTCCTTAGAAAAAATTGAGAGGGGGACAATTATCCCTGGGGTCATAATATTACACATTCGCGTATAGTTTATCTTGAAATCGTGTAGTTTAACCTCCCTACCTGGTCTTGGATTGTGACATCGGTTCTTGAATGGTTTGGGGAAAGGGGGTATTAGACAATCACGTTAGATCATGGTTTTGGGATATATGGGGTTTGTTTTTCTTGACTGGTATGCAGTTAGAGTTTTCTTTTTCTTGCTAAGTTCCATTACAACTTTTGGTCCTTTCACCTTGGCACTTGTGCTTAGATATTTATGTACGTAAGATCATTTCTTAGGTGCTAAGGGTTGTTTCCTTGTCATGACTGGTTGTACTATTTACCATACATTTCCAAATTTTTCTTCAATTTCATCTCCACATATTAACTCGATACGACCAAAATGCCTTCACTACTCGCTGTAAATCACATCTAGACGTATTCTTATCTACTTACTTTTGCAGGTTAATGGAGTTCCATTCCAAAACGCACCAGTGTTGTCATTGTTGTTTACACATGTTATACTTGCATTCCCACCAGATGGAATATACCCAGCTTTACAATAAAAGCTTACAGTTGTTTGGCAATCGTTGCTTTCACCAACTCTAATAACTCCATCTCCGAGGGAAAGTGCCTCACATTGGAGAGCTGCAAGGTATCCAACCATTTAACTTTGCATATCCATTATATCCGTGCCGTTTCAAAGGAGGGCGTTGGTAGTACGTTAGACTAACCGATGGCTTAAAAGATTGACATACACACGAATGGAATCAAATGATTAACACGTAAATGGAAAAATGTTTGGCTTACGTTCACATGTTGGAGTAGGATCATCCCACTGGCCAGACACACAAACTGCATCGTTATCCTGGACGCCTTCTTGGTTTTCTTTTATCTTGAAACAGTCATTGCAAGTATAGTAAACTACGTCACCGTCGTTGTAATAATCCCCTTCTGGTTGGGCGCTGTTTTCTTGATCGATTGCACCGTTAACTGGTTCCATGCGTGCATTACACATGGCTGTAATATGTATGAATGAACCAAATATTGTAGTCATCAAAAGGGAGATAAAATATATTATCCCAACTGTCTCAAAATGTGGAGATGATAATTTTTAGTTCCAATAACTTGACAGAATTAGGATGGAGAATAGTTGTAAGCACACTAACTTGTAAGCACACCCTATAGCTATTTTCACTTTGCATCATATTATTAATGAAATATTACAAATAAAGTATAGTATAAAAATTACATACGCCCGCATGTTAATGGGTCACCAGTCCAATCAGCTCCTCCACCTCCGATGTCCACACATTCTATTTGAGTTATGCCAGTTCCTTCTTCTTCATAACCTGTACTACAACCATATACTACAGGTGGATCACCGCACAAGTTGTTCCCTGTTTCCGGTTCCCGTGTTCCATGTTCTGGAGCTAGTATGGATATGCAGCTCATACCTAAAACGTATTTTCCCGTTTTAACATTGTTAACTATACTTTTGCCAATTTGGTTGGCAAATGTAGTTTCATTTTTATTTCTCCCAGGGGTTTTCTCATTAATTTGATATCGAATACGTTCTTACGTTGACACTGTGGAACCTGTGCACTCCAAGTACCGTCATCCAAGCAAATAGCGGTGTTGAGCATTGGTCCAGTTTCACCCATACCGATCTTGTAGCATGTTTCACATCTGAATATATAAATGAATAACTTTGTAAAATCGCTAAAACTGAAAGTTGTAAAACTTAAATCAACCTGAAATCACTTAGTATTGTATATTCGAACGATGGGATTTGGTTTGTAAATATGTCTGGACTTTTTCACAATTCTAATATTACCGCAAATTCGTTAATACAATTGTTATAAGATAAACTTCAATACATCAACATGCTCATTTGTTCAGATTTGTCCTTTTTGGTATTCATATGCAAAACTGCTGGTTTTGTTGTATGTTTGATTGATTCCAAATAGTCTAGAGCCTGTACAACAGGTTGAGTATTATTTAAATCAAATGCTGTACCCGAAGACTACAACATCTCCTGGGATGTACTCATCATTTTCTGGTATTGCACTGACATCATCATCAATGAATCCGTTGTCGGGTGGCATGCGATAAGGACATTTCTCTGAAACGACAAGATATGTTTTGCCATCATTTAGTCATCAGTGAACCACTTAGCTACGTAGATTGTCCTATCACATCAGTTTAATCAGCTGATCATCTCGCTGGTGATAAATCAGATGATAAAATATTTAACTTACTTTTACAAGTTAATGGACTTCCATTCCATGAAGCAGTGTTTCCCATTGGGACGCAAGTAATAGATTCATCACCACCAGCTGGTATGTATCCAGCTTCACATTCAAAGCTTACAGTTGCCAGACAATCATTACTGCCCTCAAGTTTGACAACTCCATCACCAAGCATTGGCTCCATGCATTGAAGTACTGAAACACAAAGCATCACACATAATTGAGGTTGATGGCGATTGAGAGTGTTTTTGAGAATGACGATGAATTCACGTTTAAAAAGTGCCTACAAATATTACATGTTCATATATTAAATGATATTTACATTCGCATGTAGGCACGGGGTCATCCCATCCTGACGTTGTACACACAGCATCGTTGTCACGTATGCCATCTATATTTTCTTGTATTCTGTAGCAAGTATCACATGCAAATACAACTCTATCACCAGGGTAGTGTTGTCCATTGCTGTCAGGGTCATCGCTTGAAATAGCTATAGTACCATTCAAAGGAGGCATTCGAACTTCGCATCTTTCTGGAAAACAATTGTGATTTCGTGTATTAGTGTTTATTTCGGCATTTCAGTATATGGCTCATATTTAACATTAAACGTGAAATGAACATTACATATGTTTCTATTACGTGTATGCTTTGAGCAACTATTTACCACTGCATGTGATAGGCTGGTCACTCCAAGCTGCCCCTCCTTCGACTGGAACACAGCTTATTTCCGTTGAACCAGGACCATCTTGTCCGTAACCTTCATCACAACTAAACGTCAACGGCCCATCATTACAATTGTTGTTGCCTTCTGATGGCGTCATCATGCCATTTTCTGGTGCCGACATCGACATACAACTCAAACCTACATAATTTGAAAAACCCGATGGTATTGTCAATTAGAATGTGAAACTACATGTCGGAATTTCCATTCAGTTTTTGTCAATGATAAAAGCACAATTCCGACAGTACTCTGTTCTCAAAATATGCATTACCATCATAGCCAAAGAATATCAATAAACGGAATGCCCAAAATGTAATCGGTAATAACAGTTTCTCTCTATTTGGTTGATTAACGAAAATACTGAAACTGATATACGTCCAGTATGAGTTGAATTAACGTTTTGAGGGAGGTGTTTGCTATTTCTTTGTTTTGCTGTTTAAAGTTCCCACCCAAAGCAATTTGGCATACTTAATTCCCATCGTGAAACTACTTACGTTCGCATGTAGGAACTGGTGTACTCCAAGTTCCATTATCTCTACATATGGACGAGTAGTGAGGCAGTTGATCTCCAGATTGTCCCATTAGCCCAAAGCACTCATCACAACTAATATTAAAATTTTATAAAACATTAAAATTAGAAAGACAGTAATTAGATAGTAATCACAAACTGTGAAATAAAGTATAGCGGCCATTAGCCAGACATCTCAAACAAATTGCTAACTAGTTTTGGGGTAATATGTTTTGTATTAGTACTGTACCGAGTTATCATGTTGATAAACTTCATTTTTGATGCACACAAACCAAACAACTATTTTTAGAGATACCTGTAGTAAACCACGCTTCCTCTTGCATATTCATTGTTGTCATCTGTTGGAGGACTTGCAGGATCAATAGCTCCGTTATCAGGTGGCATGCGGTATGGACATTTTGCTAATCGTGCAAACGGTAAATGACATATGTAAACTGACATATATTACATTATTATAAACCAAAGAATATTTTGATGTCACTGACAAAGTATTTAAATTTCTGAATTTAGTTAAATGCCATAACATAGTACTTACGTTCAATACATTCCGGTGTCGGTCCACTCCAAGTACCATCTTCACGACATGTAGCACTTGAAGGTCCTTCCAAGAAATATGGTGCCACGCACTCGAATTGTACAGTCATACCACAGTTGTTCGTCCCACTTACAATTCCATTCTGTACTTGCAGCGGAACACAGGTTATAACTGGAAAACCCAAACACCATACATCAATTGCATATTCTATTGGTTGGTTTTAAATTAGTATTCTTTGAATATACACTTATCTTTAACTCATGCTTTGTAGTTTTACCTTCGCATGTTGGAATTATTTCCGGTGCCCACTGTCCGTTAGGTCCACAGGAACGTGTTGTAGATGATGATGGTGTCAGTTCATAGCAGTTGTCACAAGAATACGTCACGTTCGTTCCACATGTGTTTTCATCGGTAGATGCACTCCCAAATAAAGGTGGGGTTGGCTTTGGGTTACATGTTCTCCCTTAAAACAAATGTTCCAGAATTATTTCGAAAAGCTTACATGTTCAAGGGACAAATAAACATAGGTGTGTAAAATACACTCACTTATGCAAGTTGGTTCTTCACTTGTCCATGTACCATCTGGTTGGCAAATTCTAGATGCTGCACCGGATAGCTGGTCGCAGGAATCCAGACAGCTGTATGTTACAGTTGTGCCACATGTATTGCTTGTCGAATCTACTGTTCCCCCAACTGGTGCACTTGGTGTGCCTTCACATGTTTTAGCTGCAAATGCAAATAGGTATATTTTAGCCTCCTCTAATAAAATACGAGCAGTTATAACTAACCACATATTGCATTTGGAAACATACTTGTATATTAGCATTCCTAGCTACTATGTTACTTACGTTCACATTCTGGTGGCGTTGGATTGTCCCATTTACCAGTTTCTAAACAAATTCTATCAGGATCTCTGATTCCCGAATCATCTTCCATAATATTGTTGCATCCTCTACATTTGAACATAATTGTGTCACCGGGTCCGTATGTACTCGTTGATGGATCTATCGGGGAACTATTTTCTGTATCTTTTTCAACATTTGGATCTGTTGGCATCATATTGATACATCTCGCTTAAAAGTATTATATACAATCAAATGTTAATACAATATATTACAAAACGTGTTCATATGAAAATATAACTCGCAATATATTGCATTGCATGAAAAATGAAACTTAATGTATCAATATGGGACATAGAACGCAGCATACGCATCTCCCACTTACGGTATTCATACCCGTACGCAATCTACCAAAAACAATCTAAGTATGTGAAACAAATTACTACTGGCAACCTTTGCATGCTGGTGGCGACGTGTTCCATACAGCCGATCCATTTACGAAGATGCATCGGATTGCTGATGGTCCATCAATGTAATAACCACTATCGCAAGTCACTGTCCTTTCGACTCCACATTCTAACCCAGGGGACAGATTTCCGTTAGCGATTGTCACGGGAGAACAAGACAAAACTTTGAAAATAAAAAACAATTTGATTCAAACATTTAAAAAAATTGCAGACATGAGTCGCTCAATTCCGGTTGTATCTATTCAATAGGTGCTCAATCTATTTTATTGTATATGTCGCGTCATACTTGATATAATTCTACTGACCGTTCGTGTTTTACTATACATATAAACTCACGTTCACATGTAGGCTCATCTACAGGTGACCATGTTGGGTCTCCACTAGGATTGGCATTGCAAGTTCGTTGTGAATACGTTGGGGCATAGCATGAGTCACATGTGTAAGTAACAATCGTCCCAACTGTGTTGGTAATAGGAGTTGCGTTTCCATTAAGCGGGTTTTGTGGGGCTGGCTCACAATAATTTTCTATAAATTAGTTGATTCATAATTTAGTGCACATTACCTCATAAAAAATTTTAATGTTCACTTTTTACATCTACGATTCATTATTGTATTATATATATAGATCATGTAATATCAATTATGTGTGGCCATGAGGACAAGGCTTGACTTGCTATGTACAATGTGACTTCAATTATCGCATACTTTTGCAGACAGGGGGTTGTTGAGACCACGAAGGTGTTGAACTTGGTTCGCCACTGGCTGTACATGTAATTGTTTCAGCACCATCGAGTATGTATCCAGCATTGCATGTAAATGTTATCGACTGACCACAGTTCTCATTTCCCGTGGAAGGATATCTTTTTCCATTTTGTGGGTCACTAATGCCTTCACATTGAGTAACTATAACAAAATGGAAGCTAGTATTTAGTAATGTATGTTGTTAAACTTAAAATACAAACTAAACTTTTGAGTATGTAAGAATGACAAGCAGTAAAGATGAAATGTCTCATGGTCTTTTAGTTCTTGGATTGTGATAATAGATGATAATGGTGATGAGGGTGCTCTATGTACTTTTCTTTGTGTACAGGGTGTCCCGAAAGTATTTGCACCCCCCAGGCAGATATACACCAATAATGTTCCCATAGTATGTATCATATATCATTTTAAAGCTTGTCCAAAGTTACATTGATTTGCCAAGTATCATGGTTCAACTCTCAAACGGGAAAAAGTTACACACATTTCAAAATGTAGTGTTTTACTACATTTACTTAATTATATTACATCATTGCATTGTTTGGATGGTGGCGGTTCGTAGACTCATGAACCATTGTAGTGCCTGTTCTCAAATAACTATTCATGTCTGTAATGCACTGAACAGTTGCATTCGCAATATGTTGTTTTCTTTAAATTGGAGTAAGATACATACTCTCGCAGGTAGGGGCTGGTTCGTCCCATCCATTAACAGTGCACGTCCTTGATGATGGTCCCACCAAAGTGTAGCAGGTCTCGCACGAATAACTTACTACAGCTCCACACGAACTATCCTGTGAAGATATTAAACCATGCTCTGGTTTTGCTGCTGGTGGAATACATTGTCTCTCTACAAGTAGAAAATACATTTAAACCTGCAAATACTTGCACAATCATAGCATATGACAACCGTTCAAATCATTTTACTGGATGATAACAATTCAAAAGTGTATATCACATGTATATGTACAAAAACCATTGGTCTTTCTGATATTATGGAGATCCGTGTGATATTTTTCAGAAACTCATTCATCAGCCGCATATGCAGATATGCGACTGATGTCGTTTCTCCCGGAGTGTTCACTAATGCAAGTTTAACTGTATTTAAAATGAATTTCCTCTATACAACTACAAAAATAGTTTAGATAAGAGTTCCTATTACATTATGTTATGTAGTAGTGTGATATTTATGTAAAGGGCACTCACGAACACAAACTGGCTCATCTGGATGATCCCAGGTACCATCTTCCAAGCAGGTTCTTGTTGGGACTCCAATGAGTCCTAGACACTCATCATTGCATTCGTAATGTACTGATGCTAGACAATCATTGCTGGTACTGCTTATACTGCCATTCACTGGTGCCATTGGGATGCCGTTACAAGTAATTCCTAAACGATTATGGGTTAGTTATGAAATGTCCAACGATCGTTTGAAAAATCAGAAAGCAGAGTTGAATATTTTTTCTTGCTTCTTTGATGCGTTGTATCATCGGTTTAGTTATTGATATGGTGTGACTCAAAATGTTACCCTCAGCCATAACATCTAATTTATTACTATATTTTAATGTTTACTTACTTTCGCACTGCGGCGGGTTCATAGGGTCGTATCGACGTTCGCTGGTTATTTCATCTTTTACACATGTAAGTGTTGGTTCCCCAACCATTTTGTAACACCCGTTGCAAGAGTAGGTGACACTTTTGCCAGTTTCGACAGGACCCGGTAGTTCCTTCTCAAAAGTTCCATCGGCTATTGGCGATGGCTCATCACATGCTGTGTACAAATGAAAAACAAAAACGAAGTCGTTTATCGTAAAGTAATAAATAACAAGTAAATTAGTATGATTACTTAAAAAGGAACTGGACGGAATAGAGAAAGATGAAAGTTCCTTGATGTATCGGTCTTACTTGTAATCTCGACACACTCTGGTGCAGTTGGTGGTTTCCATGTAGCAATTTGATTGCCATCATCAGTACACACTCGGGTTGGTGTATTAGGTGTCAGGACGAAATACTCATCACATTCATATAATGCTTCACCCTGTTGTGATGTTGAGGAAGCAGTTCTGCAATATCTATCAATACTAAGTACATTTCCACCAGGTAGAACGTCTGAAATTTCTTCACACTTGAGATCTGAAATATATATATATTTCTAGTTTAGCAATAGTTATACACAAGGTGGCCATGGTCGAATAGATAAAATCTAACATATCGTATATAGATCTATAATTTCCATGTTATGTACCATCTGACCATTTCATTAGAATTATATATCAGTTATCATACACAATTTATACAGGAAAAATGAGCTTGAATAATATAAAGATGTACTCATTTATTTAGGTCAGCCTGTATATGAACCCTCCGAAATAGTATTCTAAGAGGTGTGCGGATTCATGACCTTCGGGGAAACTCATTGTAACATTTCTTTGGAATTCTGAAATACTTACGTTCACAAGTAGGTGTTGGTTTATCCCAAGTTCCATCAATAAGACATGTTATTTCGTTTATTCTCTGCCCAAATGCATTCGGTGCTATTCTATAACATTCATCGCATTTGTATGATATTACAGCGCCGATTTGGTAGGGAGGACCTGGTGGTTGGTCTGCGATGATTCCATTTATTGGTGGGGAGTCCATTGGGGCGGGACACGTTATTCCTAGTTAGGAAAGATTAATATTGATTAACCCATGTGATGAGAATTGAAATATTTGAATAATTTTCCTTAAGAATCAACAAATACAATATATTTATTGATCATCCTCTGATTTCTTTGAATTCATCCTATTTGCTGATGATACCAATCTCTTGGCCTCTCGCAAAGATTTACCCACTCTATTTAACACCGCAAATGAAGAACTTTCAAAGCTCAGTGACTGGATCAATGCCAATAAACTTTCTTTAAACATTGACAAAACTAAATGGATTTTCTTTGGACCAGGTAAAACTTCTAACAATCACTTTCTCAAAATAAATGACACCAAACTCAAGCAAGACATCACTATATCTTTCTTAGGAATAGCTATTGATGCCAATTTAACTTTTAAAGAGCATATCAAAAACTTAGAAAAAAAGATTTCTCAGTGCATTGGGGTCTTGTATGGAGTCCATAATTTTTTAACAAAAAGTGCTTTGCTCAGTATATACTACTCCCTTATTCACTCTCAACTCAATTACTGCAATATTATTTGGGGTAACAACTACAAATCTTATCTTAATAAAATTCACATGATTCAAAAACGATTTATTCGCATTGTTTTAGGAAAAAAATACCTTGATCATACAGCTCCATTATTCAAAGAACTTAATCTTCTGAATATATATGATATAAATAAGCTGAATACAGCAATTTTCATGTACCAAGTAAAAGATGGTGACCAAATACTAAATTCTCTACTCGATACAAATTTCCAAATAAACTGCGATACACATAGTTATAATACCCGCCAATGTGACAACTTCCATTTTGAACATGCGAACAAATTTTCCATAAAACGTAATGGGCACATCATTTAAACACAACGTACATACATGCTTAGTGTATGCATTGTACTAGGTTATATCATGTAAATACTTGTATATATGAAACTCATATACCTATATACCCTTGTAAACTAGTTAGACTATATAGTACTATATATCTTTTTTTTTATATTTGCTAGTGATACTTTTTTTGATACTTGACATTATACTTTTATATGCCATTTGGTGTCAGTATTAGTCATGTATTATTATTGTATATACATTTTTTCTAAATAAATAAATCATAAAAATCTTTTGGTATGTTTCTCAAGTTGAAGTTTTTTTCCATTATTCTTCTAGTCCATGAAATCCCGATATCATGTCCCGGGGCAAGAACTTAGGTTCATCATGATATGTAATCAGTTTCCATCTCCTTGCAGTTTCCCTGTACTTACTTTCACATATAGGGACGTCGCCATTCCAATCAGCATCGTCGAATCCACTTAGTGGTGGTAAAGGAAGACATGTAAGCACCCGTTTGCCCACTAACGTGAAGCCATCATTGCATGTGAATTCCATAGTACTGTTACAGTCAGTCTGTCCAGTTACTATCTCTCCATTTAAAGGGGCGAGTAAGGCAGGACAGAACAATTCTGAAAATATATGAGCGACACACTTTGAAAATATAATTCAGCGTTATAACAATTACAATTAGGTCATTACTATCCTAGCTGATCATTCCAATTCCCATTTTATTTTAATTTTATCATTTAATTCAATTCTCCGACCGAGACATGTGCATTTATTCACTCCGGTTTTTTGATTTTATGGTTCTTACTTTGACATTGTGGTGCTTGTGTGGCCCATCCATTATCTGCACAAAGTCTTGGATTTGTACCACTGACCTTGTAGCACATGTTACACCCATACTTAGCAACTTTATTGCAAGTGTTAGTGTCATCAATGATAAAACCGTTTTCCGGAGCTTCTACTGGATCACACATTTTCCCTTTAAAACAGATACACTTTGGAATAAGCACATGTCACACAAGACATTTTATCATTTAAAGAGCAACCATCTGCATAAACGAATAAAACAGGTTTAAACATATTGTTAGATCATGTGGATCTTTTATTTTTATTTGTCACTTGTTAAGGGGTTCACATTTATTTTTTAGTTTTTAAAAGTAATATAACCAGAAACCCCTGAAAAATATTTTTCAATAATTGAACCTGGAAGTGGGTTTCTTATGCTACTTACTTTCACATTCGGGTGGATTAGAATCCCACGTTCCATCTGATTGACAAAGAATATCATCATCTCGAATGTTGAAAGAATTCAATTTTATTTGGTAACATGTATCACAGCGGTATGTGATAATTTCTCCCATATTAAATGGCGGACTATCAGTTCGGTTTGCGTCTCTTGAGCCATTAACCGGTGCAAATGGCATTGGTTCTGGGCATTCAATTGCTTAAATAAAGAAGTTAACATGTTACTTTAACAACTGAGCAGACAAAGAGAAGCTTAGAAAATATGACCTCCAGGGTGCAAGCTTACGATCTAGGCCTAGTGGACATTGAGAAGGAATGGTGAAAACAATTTATCTAACAAAAGGCATTTATTTGACATGGCTAATAACATGGCTTATAATATGGCCAAGTCAACCTGTTAACCTGTCGAACACATTTTGGTACTTGAGGATGTATATTAAATAGATATTATTATCTGATGATTTTACCTTCACATGTAGGGACGGCACCATCCCACACTCCAGAGGATCCACCATTATCGATACATGTTAGTACTTCATTTCCAGATAACTCAAAACCATCTTCACATTCGAATTCCACAGTGGATTTACAGTTTGTACCATCCTTTATAATCCTTCCGTTCTGAGGAGGCATTAGTTTGTCGCATTTCAAAACTAAAATTATGGCAAAGAAAACATAGCTAGATTTTGGAAATGAATAAAGACTAGATTAAGAATCTACAGGAGGCGTGGTCTTCCATCAATATGAGTATTTTGATGATTTCTTCACGCCAACTTTCTTCAAATGGACAAATTACAAGCCTGCCTCTAACAAATAATAGCATAGCAGGATATTTGTGAATATAATATATTTATCAACATATCCTTTGTAGTGCTTTTAAACTATTGCCACATTATTAGATACACTGATTGTAAATACATCTACCTTCACATACGGGTTCTGCTAGTGGTACCCATCCAAAATCGTCAGTACATTGTCTTGTGCTTCCCCCAGATATCCTGTAGCACCAATCGCAGGTATATGTAACATCATCTCCGCAGAGGCCTTCAGTTGAACTCACGTCGCCATTGACAGGGTTGCTAGGAGATGGCGTGCATATTTTCTCTGGATAGAAAATGGTATATCCAATAGAACATGATACATCCATTGCATATGGGTTGCAATGATAGTAATATGGCAAAGTCTGTGGTATAGAACAATATAAAAATGATTTCACTGGTGTTCAAGAGGTAAAATGAGAGTAGTCTTACGTTGACAATTAGGAAATGTGGCGTTGTCCCAGAATCCACCAAGCTGACAACACATGTCTGGATCTTTCTGACCGTTGTCATCCACCCTGTCAATTTCATAGCAAGGGTCGCATTTGATTGTTATCACGTCTCCCGGTTCGTAAGGAGGCTCATCTGTGTGCGGATCATCGAATCCGCCATTTGGTGGTGGAGGTAGCATCGGGAAGGGACACACAACGACTGTATAAATGACACATTTTAATTCTTGCTATGATAATTTATCATAGTATTATTGAACACATCATACTTGTACGTCTATGTGTAGTAAGTAGTACATCTGTACAATATAAAGCTTTGTATTTCATCCCAACAAGGTTCGGTTGTGATAGAGAGAAACCCTCCATCCACCAGTCAGTAAATCTGTCTGTTCACCTGTCCATATTTTGAAATATGGTATTATGGTTTCTATTCAGTGTCCGACTCCCATCCTTCATCATTCAGGAACCATAATCATAAAAGAATCAAACAGTTCCAAAATTGAAAACACTTTAAGTTCTTTTAAAAATGTCAACCTCCGTTGGCAATGAAATGTTCAAAATCAGAAAGTTGGAAGTAACAATGAATAAGAAGTTCTTGTTAACTGGGATATGCATTTTCATTTAAATGCCGATTTTGATATGAATATTGTATAATACTGTTTTACCTTCACATGACGTTTCTGTGCCAGTCCATTCAACATTTTCTCCATTGTCTTTACATTCTCTGGATTCACTTCCTTTGAGCTCGTATCCAAAGTCACAACTAAATACCACAGAACCTCCACAGTCAGTATTTTGGGAAACTATCATCCCATTAGCTGGAGCGGTTAGTTCTGCACATTGTTGAACTGTAATAATATTAAGTGATCTTAAGATTAAATGATAACACCTGTTTAGCTTAGCTGACTTCTTATGGTTAATTCTCGAATTCTATATCATTTGTTTTAATATATGTTCCAGTTCAAAGTTCTCAGTGGAGACCTGTCAATCTGACCGTATGATTAGCCTCACACTAGAGGCATTTCGCAACTCACTTATAGCATTTTTATTATTTACGTATATAACGTATAACTTATGAATCGTTTGATAACGTCACCATTTATTACGCAGTTCTTTACGTCCATAAGTGTGGCGTTCTTATAAATCGTCGTCTATACGTAAGAATAATAAACATGCTATAAGTGAGTTGCGAAATCTCTCTACTAAAGGTCCACTCGTACTTACGTTCACAAGTAGGCTCATTTATTGGTGACCAATTTCCGTTTGATTGACATGTTCTTGTGACAGACCCCTGATGTCTGTAGCAAATGTCACATGTGTACGTGGTTGTTTGACCGCATGTTGTTGACGGGTCTACTACTCCGCCATTCATCGGAGCTTGTGGCTCAGGAGAACACGTGACCACTGTAATGCAATGGATGTATTCTAAATAAGTAAATTACTTATAAGCTTAGGACTCAATGTGACTTAAACCATGTATGTTGGCAGCCCAAATTAAAAGTCTAGGGAGGCACGAGTGCATTACATCATCCAAAATACATTTAGGCAAGGAAACCCTTTGAAAGGAAACTTCAGCAAGGGTTTTACAAAGTTTTGCATATCACCTGCATGCAATAGTATTCCTTATAACACTATTTATAGGTTTCCATTTAAGATCCAACTTGAAATAATTGCATATATATGAGTTAAACATATTTACATTCACAAACTGGCATGGAACCATCCCAGAGTTCATTGATACCACAAACAATATCTGCATCACGTTCTTCATTCTCATTCAGTCCAATCTGATAGCATGTATCGCAAATGAAGCTGACTCGGTTACCTGCACAAATGGATGTTTGAAATATTTGATGATTTTCTATATATTTTAAGCTGTTATCGTTGATCACATATTAGTGAACTACGAGTGTAAGGGAATCATTCTTAAGTTGAATACAAGGGCGGCAAAAACATGAAATACGTAATATAAATTGTTTATTTTATATAAAACCAAGGGAAACAAAAAATGAATAAAGATCACATTGTATCTATCACATTTGATCACATTGCATTTATTGCGGTTAGGAATAACGTGTGAAATATATTACCTGGGGTATATGGTTTAGGATCAGTTGCTCCTGGCGAGGTGTCGATATCTCCATTGAGTGGTTTGTTGGGTATCATTTCTAAACACTCCAATACTACAAGTAAAATTCAGCGGTAAAATGAACAATCATGATTCCATATTTGTTTCTTAGTTGCATTTGTAACGTGGTAAAAGAATTACTTACGCCGGCAAGTCATTGGAACGCCACTCCATGAGGCTGTGGTGCCCTCAGATTGGCATGTAATGCTTTGTTCTCCACCAGATTGAATGTAGCCGGTTTTGCATTGGAAGCTAATGGTTTGTCCACAGCTACTGTCGTCTCCTACCATAAGGACCCCCTCTCCCATAAGAGGGCTCTCGCATTGCATCACTGTTGAAATAATATTAAACATTTTACAATTTTGTTGTGGAACAGAAATGTTTATGAATAAACACGATACGTAAGGGGTACTTGTGTTATGGAAAAAAGATCCAAATGAATATATTAATCAGTTTATATTGTTTTCATAGTTTTTATTTGTACTTGATCTCAATTCATACACCACTTTTGCCTTCGTTTTATATTCGGCGAACCCCACGTATCTTATCAAATTGATAGCATTTTCTACACTCACATTCACAATTAGGAACATCACCATCCCAACCGGACTCTGTGCATAGTGTATCATTGTCCATTTCACCAAGTTCATTCGCTTTTATTCTATAGCATAGATCACATTCATATGTAACCTTTTGGCCTGGTTTATACTGGTTATTAACCGGATCATCGCTAGAAGCCGCATGTTCAGATCCATGTAAAGGCGGCATTCGCTCTCTACACCGTGCTGGAAAGAAGTGTCGATATGATATGTGTGTTTATAATATAATCTCAGTCAAAATACTTGAAAAATATGATAAATTAGAATAGTAGTGATGATCATTGGCAAGAATTAGTTAAACGGGGAAATCTTTGAGTGGATATGGTCTCAATTTGAAAATACCTCAATTCTTGAAGTTTCAAACTTACGTCCACATGTCAGAGGTTCATTATCCCAGTCTGCCACTCCATCTTCCACTTGGATGCAGCTTATACTGTTTACTCCTGGTCCTTCTTCGCCATAATCAGCGTTGCAATAGAGGGTAACGGGATCATCATTGCAATTGTTGTTTCCATCGATTGGGTTTCTTCCCCCAAACTCCGGCGGTGGCATGGACATGCACGTCAAAACTACAATATAAATTGTCTTATAAAGCCTCTCCAGATGTTGCATAAAACAAAAAAAATCATATGAGCGCTTACATGATAAGTTTAGTGTAATACTTAATGTACATGTTCATGAAGCTAAACAACATACTTTGGCAGGTTGGTACCGGTCTGTTCCAATTGCCATCTTCTCCACAAACAGCAAATTCTGTTTCTGATCCATACAGCATCGTATCAAGTTGATAGCAGGTGTTGCACCTATATGTCGTTCATTGAAATACATTGTAATAGCAAAATGTGAAAGAAATGTTCTATATGAAGACGAAAATTGTTTTACATTATCCAGGCCAAGAAAAATATGTTGGGATTCCTCCATTCGCTCTGAAAAAATTAGCACTGTATAAACGATAAATACCTATAATACACACTATCGCCTGGATTGTACTTGTTATCATCCGGATCTGGGTTTGCACTTCTCTCTTGATCTATTGCACCATTTGCCGGTGGCATCCGGAAAGGACATTTTTCTATTTAACAAATTAAAGTAAAATAATATTGTTTATCAATAGAGAACGTCAGTGATGTTGAGCTGATGTTGTATCATAAAGTAAATAATCAAGTAGATGCATCGACCTATTGTGCTTTTTTCATAATTTTATTCAGACTGTATTTTGATAATGCATTTTGGTCTAAACGGATATCATTAAATTAAATTTTCGTTTGATTACATCTTCATGTTCGTTAAAGTATTATGACTCACTTTTGCAAGTCAATGGGGTGCCACTCCAGACGGGAGACCCTGAACCATTATCCACACACATGAGGGTACCATTAGCTGGGACATAGCCTTCCGTACACGTAAAACTGGCAGTTGTCCCACAATTATTATTAATCCCTATTCGTTCGACCCCTTCATTTAGTTCAGGCGCGTCGCATGTTAGTCCTTCATGTAAAATATAATAATTTTGTGTCATCATATATCACATGCAAAGTCATAATTTCTAATTATTTGGTATTTTAACTCCATCTTGATTAATAACACATACTTTTCTCATCATATTATTTTTGAACCGTTTTTTATAACATATTTACTTCAATTCTGGTCTTACGTTTACATCTTGGAACTTGTCCATCCCAACCAGATGTTGTGCACATTGTGTCATCGTCTTGGATTCCATCTGTATTTGGCTTTATTTCAAAGCAATTGTCACAAACGAACCTCACGGTATCACCTGGGCTGTATTGGTTTTCTTCATCTGGTTGGTCGCTATTGGCTTCATCGATCGCACCGTTATCAGGCCCCATGCGTTTATTACACCTTGCTAAAACATATATATCTCCATTCAATAGCATGTCATAATATGTTAATCGTAAGTATTCATTGAAGTATAACTCTCATAAAATGTAACATACGTCCACAACTTAGCGGTTCGCCATTCCATTCAGCATCACCATCAATATCTACACATTGTATTTGGTCGATACCAGACCCTTCTTCTCCATAGCCTTCATCACAACTAATATGAATAGGTGGATCATTGCAAAGGTTGTTTCCTGTTTCGGGTGATCGTCCACCATTGGCTGGTGCAAAAATGGGCACGCATCTCATACCTAAATTATTAAAAGTGTACTTGTACATTGATATTGACTCCACTTTAAAATATCTGTTTTTCCAGACACAATGATGCTTTTAGTCATTTGTTTTGTGTTGTGTTGTATTGTCATAGTATTGACTATTGTTATGAAATTCGTCTTTACATACGTTCACAATTTGGCACCAAAGCACTCCATTCCCCATCGTCCAAGCAAACAGCAGTGTTCGGCAATAGCCCTGATTCATCAGAACCGATGGTAAAGCATTCGTTACATCTATTAAATAATTAACACAAAAATAGATGGGCAACTCAAAGAAATGTATACACTATAGGAACTAAAGATTGAATTATTATCTGAATGTGTTGTACATATGAAGCAGAACTTCACGGTTGTCATTTTGGTAACTTTAAATTTTCTTCGTAATCCAGAATAGGTACGCACATAGTAGATATTTGGGATTATCTGTTTAAAACTTGTAGATTTGTGTTTACCTGAAGCGTACAATATCCCCGGGTATATATTCTGACTCAATTGGATCGTCACTACTTGGGTCTATTGACCCATTTTCTGGTGGCATACGATATGGACATTTTTCTAAAAATTCAAAGAAAAATGCTATGCAATAGAGGTTATGGAATATGTTACAAAAATAGATGGTAGAATCATACGAACTTTAACTAATCACAAAGAAACAGCCAAGGAACAGATTCATATTGATTTGCTTACTTTTGCAAGTCAGTGGACTACCATTCCACTGTGAAGTTGTACCATTGGAAAGACACATCATTTCATCGTTTCCACCTGCTTTAATATACCCTTCTTTACACCCAAAACTAATCGAAGCTCCACAGTCATTGGTGCCACCAATAACCTCGACTCCTTCTCCAAGCATCGGATACATACATTGCATCACTAAAACACCGGAAATTATTATGATGATGATGTTGGTGCTGATGTTGATACTTAAGCTTTGATCACACCACAACGGTGCAAAGACAATTATAAATATATTGGTAACTTAGTTAAGCCAGGCTATAAATGTAATAAAAAGAAATTAAAAAAGAAGAGACCGAGAGAAATTGAATTATATAGATTAGTACAAAGTACAAACATCAGTTTAACATATTTACATTCACAAACTGGCATGGAACCATCCCAGAGTTCATTGATACCACAAACAATATCTGCATCACGTTCTTCATTCTCATTCAGTCCAATCTGATAGCACGTGTCACAAATGAAACTGATTTGGTCACCTTAACAAATGAATGTTTGTTAATGGCATGTATTTCTAGTTTTGAAATGGTTAATATTTAATGAGTTATCTTAAGATCTTTTCTTCGATCACAAAATCAAACAACCAGAGTGAGGGGTGTACATACAAAACAAGTAATGAAACAGTGTCCATCTACATGGCCCACCCTGTATATATATATACACATTATATAAAGATGTAGATGTGAACCATACGTGAAAAATTGTACCTGGTGTATATGGTTTAGGATCAGTTGCACCTGTTGTGTTGTCAATGTCCCCATTGAGGGGTTTGCTAGGCATCATTTCCAAGCACTCTAACACTACAAGTAAAATTCACCTGTACAATTAACAATAATGATTCGATATTTGCTTTCTTAGTTGCATTGATTCGATATTTGCTTTCTTAGTTGCATTTGTACGTCGTTAAAGAATTACTTACGCCGGCAGGTCATTGCAACGCCACTCCATGCGGTTGTCGTGCCCTGGGATTGACATGCTATGCTTTGTTCTCCACCAGATTGAGTGTAACCAGGCTTGCATTCAAAGCTAATGGTTTGTCCACAGCTGTAGTCGTCTCCTACCATAAGGACTCCTTCTCCCATAAGAGGGCTCTCGCATTGCATCACTGTTGAAATAACAACAAATATATTACATTTGGTGAAAAATATATGTTTTATTCTTGAACAAATACGATACGATCCGAATACTCATGTTATGGAAAAAAGATGTAAATGAATAAATTAATAAGTTCATATTGTTTTCATAGCTTTTATTTGTAATTGATCTTCGTTTCTTACATCAACTTTGTCCATTGTATTATACCAGGCCAAACCCAAAACGTTTATTGATATCATTATCTACATTTTCTATACTCACATTCACAACTAGGAACATCAGTATCCCAACCAGATTCTGTGCATAGTGTATCATTGTCGATTTCACCGAGTTCATTTGCTTTTATTCTGTAGCATATATCACATTCATATGTGACCTTTTGGCCTGGTTTATACAGGTTATTAACCGGATCATCGCTAGAAGCTTCATGTTCAGATCCATGTAATGGAGGCATTCGCTCACTACACCGTGCTACAAAGTAGTTTCGAGATAGTTGGCATTGTACGATATATAATTGATATGATATGATAAGTATACAAGCAGGCATTTAAGCCCGGGACTCAAAAAAGTGTGCATGGTTTGAACCACGAATGCCTTGTATCAAATTTGGAATGATGGCGGTAGTCAGAATTCAAAGGTCATGTATTTATTTATTTTATTCTTTATTATGTGTGGTGACTGACTGAAATGTGGTTTATCATGCCTAGTTACGTGAAAATCATATGATATAAAGTGATACCGTTTTAATCTATGCACTGATATCAATTTCAGCACAAATGCACGTTGATCGCTTTTAGGAATTTCCAGGAAAATAGGCAAAATCTGGTCCCAGCCAGAAGGAGACGACTGCATTGCCACTTATGAATAATAATAATTCTAGCGTTTACACTTCATGCTAGTTGATTTGGTATGCAACGTCATCAAAATCTATATCTCCGTATTCATTCAATTAAACAAATGTTCTAAATATATTATAACTGATCCCAGTCAAAATATTGGACAGAAATATAATTTTAAATGGAAAATCTTTAAGTAGACCTTGTCTTCATTTGAAAATACCTAGATTCTTAACAAATGTGATACGTACGTCCACATGTCATAGGTTCATTATCCCAGTCTGCCACTCCCTCTTCCACTTGGATGCAGCTTATACTATTTACTCCTGGTCCTTCTTCGCCATAATCAGCGTTGCAATAGAAAGTGACGGGATCGTCATTGCACTTGTTGTTTCCATTGGGTGGATTTCTTCCTCCAAACTCCGGCGGTGGCATGAACATGCAGGTCAAAACTACAAAATCAAGTGTCTTATAATGTCTCTCCATATGTCAAACAGATCATATATCTATGTACAATTTCAGTGTAATGTATAAGAATTATGTACATGGAGTTTAACTACATACTTTGGCAGGTTGGTACTGGTCTGTTCCAATTGCCATCTTCACCACAAACAGCAAACTCTGTTTCTGATCCATACAGCATCGTATCAAGTTTATAACAAGTGTTGCACCTATATATACATAAATAACAGATCTAGATGTAATAAAATGAGAGTACATATCAATGAAATGCCATCGTACATTGTACTCATGGTTGAAGTTTAGTTCTATCATGTTATTAATCAAGGGTGTTATAACCAAATGGGAAGAAAAGTTCCGGGGATGTCTAACAAATATTCTTTTATATTTTTAGGCAAATCATCCGAGATAAGAAGAGATTCACTCAATCGATCAAAAAAAGCGAACACGACAAAGGAGGCGATACGTACCTATAATACACAACATCTCCTGGATTATATTTGTTATCATTTGGATCTGGGTTAGCACTTCTCTCTTGATCTATTGTACCATTCGTCGTTGGCATACGGAAAGGACATTTCTCTATTAAATAAATGAAAGTAAAATAATATTCTTGATAATATACTGTTGTGACGTAAATAACATGAGTGATGGTGATTTGATGTTGCATATTACTATCTTGCATTAATGATAACAAATGATCAAGCAGATGTATCGACTTATGGTGCTATTTTGACAATGTTGTTGCCTAATTGGATATTATTAAATTGCGTTTTCGTTTGACTACAACTGCATGTTCGTTAATGCTTTTTTTAGTCTCGCTAGCTTGTATTACTGTATCTTACTTTTGCAAGTCAATGGGGTGCCACTCCAGACGGGAGACCCAGAACCATCATCCACACACGTAAGGGTACCATCAGCTGGGACATAGCCTTCCTTACACGTAAAACTGGCAGTTGTTCCACAATTATTATTAATCCCTATTCGCTCGACCCCTTCATTTAGTTCAGGCGCGTCGCATGTTAGTCCTTCATTTAAAATGCATATATTTTGTCTCATTATATCCCACTACATTTTGTAGAATAGAATGCATATAAAAACTACACAAATAAAACACAAAACCCATGATGGCTGCATCGATATCATTCAATGTTCCTTAAAGCCACGTTTTCCTCTTTTCACCGATATGTAATTTATCAACATGTGGTTATGGCTGAACAATCATTCCATTTGCACAGTGGACCAGAGTCGGCTAGGGATCAACATTTAGACATTGGAAAAATATGGACATGGACATGGAGAGCTAAACCCATCCTTGTGAGCAAAGAAATGATTGTCATGTGAAGGACTGAGATGTGATTTACCATTAGTATGACTACTAACACTGAAATGTTTATGTCACATCTGCCACATCTTCTTCCAATACCACCTGACCCCTGCCCTGGATTTTGAAATGTCTAAAACCTAGTCCCTTGCCAACTGTGGTTCATTGAAAAGAGGAGATACGTCTCCCCATGGTATACAGAATGAAATCGATGCAGTCATAACTGGTTTGTGGTTTTACAATTTGTTTGTTGTGGTTTTGTAATGTGCACTGTTGACACCAATCACAATCATAATTCCAAATTGCTTATTATTTCAACATCATTATTTTAACGTATCCATCCATCAAATAATCTCCACATAGGAAAGCTTGCAGATTTTTCTGAAAGTTTTTCATTACATTGAATTCAAATTTGGCCTTACGTTTACATCTTGGAACTTGTCCATCCCAACCAGATGTTGTGCACATTGTATCGTCGTCTTGAATTCCGTCTGTATTTGGCTTTATTTCAAAGCAGTTGTCACAAACAAATCTCACTGTATCACCTGGGCTGTATTGGTTTTCTTCATCTGGTTGATCGCTATTAGCTTCATCGATCGCACCATTATCAGGCCCCATGCGTTTATTACACCTTGCTAAAACACAAATATCTCCATACAACAGCATGTCATAATATGTTTAGCATAACTATTCACTGAATAATAAATTTCCTAAAATGTAACATACGTCCACAGCTTAATGGTTCGCCATTCCAATCAGCATCGCCATCAATATCAACACATTGTATTTGGTCGATACCAGACCCTTCTTCTCCATAGCCTTCATCACAACTAATATGAATAGTTGGATCATTGCAAAGGTTGTTTCCTGCTTCTGGTGATCGGCCACCATTGGCTGGTGCAAATATTGGTACACATCTCATACCTATAGTCGCAGTAAAATTGCTCATTTATTGCAGATCACACATGGCTACTTTGAAATTTGTCGATTGCTACTACAGTATAATAAGATGTATGTTATTTAAGTTATTTTTCCATACGCAACAGTTTTCATTTGTTTGATTTTGTGTTATCATTGTATTGTTATACGTGTACATCTTGTATATTTCGCCTTTACTTACGTTCACAAGTTGGAACTGGATCACTCCAATCACCATTCAAGCAAACGGCAGTGTCTGACATAAGACCCGATTCATCAGAACCGATGGTAAAGCATTGGTTACATCTGTAACATAATTTACATGCAAAATCAAGTTGACGGTCATATAGACGATATTGATATTGAGACGTATATATTTATAGTGTATGAACTGCAGATTATCGTAATGGTTTTAGCTGTATGTCCTTCACAAATGAATCAGAACTACATGGCATTTCGGTTACTAAAGTTTTATTTGTTTATAAAAAAAGGTGCGTACATTGGATATTTGTGATTTTCTGTTGAAAACTAAAAAATCTGACTTTACCTGAAGCGTACAACAGCCCCAGGTATGTATTCTGAATCAATCGGATCGTCACTACTTGGGTCTATTGTGCCATTTTCTGGTGGCATTCGATATGGGCATTTTTCTGAAAATTCCAAGAAACAAGTGTTGTAAAAGGATTTTCAATATGTTGTGCTCTAAATGTTTTTATTGTATGTCGAGCAAAAACTTGTGCTAATCACAGGGTAGACACAGTTGTTTTATGTTTTACATGGTCCAATTCAGTTTATCATGCATAACATTGTGCAGTCAAGAATCTGGAATATAGGGTTATACAGAGTTTTACTTACTTTTGCAAGTCAGGGGACTACCATTCCACTGTAAAGTTGTACCCTCCGAAAGACACATCATTTCATCGTTTCCACCTGCTTTAATATACCCTTCTTTACACCCGAAACTAATCGAAGCTCCACAGTCATTACTGCCACCAATTACTTCGACTCCTTCTCCGAGCATAGGATACACACACTGCATCACTAAAGCACAAAAATATGATGATGTTATTCGTGTTGACTGTTGATGTTGATGCCTTAGCTTTAAACACACCACCATGGTGCTAAGACAATTATAAACATATTGCTAACCAGGTTAGCTTGGCAACTAACATAATGAGAAATAAGAAGCTTCATACTTAGAAATAAGGCCCAGAGAAATTCAATTACATAATTTCATGGATGAGTCTAAACATATTTACATTCACAAACTGGCATGGAACCATCCCAGAGTTCATTGATACCACAAACAATATCTGCATCTCGTTCTTCATTCTCATTCAGTCCAATCTGATAGCATGTATCGCAAATGAAGCTGATTCGGTCACCTGCACAAAAGAATATTCGTTATATGAGCCATAAGGGCTAACCACTACAGCTGAGACTAGTAGCGACTTGCTATCGAGGGTCATTACATAATTAAGTAACCAGAGAGGGGTGTGAATGGGGAACTTATAAACAAGGAATAATATACCTTTAAGAAGAATATGTACCTGGCGTATATGGTTTAGGATCAGTGGCACCTGGTGTATTGTCAATATCTCCGTTAAGTGGTTTGTCGGGCATCATTTCTAAACACTCCAGCACTACAAGTATAAAATTCAGCTGTAAAATGAACAATCGTGATTCCATATTTGTCTCTTAGTAGCATTTGTTACGTGGTAAAAGAATTACTTACGCCGGCAGGTCATTGGAACGCCACTCCATGAGACTGTGGTGCCCTCGGATTGGCATGTAATGCTTTGTTCTCCATCAGATTGAATGTAGCCAGGCTTGCATTCAAAGCTAAGGGTTTGTCCACAGCTGTTGTTGTCCCCTATCAACATGGCTCCCTCTCCCATAAGCGGGCTCTCGCATTGCATCACTGTTCAAATAACATCAAACATTTTACAATTTTGTTGTGAAACAGATAATATATATATTATTTTTATGAGCAAACACTATACGTTAGGAATAATTGTGTTATGAAAAACCTTCTAAATGAATATATTAGGCAAATTATATTGTTTTCATAGTTTTTATTTGTACTTCTGAATTTCACATCAACCCTGCCCATCATATTTCATCAGGCAGAACCCGTTGTGTCATATTTAATAGACGGCATTATATATCTGTGGTACATGTTCTTCACTCACGTTCACAATTAGGAACATCAGCATCCCAACCAGATTCTGTGCATAGTGTATCATTGTCCATTTCACCAAGCTCATTTGCTTTTATTCTGTAGCATATATCACATTCATATGTAACCTTTTGGCCTGGTTTATATTGGTTATTAACCGGATCATCGCTAGAAGCTTCATGTTCAGATCCATGTAATGGAGGCATTCGCTCACTACACCGTGCTGAAAATAATTTAAGAAGCAATGGTGTGTATGTCCATAATATATAATTATAAGATTAGCTTAATATATATGTAGATTCGCCATGTTGGACAAGAAAGATTATAATTGATCTCAGCCAAAGTACTAGAAAATATGTAACTTTGACGATTATAATGAATTAAATGAATAGTGATGTTCTATGACACCAATTAGTTAAACGGGGAAATCTTTGAGTAGATTTGACCTAAATTCTAAAAAAGTCGAACTAACGTCCACATGTCATAGGTTCATTATCCCAGTCTGCCACTCCATCTTCCACTTGGATGCAGCTAATATTGCTCACCCCTGGTCCTTCTTCGCCATAACCGGCATCACAATAGAAAGTGACAGGATCATCATTACAGTTGTTGTTTCCATCGGGTGGATTTCTTCCCCCAAACTCCGGTGGCGGCATGGACATGCACATCAAAACTAGAATATTAGACTTGTCTTAAATAATCGCTCCAAATGTCACACATAAGAAATCATATCATCGCGTACATGATAAGTTTAGTGTTATACATTTGAATAATGTGCATGAAGCAGACAACATACTTTGGCAGGTTGGTACCGGTCTGTTCCAATTGCCATCTTCTCCACAAACAGCAAACTCTGTTTCTGATCCATACAGCATCGTATCAAGTTTATAGCAGGTGTTGCACCTATATTGTTCATTGAAATACATTGTTATAGCAAAATGTGAAAGAAATGTTCTATATGAAGACGAAAATTGTTAAATACATTATCCAGGCCGAGAAAATATGTTGGGATTCTCCCATTCGCTCTGAAAAACTAACAATGTATTTAAACAATAAATACCTATAATACACACTATCGCCTGGATTGTACTTGTTATCATCCGGATCTGGGTTTGAACTTCTGTCTTCATCTATTGCACCATTTTCCGGTGGCATCCGGAAAGGGCATTTTTCTGTTGATCAAGTGAAAGCAAAACATAATGATTATATGAGAACGACAAAACGTTAGTTGTGTTGAGTTGATGTTACATATTTTCGCCTTGCATAAATCAAAATAAATGATTGGTACATACTTTTGCAAGTCAATGGGGTACCACTCCAGACGGGAGACCCAGAACCATCATCCACACACGTAAGGGTAGCATCAGCTGGGACATAGCCTTCTTTACAAGTGAAACTTGCAGTTGCTCCGCAATTATTGTTGGTCCCTATACGTTCGACACCTTCATTCAGTTCAGGCGCGGCGCATGTTAGTCCTTCATTTGAAATAAATATAATTTGTTTCATATCCCTACATTTTTGAGTAAAGAATGATCAGTCGTAATCACAATTTCAAATTGTTTGGTATTTTAACACCACCTCGTTGAATAAGTAGCCATGTTTTAATTGTAAGCATACCTATCATTTTTATTATATAATTGTGTAGATCTCTCTGAAACATTTGGCATTATAATATATTAATTTAAGTTTGGTCTTACGTTGACATTTTGGAACTTGTCCATCCCACCCAGATGCTGTACACATTGTATCATCGTCTTGGATTCCATCTGCATTTGGAATTATTCCAAAGCAATTGTCACAAACATATTTCACAATCTCACCCGGCCTGTATTGGTTTTCTTCATCTGGTTGATCGCTATTAACTTCATCGATCGCACCATTATCAGGCCCCATGCGTTTATTACACCTTGCTAAAACACAAATATCTCCATACAATAGCATGTCATAATATATTCAGCATAAATATTAACTTTCTTTACTTCTTAAATAGTAACATACGTCCACAGCTCAACGGTTCGCCATTCCAATCAGCATCACCATCAATATCTACACATTGTATTTGGTCGATACCAGACCCTTCTTCTCCATAGCCTTCATCACAACTGATATGAATAGGTGGATCATTGCAAAGGTTGTTTCCTGATTCTGGTGATCGGCCACCATTTGCTGGTGCCAACATGGGTATACATCTCATACCTTAAAATGTAGCGAAACAGTACATTGATATAGTTCTTTATGGCAGATCATATACGTATACTTTGGAGAAGTGGTACTCGAGTATTTTACTTATATTCTGTGTTGTTTTGTAGATTTCGACTTTTCACAAAATACAATTATATTCTTATTTTTATACGAAAAACTTACGTTCACAAGTTGGCACCGGATCACTCCAATCGCCATTGTTCAAGCAAACGGCAGAGTCTGACATAAGACCCGATTCATCAGAACCGATTGTATAGCATTCGTTACATCTATAACATAAAACATGTTAATTAAGTTCGTAGGCAAAGAATCGTATAAACATAAAATTCATTGACTAAGATTTATTTAAATCGAATGTCTGCGCGTTACATTTGAAAATAATTTCTGGGTAAATTAGAGCTACATAATTCTGATTTGGTTTGTTTTAGTTTTATTAGTTTATATAGCAGCTTCGTCCATCCACTGTGGATATTTGGGATTTTCTGTCGAAAACTAGTATTTACCTGAAGCGGACAACATCCCCGGGAATGTATTCTGACTCAATTGGATCATCACTACTTGGGTCTATTATGCCATTTGCTGGTGGCATTCGATACGGGCATTTTTCTGTATAATGCAAGAAAGGCTAATGCAATAGGTTTTTAAAAATATTTTGATATACAAAGTTTTTAAATACATCGTCCAATTTATTTTAACATGAATTTATGTGTGCAGTCAGGGAACACCCATACTGACTAATGTTAATTTTCAGCTTACTTTTGCAAGTCAGTGGACTGCCATTCCACTGTAAAGTTGTACCCTCGGAAAGACACATCATTTCATCGTCTCCACCTGATTTAATATACCCTTGTTTACACTCAAACCTCATTGATGATCCACAGTCATTACTGCCATCGACTACTTCAACTCCTTCTCCGAGCATCGGAGACACACATTGCATCACTAAAACATCAACAATTATTTTTAACTTCAACTAAAACATCAAAAGGAAATCTTGTTCTCAGGTTCATGTGTTACACATTGACGTTTTTCATTGATTCGGATGACTTATAACTTGCTTGAGGTTCAAAACTTGCTTTGTATACTATACTTATCGTTTGTTGTTGAGTGTCTCAATATCTTACATTCACACGCAGGTTCTGGTCCATCCCATTCTCCATTTTGTTTGCAAACAATATCAGCATCTCTTACACCTTCTGCATTTTCGCTTATTCTGAAGCAGGTATCACAAGCAAACTCGATTTTATCTCCAGGAGCATATTCGCCATTCGCATTTGTAGGTGAAACTATTGAACCATTCAATGGTGGCATAGGCTCACTGCATCTTGCTATAAAGGAAGATGTGTAAATGTCTTTGATAGGTAATCTTCTAAAATCTATAGTAAATTAGAAAAAATTGCACTAATCTCCCAGATACATTATATTATGAAGTAAACTTATGAGTAGGCCTACTATAAATCGTGTTAAAATCAACCATTGGTAGATACTGCTTTAATTTTGATACATACGTTCACATGAAATAGGGGTATTATCCCAAGCAGCGCCTCCTTCAACTGGAATACAACGTATCGGAGTCACACCGGGTCCCACTGCAGCAAAACCAGGATCACAGTTGAATTCCAATGGTTCATCGTTACACTTATTGTTTCCATCCGATGGTGTCATTGTACCATTTATCGGAGCTGACATCGGCGCACAGCTCAGCACTTAAATAAAATGAATATATGTAAGACAAGATTTTAGGCTATAGTGATATATCTAATTTCGTTTTTGTATTTTTGTTTGTTGATTTCTTGATATCATAGTTACATATACAACATCATTGATACAAATATTGAATGATATATTGATAAAATTCTAACGCCATTTGAATAGTATATGACTTACGCTGACATATTGGAATTAGTTCGCTCCAAGTTCCATCACTGAGACAAATAGCATGATCTGACATGGGCCCAAGCTCACCATCCGCAATCGCATAGCATGTGTCACACCTAAAGTAATTGCTATTCTTTTAGGAATATGATTCAGCATTCTTTACAAAAAATTTCTATGAAAGCACATTCATTATATCGCCCATTAATTTCAAGATTACGAGATAATTCGTTATTAAAAAATCACAAGATTTAAAAGATTATTACTGTAGTAACAGTTACCTATAGAATACAACATCCCCAACAGTATATGTATCATTCTCATCAGGTATGGCACTTCTATCTATATCTATTTCACCGTTCTCTGGGTCCATCCTTTTCTGACATCTCTCTGAAAGCAGATTTTGCATTAACATCATGTAATGTTATGTTTTATAATCCAGACTCTCAGTTTTGTCATTTTAAAATAGCCTACTCAAATTTAAAAACCTATATTATAAACAAATACTTACGTGGTACACATTCAGGAACAGGCGAACTCCATGTCTTGTCAGGAAGGCATGTTGCACTTGACGAACCTTCTAATTTGTATGGTTCGATACATTCAAATGTTACTGTTGCATCGCAGTTGCGCCCACCATTTACGATACCATTGTGTAAGGATAGAGGCTGGCAGGCCTTAACTAAGAAAATACAAAATGAATTATTGTGTCATAAAGGCGTCGAAAATGCATTTTATTATGAATTGAAGTTTGTCTTATTTTTTGAAAAAAGAATGATAGTTTGGACATTCAGCATACACATCTTCTTACTTTCACAAGTTGGTTCGATTGCTGGGGTCCATTGCCCATCAGGTTGACATGTGCGAATCGAATTCGTGTCTGGTCTCAACTCATAACATCTAGGACAAGAGTAAGTAACTTCAGTACCACACACGTTGTCATTTGTTGATATGGTACCAGGTATTGGTGGGTTGGGTTCACTGTCACAAGTTCTACCTGCAAAAGACAAAAATGTTCACTTTACCAATAATTTACATGGACTTAATTTTATAATTAATATTTCTCAAGGAGTGATTGATGCAGCTCGTGTGATCTGTAATTATTTTATTCATAGATAGGTTTCGCACAACGTTTTTAGCTCAACGTATCAAAATCTGTAAGGCAATCATTACATTTATGCGGTTAAATTGCAGTTCAATTCAAACAAGATGCGGTTTTAGCAATATCACATTATGCGGAACCTCTCTATTGTTATCTCACTTACTTATACAAACTGGTTCTGATCCCGACCAAGATCCATCTTGCTGACACGTTCGCTCGGGTGAACCAGATAGTAAAAGACATGGGTCTGTACATGAGTATGAAATGGTAGTTCCACATGTTATGTCTTGTGAGCTTATGGCTCCCCCACTAGGTGCTTCAAGCACAGAGCACGTAATAGCTGAAATATTTTAACATTATATATTACATCATGCATATCCAGATCTTCAATTGTTATGGCAAGATGACTATCACACATCACATCCGATTAATACAATAGTTTTTTCGTTGTTATACATTATTGCCGCATTGTATAACGTACACGATGCGGCGTATATTAAAGCCTTTATTCATAATATAAATAACTTACCTTCGCACTGAGGAGGGGTTGGGTTATCCCATTCACCCGTGGGTAAACACAAGCGATCATTGTCACGGACTCCAACGCTATCTGCCATGATCATAAAGCATGCTGCACATCTAAACACCAGTCTATCATTGGCCCCATATGTATCGGTATCAGGGTCTATTGGTGAAGACTCATCCACGTTTTTCCTTACATTCGGATCTGCTGGTATCATATCTTGACACCTTGCTAAATAATGAAATGGAGGATTTTATATTATCTTAAGGTCCATGTACAGCGTTGATAGTACACCATATCCATTGACATTCCCTACCCTTCCATTACCGTCACTGCTGGTTATGAGACAAATATTTGGAAACTTCTGATTGGTTGAAAAAGCTTCCAGATTGATACATCACATAGTAACAGGACGATAAATCAGCATGTAAATCAAATGTTCATACCACATTGAAAGTCGAAGAATTGAGCCAAAGACATAAGACCACCATTTGATTTTGTGAGAGCATGAGTAATACAACATTTTCTACTGCTTAACCCATGGAAGCATTACCTTTACAGCTGGGTGGGTTAGGTACCCATTCGACAGTTCCATCGTCTTGCAATGTGCATTGAATTGTTGACTGGCCATAAATATAATATCCAGCGTCACATGTTACTTGTGCCAATCCCCCACAATCATTTGTTCCTTGGACGTTTCCATTATCAACTGTCATTTGTGAACATGACAACACTAAAAGATACAATAATGTTTAACTGGTTAAACTGTAGTAATCAAATACTACTGAAATCGAGAGTTTAAATATGGTAATGGTAAACGAACAACACTGGAATGACTGGTAAGAATATGGCAGTCATAGTATCATTGATGCTTAATCATTATGCTTAATGTTAAGACGGAGTCTGATAGAATTGTTGAGACATTTTCGGGAATTTAAAAAACAACTTTGGAATATCGAGTAATGATCAAATAAACAACCAATTAGGAGAAACATGCATGACGACAGTCAACATTACAACTGATCACCAAGACTAGCTGCTGATAACAACAAACGCAAGGTACAAAGTATTATTAGTATACTCAAGACGTAAGTTACTTGTGCAAGTTGGTTCCAACAAAGGCGACCATTGTGGATCTTCTGGAGGATTTGCTATACATGTTCTTTGTGGAGACCCTGATAATGTGAAACATGCATCACATGTATATGTAACAGTTGTGTTGATCGTGTTGGTTTTTGGCTCTGCAGTTCCGCTTGATGGATCTTCAGGCATCGGTTCACAATAATTTTCTGAAATGAAAAAAGAAACAAAAAATAAAGAAGCCTGTGAATTCCTAAAAGTGTATCGATTTGTACAATTATACACATAGAGTTTACTTTTTCTTGCAAGGTTCCATTACAACCTTTGGTCCTTCCCCTTGGCACTTGCGCTTAGGCTGTATATACTGTCATATTGTTTAAATTGGTTTGTACAGTTTAATAAGATGCTATATATTTGTCTCATGCTCTAGAGTCCATTTAATTATCTACTCAGTATACTTACTTTCGCAGGTTGGTGGTTCATTGCTCCATATCGCTGATCCTTGAGTTTCTCCAACACTGCACACGGTATTTATTGGCCCCTTGCGTGTATAACCAGCATCGCATTCAAATGTTATAACATCACCACAGTTCTCATTTCCAGTCATTGGATATCTTTTTCCATTTGCAGGTGCAAGAATTGTTTCACATTTGGTAACTGAAAGTATAAAATTGTTTTGGCGTTAACTGATTATTCTGAATGAAATGTCTCTAGCATTGTTGTAATATATTGTTATATAACTGCACATATGACAATTGAATACCAACCTTCACAGGTCGGTGCAGGACTTTCCCAGCCTGATTCACTGCAAACTCTTTCACTGGTTCCCTTAAGTCTATAACATGGATCACAAGAGTAGGTGACAGAACTTCCACAAGAACTTTCTCCAATGATTGCTCCATTATCTGGTTCAACAGCTTTTGGATTACATTCTCGTCCTATCAACAAAAATTTGTACATTTAATAAAATAAAATAAATCAGGATTAGAACAATATTAGGTTATGTAGGTTGTGTGTAGGTTGTATGTAAGCATTCAGTTATCATTTACACATATTCTACTTCATTTTGATGGACCATCCCTTTATTCTTTAAAAACATATATTTAAGAGTAACGCGTACTTAAACATGTTGGCTCATTTGGAGGGTCCCATGCTCCGCTTGGAGTGCATGTTCTTGTTTCTGCCCCTACTAGCTCAGAGCATGGATCTGTGCAGGTATATGTCGCAACACTAAGGCAGTCGTTGCTATATGTGCTTACAGTACCACCGATAGGATCTTTTGGAATGAATTGACACGAGACACCTGGAACAGACACATAATCATGATAGTGCTAAAGTTCAAAAGCTCTGTGGGCTAATAGTGTATGTTTACTTCAACTTATTGTACATTATGTCTCATTGGAACAAATAATTTCATTTTCGTGTTGACTTACGAGAACATATTGGTAGCTGCTTAGGTTCATATCGAATATCTCCTGTGATTCCATCCTCAATACACGTACGAATGGGTTCAGCGATTTGATAACATTCATTACATGAATATTCGACATACGTTCCTACTTCAACAGGGCCTGGGAACTGTTTCTCAAAAGTGCCATTTATTATTGGAAGTGGCTCATCACAATCTAACATAAAACAAACAAAAAATCGAAATTAATACAACACCGAACGATTAATTCGAATCATCCGACAAAATGACTATGATTTTATAATTATTAACCACTGTTTTCTTCATATCATAGTACCTTGAATAAAGATCGACCTCAATATCAAGTGGTAGTTAAAGAACTGATGGAGAGCGAGTTTTAATTTAGTGTCACGAGGTTACGACGTTTACAGTCGACCAGCTTAAACATTTGGACGTTCGACACAACTTGTCCAAATCCCCATTAGCCAGTAAGGTGATTAGATAGGACATTACACACGATAATCGGCTTATCAATTAAAGATCGTAAATTATGAATTGTTAACTTACGTGGAATTGCACACCCTCCAGAAGGGCATGTAATCGATGAGTTGAATTTCAAGGTATCTTCGACACAAACTGCAACTTTTACTTCAAGACAATCTGGCTCCCCACATTCCCAGAACACTTTCTCACCGGGGAAGTAAGGAGCTGTATCGCTGTCCGATAAAAGTGGGATTGCTGCTGGATTTTCTGGCTCGGAGCAGGCTAAATAATTAAGAAAAGATAGGGCAAATTGAATGATAGATTTAATCTGAATTTAACAAAATTTAACGATGTCTTACTGAAGCTTATCTGTCTGTTCAATTTGACCAATCTAACCATTTTCATGAAAACATATGTTCTTTTGTAAATTTAATTGAAATTTCGACTTATTTTGTTTACCAAGCAACCCATATACTGAACCTAAAAAACATATAGAGCACGGGGTAGAGCATTTCAAGCTACTGGGAATTAATCAGACATTCGAAATATTCCTTAACTCACTCACTGGGTGTTTATCAAACCCTTGCGTTTATGATTCGTAATGTGTGTGTACTACGTCACCATTTGTCGAATAAGTAGCCATTAGTGAGTTTAAGCTTGCATATAAAATCGAAACGTCAACCTATACGCATGACCAATCGCCCAAACAAATGCATCACTTAAATATTTTCCGTTCACGTTTAGGTTGTGAAAAACATTGCAAGCTTAAACTCCCTACTGCTTACAAAACGTGGTCTAAACATGAGGAAATTGTTATCTTGTTAAGACATAATCATTGGTCAGGAATCACAGCGTTTTTTGCATAGTCATGTTACCATATCAAATCGAGAATATAAACGAGGAATTTATCGTATAAAGTTATTCTTTAAATATCATAATCTATATGTATAAGTATTCTTTGTTGCGAAATGCGAAATTTCAGTTCAGTTATGGTTATAACATATAGCTAGCTATACGCATAAACGTAACTAAGAGTTTCATTAGCGAAATCTCTCTATTGTTTCTTTGTTAATCTTTTCACCTTTACTTGCATATTCTTGTTTACATTAAAAACACAATATATGACGGGGGCAATGAGTTATTACCATCATCCATGCATCTTTGTGTATTGCAATCCGTTATTTTTTCTTCGGTTACTACACATGAATCGTGTGAATCTGTTGGGTTGACGCAGCTACGTTCCAGTCTTTGCTTCCCTCCTCCACACGATGCACTGCAGGGAGAAATAACCCTCCAGTCCCCGAATCCAGATGGGTCTGTAACACAATCGTTTAATTATTCCATGATGACAATAATGAAATCGGGTAATAATTTATTTTAATGATATATAAAATGCCTGTTTATTAAATGAAGAACACGTAACGTTGTAGGAAGTAACAACGTGTGACCAATAATTTATTTCTTATATATCAGTGGTACCTGTACATTCTTCCAAGCAGCTCTGTTTCTCAACTTCTTTTTGATAACACCTTCTTGGCCTATCGGGATAATCGTTATCGCCATTATAGTCATTATCCTCGTCAGATGTATCAGAACCATGACTGTATGTATATTCAGAAGTGTCTCCACTGGATTTGCTCCCAGAGCTGACCTTCGATTGGCTGCCAGAGCTGACCCTCGATTGGCTGCCAGAGCTGACCTTCGATTGGCTGCCAGAGCTGACCTTTGATTCGCTGCCAGAGCTGACCTTCGATTGGCTGCCAGAGCTGTCCTTTGATTGGCTGCCTGAGCTGACCTTTGATTGGCTGCCAGAGCTCATCTTCGATTGACTGCCAGAGCTGACATTCGATTGGCTGTCAGAGCTACTCCCAGAAAAGGTCCTGCGAATACTGAAAAATATTGAATTGAAAAACTTACTTTCGAAGCGAGTGTTTTAATTTTCCAACATAACAAATGTGCGTTAGGCCTTGTATTTTTAATAATTTTAAAACAACAAGATGAGGTGACTTGTTCTGCTGCAGCTTGGTCTTACCGGTTTATATCTTCTACATCCTCTTTGCTTTCAATAGAACTTGCACTTGAGTCGGATTGTTTGCTCGAATCATAAGATGTACTGTTTCCACCTGAACTGCCAGATCCACTGCTCATCTTACTTCCGGATTCACTGCTCATCTTACTTCCGGATTCACTGCTCATTTTACTACCGGATTCACTGCTCATATTACTTCCGGATTCACTGCTCATCTTACTTCCGGATTCACTGCTCATCTTACTGCCCGATTTACTGCTACTTCCACCACTTGCTTTACTCAAACCCGATTCATTGCTACTAATGCTATTGCTGTCCTCCATACTGCTGCGATACGAATGACGACACATATTATTTTACTTAGTGTCAAAAAGTCACACATGTGGCCACTTTTATGGACTTCATTTTGCATTTCAAGAGAAACTGAGATTAAAATTTAATATATGACATGTATGATAAACGTAAGTGGACCATTCTTTAAAACCATCGCACTCGAAATTTTGCAATTGTAATACGAGAACTGGTTCACAGCATTAAGAATGGTGGACAAAATTGTTCGATATCAAAAAGTCTTTGATTTCAACTAAACAAAGGAGAAATCTGAATTCTAAATATTTGTCAATTGAATAGTTACATAATATTTCAAACTGAACAAAAAGTTATAACCGTCAATAAAAAAGACAAAATAGAATACCTCCACGATTCATAGCTGTAGTCTGAGTCTGCTGACGAATCTGTGTATTCACATTTTACCGGGCATCTCCTCCATCTGTATCTGAAGCAGTTTTCAGAACTACATAGACTCCATTCACTCCACTCTTCACATGGTTCACCTAATTAAAGAATTTAATAGTGTTAACGAATTCGCCTTCATTAATTTTTGAGAAAATTCTAAGTTACTAAGTTAACGTGAATTCATGAAACATTTCGATATTTCATAGATTGTAAACAAATATTATGACAACTCAAATAACTTTGAAATGTTGAGCAATACATCTGTTGACTAGTTATAAATCAAAAGCTTAAAAACGTACTTGTACAGTTTTCACAATCCTTTGTGTCTATTTCCTTATCCCAACATAGGCCATCGGGAATAACATATCCATCAGGTATAGTTTCTGGATCAATGCCTCCATCGCTGCTTCTTCCACCACTGCTCCTACTTCCACTCCCGCTTTTGGAACTCCCACTTCCACTCCTGCTTTTGGAACTCCCACTTCCACTCCCGCTCTTAGAACTCCCACTTCCGCTACTTTTGCTACCATGGCTTCCACTACCACTCCTCTTTGTTACATGCATATGGCTACCACTTCCACTGCTTATGCTCTTGTCACTTCTACTACCCGAACTTCTGGAACTATCTGAATTACTTCCTGAATTACTCTTACTGTTCGAGCTACTACTTCCTCTACTTTTACATCTTCTAATGTGACTTCCACTAGATGAACCTGAACCTGAACCTGAATCTGAACTATCTTTACTTGAACCTGATTTGGAACTGTCTTTACTTGAACCTGATTTACTTGAATTGTTACTAGAATCAGACATGTCGTGACTAGCCTTATCACTACTTTCCCCGCTTCCAGAACTTCTCTTCTTACGCCTATAGCCACTACTATTGTTTGTACTGTCAACATTTAATTCAATCTCGACTGAACTATTTTGACTGTCCTTTGATTCACTGCTTGAACCGCTTGATTTGTCACTCTCACTTGAACTATGTTGACTGTCCTTTGATTCACTGCTTGAACCGCTTGATTTGTCACTCTCACTTGAACTATGTTGACTGTCTTTTGATTCACTGCTTGACTTAGCCGAGTCACTTTTCTCCTCACTACTCTCATCTTCATCATCGTCTTCTGGTTCACAATCTTCGTCATCATATTCACTTTCTTCGGAAGATCTGAAATATGAGCTGTTTATTTCACAAGTATTCATACTTGTAAGTAACAATTGTCAACAATCCCCTTATTTGTCCATGCGTGTATCGTTCTAGACTCATCAACCCCCCCCCCCCCCCGATATGATGATATGGGCAAAATGGTTTTTAGTACCAGATATAGTATATGTAAAGATAGATGTGATTAGACTATTACCCTTCGTTTATGTCGCACGGTCTGGGTACATATCGGTATCGTTTTGCTTTACAGCTAATACTATCACAATCACCCCAGTCGGTCCACAATGTTGGGACAGGACCTAAATTAATATATATTAGCAGTCAAATTTAAATATTATCTAGTACCATATGTAACATTAGCTTAACGTCAAATCATACGGGAGCATTTATCAAACAAAATTATCACACTGTAACTTTAAGGTGTTAGATATTAATTTGTATTGTTTTTATTTCAGTGTAATTAAGTCAATCTCCCATTATTGCTATTGTTATTTGTCAAATATTTTGGTTCTTACATTCCACTTGGCAATCCCTAGTCTGTGTTTCAGTTGTAAAGCATTCGTCGCCGAATTCAGGCTCGTGTTCACTGCTTCCTTCACTTGAACGTTGGCTTGAATAAGCACTACTTTTTGATTGATCAGATACTTTGCTATCTGAGTCCGAAGACTTGCTATTGGAATCAGAATCACTGAACCTACTTCGTGTGTCTGTAACGGAACCATACCTATTGTATAGATCTAATGGTTGTTCAATCGAATAAGTTCTTTTCCTACGTGTGTACGATTTGCTATGGGAGGATTCAGATGACTGTTTGGATGAACTTCCTGAACCCGACACATCAGATTTCGAACTTCCAGAGCCAGAACTTCTAGAACCCGATCGCTTAGATCCTCTCCTCCGACGCCTTAAAATAACATTTTCATTAATATCCAGAAAGACAAAACTGAAATGCCCATTGTAAGAAACATGTAATTACATTTAATTAGATAATTATAAAGATTTAATTCCATTACTTGCTGGTAAATTCATCAGCGGCACATTCACTTGGACAAGTCCTATGGCGTTTCTGTTTGCAGGTTAACATATTGCAATCTAAAATATATGTAATATGATGTGGATGTTGTGCAATACGGTGGTATGGTATATGTGGAAGTTAACTATATAGCATGAAGAAAACATGTCATTTAATAAAGGAGAGGGCAGCAGTACGAATACTAAATTAATATTGCAAAAAATTGAAATAGTTACCACTCCACGTAGACCAATGAGTACAGGTTGTATTGATGACAGTGTCGTTTTCAGATATCTCCCAAAGTTCCACACTACTTCTGTCAGAGCGCTCACCACTACTCTTACTCTTGCTTCCACTCTTATATGAGTGGGATCCACTACTTTTCCTACTACTGCCTCCACTACCATGGCTGGATCTACTTCTACTTCCCCAGCTTTTCTTTGACTTGCTTTTGCGTTTTCCCTTCCTAATATATAATCACAACGTTAGTGCAGTAATACATAATCACTACGTTAGTGAAGTAATATATAATCACAACGTTAGTGAAGTAATATATAATCACAACGTTAGTGCAGTAATATATAATCACAACGTTAGTGCAGTAATACATAATCACTACGTTAGTGAAGTAATATATAATCACAACGTTAGTGAAGTAATATATAATCACAACGTTAGTGCAGTAATATATAATCACAACGTTAGTGCAGTAATACATAATCACTACGTTAGTGAAGTAATATATAATCACAACGTTAGTGAAGTAATATATAATCACAACGTTAGTGCAGTAATACATAATCACTACGTTAGTGAAGTAATATATAATCACAACGTTAGTGCAGTAATACATAATCACAACGTTAGTGAAGTAATATATAATCACAACGTTAGTGCAGTAATATTTAATCACAACGTTAGCACAGTAATATTTAATCACAGCGTTAGTGCAGTAATATATAATCACAACGTTGGTGCAGTAATACATAATCACAACGTTAGTGCAGTAATACATAATCACAACGTTAATGCAGTAATATATAATCACAACGTTGGTGCAGTAATACATAATCACAACGTTAGTGCAGTAATATATAATCACAACGTTGGTGCAGTAATACATAATCACAACGTTAGTGCAGTAATATATAATCACAACGTTAGCGCAGTAATATTTAATCACAGCGTTAGTGCAGTAATATATAATCACAACGTTGGTGCAGTAATACATAATCACAACGTTAGTGCAGTAATATATAATCACAACGTTAATGCAGTAATATATAATCACAACGTTGGTGCAGTAATTCATAATCACAACGTTAGTGCAGTAATATATAATCACAACGTTGGTGCAGTAATACATAATCACAACGTTAGTGCAGTAATATATAATCAAAATGTTAGTGCAGCCCATTTGTACAATAATTAGGTTAGATTTTGTTTTAATAAAGTGTATTCAGTAAATTCAAACATTTATACAAGTTATACATAATATAAAATGGTACTAATAGGAATACAGGACTAATTAGATTTTAGAATAAACAAAAAACTTCCGATGTATAAACAGATATGAGGACGGAACCTGCACGAAGTTATACGTACAGTTTTTTGCCTCGGTACTTCCATTGTGGTAGAGTAAATTCTTCCTCTTCGATTATAACCTCTTCGTCTTCTATTTCTTCAGATGATTCCGACCCTAAAATATTACACAGATTTGATCGATGTAGTATGTCATTTAGAACATACAATAACTGAATAATACATTTTTAAAACGTTTAATATAATTATTCTAATGAGGTATCTCAAACAAAACATTTACCATATTGATCAGGACATGTACTACATGGAATGGTGTACTCCGCTACTTGCTCAAATTCATTTTTCTCGTTTAGGCAGTAACTTCCAATGGGAATACACTGTGTCCGCACCCGTTGTAAGCATTCTCCCTTTCTTTTGAAGCACGATCCAATAGCTTCTTCGGGACCATATATATCACTGACTAATTAATATAAAAAGAGTTCCACGACTTCAACACATTGGTTTGTTAACTAGTCGACTACTGACACATGTATTAAAAAGAGAAATGGGTTTTCAAAATCCAATAGAGAACTTAATAATGTTCACGAGAAAGAAAAAAAAACATTTTCAAAACAAAGAGGGCGACACAAGCTGTTGTCAGTCATAAATGCCTGGCAAAGATACGCATTACTGTGACAGTAATATGAGCTGGAAAAGTCCATAAAATGAATAAATATAACTTCGTAATGAACATTGAACTTCTTTCACGAGCATACGTTCAAGTTGTTTATTTCATCATGATATCGTGAATAACTCACATCTTGGTTTTTTGTTACAAAGAGGGCCATAACAGCAACCAGAACAGTCTGAGAATGTCCGGTTCCCCTGCTGTATTCGTGTGATTATTAAACCCTCCTGACAAGTACTAACAGGCTTGCATCCAAAGTCCCTATAGGAGGTGACAGTGTTGGTCTCATCTAAGTGGACATCGAATCCACAGACCTGAATTAGTTTAACAAGCCTATGATAATTACAAATAATGTAAAGTTGTGGATTCTTTTGAGAAGGTAAATTGCTTGCATTAGAGTGATAAGAATTTTCAGTATACAAAAAAGGAAAGCGAAATTAAAATGGAAAAAGATGCATTGTACAAATATATTAATTGACCATATAAAGAATTGAAACTCTTCCCATTTCTGTTTAGTTCAAAAATCTATTCATGAAAACACCGAACGAAATCCGGTAAGTAAGACTACTAAACCGGTTGGAATGTACTTAGTGCTTCCTACCTCTCCCCCTGCACACTTGATTTCTCTTCGACACGCTGTTGGGTCTGTCGTGTTTTGACATGAAAAGCATTTCGTACCCTCTGTATCCTTACTTCCCTCAAATGAATATTGTTCAATGAAGTCTAAAATAAGAAATCTAAAGTTAACATTAACATTACTCTGAGAATTTTTGATCGGTATAATCGAGCTAGAACTAAATCTCAAAGCTTTCACCAAACGAGCTATGGCTATACAGTAGGATAGCCTCCCTAACCATAATTTCATACTAGAGATCTAAAACTAAGTCGTATTTAAATAAATAATCCCACAGAAAACGGTACATACCACGTGCACGAAGTCGATGACGATCCCCAAATGTCGCAAATGTAGTTGGCAGTACACATATCCAGAGGATGAACAACGGACCCAAATACGAGCACTTGCCCATACAGGCAGGTTGTCTGAACAATAAGATAAAATGCCTCAGTCAAATTTGCTGCGGCGATTTATAAAGTCGCCACATCCCTCCCACGGTTTCATACTGGAGCAGACGCATATGCTGGGCTTGCCGCATTGCTTATTTCGCCAGTGGTGGAATTCTTCAATCTGGTTACGAAAACTTGTAACAACAAATGTCGAGGGCTCAGAGATACAATTTTTCTGTTTCCATAATTTCACGAATTGATGATGCATGCTGACACACGTTTGTGCCAAAAGGGTCGTGCAAATTCTGGAGTTTCTTGAAATCATGGGAAAAGAAAAATCGTACATTCGAGGTTGCGACATTTTGTTACCGGAACAGATCCATTTTCGTAGAGTTTGAAGAGTTCCATCACAGTATGGCCTTAAAAGTGATAACGCACGGTCGACTCCACTCTATAATTCCATTGCAACCCCATACAGCCTGTGTACATATTTTACAGAGGAGATGATGAAATTACCCTTTTGTTGTTAAACATTATAAGTAGACTGTTTGAAATGTACACATCGCAAAAGGATTAGTTGATAACTATTTAAAAAATGATTTTCTTAATTACTCACGGAGTATTTGGCATCATACCCACTGGATCCTTTCTCTGCCGTAGTATCACTAAGAACGCTACGTTTGCTTAATTCGATTTATAAATCATTACAATAAATTATACCAAACAATAGAATCCGCAACTTAGATATCTTTTTATAATTATCTCAAGAATTAAAACCTAAATGTTAATTGATTTTTAATGGAGCTACGAGTTATAAACAACCAATTGCATTCATTCCTTCAACATATACACATGTCACTCCATGCAAAATACGAAAACATTTTTGGGAACAATAGTAATTAGCAGTATTTGCAAAGGATATCTAGATCAGATGTGGATTAATCATTCAAATAGTCTTAACCTTAATTAATCAAAAGGACGCCCTTTGAACATTTTCAACATAAGTCAATCCAATAATAATCTGTTGCTGCACCCTTAATAGATTGTTTTATAAAATAAAGATTTTTCTGACAATGTCGGCTATATATCTTGTGTTTATGTAATTTCATTTCATTGTGAAAAGTGCTACTTCTGTTTCCGATAATAAACGACCACTTGGATCTCATTTTGATCACTGTTTGGACCATTGTGTTTCATGGACGACGATCTATTTTTTTAATTTTTTTTATTAATCATCTTTATTATATTCCATAAAATACAGATATACAAACTTAAACAATTGCCAAAGTCTAATGACATTAACGGCAATTTTGAGTGAAATCCAAAGGAATGTTATTCAATTTTTACATAATAAGTTATTTTTATGTCATGTTATTGTTAAAATAGATGAAAAAAAGTCAATAAAATATCATCACACTGCACTCGTATATCACAAAGATGTGTACGGTTTTTTCCCTTGGCCAGAGGGATTTCAGTTTCAATCGATTACATGTCCAAAAGATCTAGACCCTGGTGGATATAATATGCTACTATGTTCATTAGTTTCTCATTGACATCTATTGGAAATTTATTATCTCCAAAAAGTAAGAACTGGGATTGATCATGCATATTAAGTCCATCATAGTGGGTACGGATCCCTATCGTCTCCAATCCTGCAAGTAGTGTTGTTCTCTGTTCTGTCAGCAGTGGGCATTTCAACAGGAAATGTAAAGTTGTATTGTCACATAAACATTTAGGATTAGCACTTGTATATCATTCTCATAAGACCTGACAAGATTACAAATGAAAGGAGGAAAGTTATTATATCTTGCTTTAAAAATAAATATTTTGAGATGTTCCTCTCTTCTAGAGGATAAAGTTTTTCAGTTTATCGATGAGAGAACTTTATTAGTGTTCGAGCCATGGATTGCTCCAGAGACTAGACATGCTGCTCTATAATGTAACCGTTCAAGAGATTGCAATTTGGTATCTGATGCACTATTGTATATGATGTCACAATAATCAAAATGAGGTAGTATGTACGCATTATATAAAGTTTCAAGGTGCTTGCTTGACAAGATCTTGCAGAGTTTCTTCATGGGCCTCATCAGGCTTATTACTTTGTTAATTAAGTGGTCAATGTGAGCATGATACATTGAACTTTGAGATTGGATATTATGTATCCTACATCGTTTGCTTCATATAAGTACTACTGTAGTATCTACAACTGTTTTTGATATTAGGGCTGTTGGATAACATTTTTACTATGTTCTTCAATTAAAATGTACTGTAATAACGGTCTTGTGGTTTTTGTAATGAAGTATTTTATAGACATTTTACATTATTTCTATACATATATTTCGAATCCATTGACAATTACATCGTCATACACGTCCATCGTCCTTCGTGATAACAGCAATGTGTAGAGCTGGGTATATAGCATTGAGTGTCCACTTCGGTGCCATATTGTTCACGAAAGGGGCATTCGTAAAATAGTATGGAAGATATTTCAAATCATTTTTGATTTAAAAGCAAAACATCACTGTGCATCATTGGTCTTCAAAGCAGAACATATATCGGTAATTTGAATGTCACCTATCAGATAAAACTATTAACTTTCATTTTAATTATTAGCATTTTCATTTGAGAAATCTGAATGTCCATACCATGTAAATCAATATCTGAATAATTAGTACAGTTATGTATCTTACAATTCCTACTGGAACAAGTTACGATACGATTTGGGGTGAAATCACTCAGTACTTTAAGCAATTGTAGCCGCGAAAATGCGAAAAACCCAGTGATCATTTTCAGGGAGGGGGTCTAAAATGGGGAAATCAGAGCAAGATTTTCTAAATTATTTGCCAATTTATATTGTTCTATTATGCATATATCACTTCATTTTATTGTCTGAATGTACATTCATTCATGTATTTCCAAATCTTGTAACATTTCAAGCCCGAAGTCAACTTTTGCCATGGGGGATTCGGTTTTAAAAAATCTAGAATGGGAGATCTTTGACAATTTAGGCTCAAAACCACTTGAAAAGTGCTCAAAAATGTGAAAATTGCATGATTTTGAAAGAATTTTTGGCCAAATTGGGTGCTTTGTTCGAATCCCTTATTCTAGCCTCCCCTGGTTACGGCCTTCATGTGAAGTACATTTGTGGACTGCATTTCATTTCTTAAGAATACACAATAATCGGTACGATTCATTTTTATGTTTTACCCAGCCCTATCTGCAAGCTATTGTCCTATGGTGGCATACTATTCATATATGTAGCTCAAAGCACCACCTGAGTATTTAAGGTTACATTTTATTGTCATTTGTCATTTTTACTACAGAATAGTTTTTGAATCCATACGTTTTCATGTTCTCTGTGCCTAAGAATGACTGTATAATTCAAAAATGATGTCATTGGTTGTTGTGTTACACTAATGAAACAACATATTACAGCGTGGGGAAATCATAAATTTTTTTTATTTCGGTATAACTTTTTTAAAAACGCAATGAGTCTACTTAAAATGCAGGAATGACATGCGCAATTGTTCCTGAAATGGGATAAATGAATCGTTAGCGGTTTTTGAATAAGAAAGATTGTAACAGACACTAAGGGCTTTATTGAAAATATATGAAGGGTTTCCGGACAACTCGGACCCAGGACAACTCGGACCCAAGACATCTCGGACCCAAGACAACTCGGACCACTTTTTGAAATGATGATTTTTATCAATATATTAGGTTTTAATTATTTTTTAGGTTTATTTTGACATATATTTACACGTCGCACGATACTGGGGACAATTAGCGTAACATTATGGCGTCAAAAAAACAAAACAAAACAATGAGCAGTATAGGGCGCAAACAGCCTTACAACGTCAAAAACGACAAGCGTCACATTTTTTACAAGTTTAGTCATCCTAAAAATAAAATACTTTATCCTTATCTAATCATTACAAAATTTACAGGGTAGCAAGATCTCGAGGACAATATTTCTAAAATGTTTTTGAATTTTGAAAAACGGTCAAGAAATCCACTTGGGGCGTTAGTAAAAATTGATATGTATGGAATTTGTGGTAAAAAATCGATGCGTCACATTTTTTCAAGTCTCGAAAACCAGCTCTTATTTTGATATTATTTGCAAAATAAACAAACCGGTTATTGTTTTGTAAATTTCGCCATGACAATATTGTGCAGTTAAATTTTCTTTCAAATCAGACCTAAATTAGAAGGTTAAATGAAGGTAAACCTATTGCTCGTCCCATTCGCCTTCAAAACCTTACACAATTTTGAAAATTTTAAAAGCGTTCGTATAAGATAATTTGAAATGTAGCCGTAAAGCAATTGTGACGTCATAAATGCAAATGTTCCATTGAATAAATTGTGAAATTTAAGTGGGATTTTGATCATTATTTGAAAAGTTATCTCAATTTCAACGAGCCCTGTAACCGTAAAGTGTTACGTCTTACAGCGTATTTGACGATGTCGGAGTATATTTAACTTTAAAAATGTGTTGGATCCCATCAAAATTTTGAAGGAAAAATAATTTCATTGAAATGCAAATAAAAAATACTTCAAAATGATATGTAAAACACATAGTTGGCCTTTTAAATAAGGCAGAGATTAACGTTCAAAGCTGAGATAAGCCCGCATTTCCCGAATTGTCCCCAGGTCCGTGCACGTCATAATTATATATTGTGAATTCATATGTTATGTTAATTTGATGAAATTGTTTTAAATTAACGTTTTGATGAGAGTTAAGAAGTAAAGAAATGTTTTTTATGACATAATTTATATATTGTGAATTGATATATTGTGGTAATTCGATGAATTTGTTTTAAATTAAATTAACTTTAATTTCAAAAAGTGGCCCGAGTTGTCTTGGGTCTTCAGCTTCAATATTCTTTTACTGGTCCTACTTCATAACTTTCATCAAATAAGTTAATTGAAAGGTTACCAATTGAAAGATCTACATCAAATAAATACAATATATAAACTCGCAATATGTCCTGCCAAACATTAAAGAAATAATCCCCAATTACGACAACCAAAAGTATAATTTCAGAAAGTGGTCCGAGCTGCTTGGGTTTCTAGTTTCAATATCCTCTACTTAATTTTCATCAAATAAGTCAAATTAAAACATTTTTTTATCATATTAACACAAAATATGAATTCACAATATATAATATATAATTTTCATAAATGAAAGAATAAAACCACTCATTATGATAAAAATCATAATTTTAAAAAGTGGTCCGAGTTGTCTTGGGTCCGAGATGTCTTGGGTCCGAGTTGTCCAGGGTCCGAGTTGTCCTGGGTCCGAGTTGTCCAGTTACCATATGAAGCCTTCGGGATAATATTCAAAGCAATAATTCTACAAAGATATTGGTCATGTCTGGAACAATAGTTTCAGATTGACAACTTATACATTGAGTCAGAGAGACATGTTAGGTATGGTGCTTGTACTGTTGGTCTTTATAGTTCTGATAAGAACTGAAGCATTCACATTGTGAGTGTATTGAGACCGATAAGGCAGATTTGAACTGAGTCTAAGAAAATCAAGAAAAACAGAACTGGTGATGTGTTTCTCTGACAGACTGAATAATATGTAAATCTGGTAATATAATTCGAGGCATAACTAATATCATTGTATTCAGAAATCCATGGAGATTTTTTTTTCCCCATTTCAGGAACGATTTCAGAAATCTACGTATTTTCATGAACATTACATAAAAATGTGGACGTTTTTTTAGACAAACATGCATGCTTAAGTCACTGAAAGTGGGTCTAATAGCTCTAATATCCTATGGCTAATCTTAGTATGCGCTATATCCCCAAGAAATTGGGTGAATTGTACTATTCCTTACAGCATTACTTTTGAATCGTATACCTTACAATAATTTCAAACAGCACCTTCTCGTGACGATATGCCACTCGGATTGATACATGAAGACAAATTTGCAATTTACTGATACAGTATTACACATACCATTTTATTTTGAATACATATTCTCTTTGATTACACACATATATATCCATATCAGTCACAAAATGGGACCGTTGTTTCCAAAAGCATCGGTTCCAGATGTCCTGCTACATATACACTAATCTAATCAGTGATGATTCCAAAACGATAGTGCATGAATTAAGAATCTAAAGAATTATACATTTCAAACGCATATACACAACTTCACGTATTTCTACATCTTCCCCTGAAACAGAACTCTGAAAAACATTGCTCATCGCCATCGGGACATACTCGTCCATTTTTCTGTTTTGCCTTGCACGTGAACTCATTCCGATTGCAGTATTGTTCTGGTTCACAGTTTGTTAACGTGCTGTTCACACAGGACCTGCAAATGCTCTTATGACACAATCCGTTCTTACAGTACTCATTGCCATTGCAGCGTCTTCCATTGTCAAGGAGATCGAAACACTCACTCGCAATCGATGTGGATCCTTCACCTCTGCAGTAGAACATTGCGTCACCACCGGTTCCACAATCATCGGCTGTTATACAAGCTCCGCATAACCCATCACAGAAGCCCGGTGTACATTGCTGGAATAAAAATTGAAAATTGTTAAGTCAAAGATTTTATCTTGTTAAAAACATGTTAAAATATAAGATGTCATACTCATAGTAAAATTGTTCATACTCATAGTAAAATTGGACTCTGAACACAGAGCTGGCTAATACACCAATGACTTATGAATGGGCGGGGCTGTGTTCCCTCTTATACATAATGTCTAATTACTGGTGTACTCTTAGATGTTTTCCTTTTTCTTGCTATGGTCTGTAACAAGTTCTAACAAGGATAACAAGTAGCAAGGATGTTGACCCTTTGAATTGCCTAATGACTTTGAGATTGGATTTCGTCTATCCCACATCATCTTTATGAGTACGAGTGTCAATTAGTATTTTTGAAGAAATTGATTGGCTATCAATTTGTTCAATTTTTTTCAACATGTAGGTATAGAAGTCATAGCACAACATGTATGTGCTTTGACTTCAGTATGTATGAAATGTCCCTTGATCTGGATTGTGATATTGGTTCTTGATTGGAAGTCGAGTGAGTGTTAGAAATTATTTCTTTTCACGTTAGATCAATAATGGATAAATAAGGTATATTTTCTTGACAGGTTTACACCTAGAGTTTGCTTTACCTACTACTGTAGGTTCCTTAACAGTTTTTGTCCCTTTCCCTTTGGCAGGTGCATAGATATATTTATTTAGTCCATTCTCTTTGGCACTTGCGAACTTATTCATCACATATCGCTTTTATGCATATAACATGTTTTCATCATGATCAGCAGTTGCTTTGGTTTGTGTATTCTCTTCGTATATGCAGCTCTTACAATGAGACACTTACCGTGTTGCGTGAACATTCTGAAGCAAATGGGAGCTTTGGTGTGCAAAAGAATGTGTCAACATCATCCTTACAATATTGATCAGCTGGACAATGTGAATCTTCTGTGCATACCTGGCATATTTCGAAACAGAACGTGCTCAGGCATTGCTGAAATTAAAAGTTTAGTCAGAGATAATTAAAGCCCAATATTTTTATGTTTTATAACTAAGTTATACATACTGTATATGTTCATATGTTTTAATACTTACAGATCCCCTTTTACAGTTAATGCCGTTCTCTAATGCTCGTCCGCATGTATTGATTACATCTTTCGTATCATTCAAGCAATATTGCCGTTGTGGACAATGTGAGTCTATGACACAATCACCACAAATGCCATCACAATAGCCACTTTCACATTCCTGTATTAAAAATAATTACTAAGAAAACACATGAATATAAGTATATCGTATATATACTCGTTTATACATACAAGTATACAGTAAACCTGTCTAAATGGAACACCTTTGGTACCTCTAAAAACGTCCCACCTTGGTGGTTTTACACTTACAGATGTTAATTTAACACTAAGTTAGTGTTCCAGTAACAGTGGTGTTCCACTTCTAGAGGTGTTCCACTTTACAAATATACATACCAGTATATATACTACTGTTACTGTATGTATATTTCTACACTTCTTGGACTGATTTCTAACAGTATGATAAACTTAATTAACACAGGGTCGAGAAATCAGACAAGTAATTTTTGTTGTCTCCAAAGTATGGGTTTTCTTTACAGAAATGTAACTTTTACACTAAGCAACAGTTCAACTTCTGAAAATAGCAGTTTCATATATTTCCCTCAGCTAGACACAACAACGTTCCTGTCAAGTGACCCATTTTTAAAACTACCTCCAAATTTTACCTGATTCCCGGCACACGACTGACCATTTGTTTTGGCTCCAGAGCATATATTGATCTTGTTAACGTCATTTTTCCCTAGACATGTAGCCCCAAAGTTACAGTTGAAATCTGTATTGCAGAAGCCACACTTCTGGTCATCGGTCCCACAGTATTTGTCAATACATTGCTAAAAATAAAGTCAAATGCGGTGTAACCCCAACAAACATACTCTGTATTGAAGCATTAAACTTCAGATAAGATTGATGATTCAGCATATATACCATGTATCATACAAAAAATAGAATATTAAACATCTGCTTTTATAACACCAGTCGGAGACATGATGATAAATGAAACATAGCGGAAGTAAACTTACTTCATTTGCCGTACAAGAGGTCCCCGTAGTTAATTTATCTACACAAACTGCCTCGTCAGTGTTACAGTATTTGTCAGTAGGGCAATCAGCAGACACGGCACATTCTTCACGACAAACACCCGTTGTACAGAATCCACTGCCACACTCCTGTTAACAAAATAGATTTTTAATATTGGGTTTCAGCTAGCAAATAGTAATAAAGAATTTCGGAAAGGCAAGTTCAACAGGCAAGTTCAGTCATTTTTGATCAGCAGCTTCTCAAACTGGAACGACGGACATACTCCTTTACAGCTGGTTATAATATCTGCCGGACAATTGAGCTTTTAACGTTGACATCTCATTTATATAGGATGAAGATCTGTAATTTTACCTGTGGCCGTACACATTCGTCTTCGTTTAACTTCTTAGGACTACACCTCCTATTTTCGCTACAATATCGATCTCTGCCGCAATCTATGTCTTTAGAACATGCACATATTCCAAATACACAGGATTTACTGATACATTCCTGAAATAGAAATCCTCCTTAATTTGACCCAATGACGTTATTATTCAAGAAATAAAAAATGAACGTGTGTAGTAACTGGTCAGTCAGCATGGATGCTTTGATTTGTATTAAATTTTCAAGTATTCTATATTCTCATTTTTCAATTTCATATTCTCAGTTTTTCAAAAGTCTATATCGACATTCCTGAGAAACCAAAATATCCATCTTTTTGTTGCAGAATATCACTTTTCAACAGTGACTAGGGAATTGTAACTTTTGATTTACAAATACAGATATACAATGTATTCTTGGCATATACATGTAAGGCCGACTAAAAAAAGTTGTGAGATATTAAAGTTTTTATATTCTAAACTAACCTGTTGCAATTTGTATACAACATACCACATAGGTTTACCATTGTGTTTTATTGTCAGAGAAACTCATTCTAAAATTCTAAAAACTTACGTCGCTTTCACCGCACCGTTCCCCGGATTTCTTTTTCAGTCGACACGTTCGCTCTTCGATAACACAGAACTGATCTTCCAAACAGTCTTTGTTCGTTGTACACCCGTTACTGCACCCTGTCTCGGCACACACGCCTTTACATTCCTTTAGTTGAAATGGCATTAGAATCATATACTTAAAAAAATATATACATACTTGACGGCGTTACGATGTAGGGGAACATGGGGCAAAACGGCCCTCTGGGGCAAAGTGGCCCATCGAAATATCTTTTGAACTATAAAAAGATGGTTCTTCAAAAGTCACAAAATCGAATTTTGAAATATCTGCCGCCTTCTCGAGCGTCCATTTTTAACCAAGCAGCGCTCGCCTTACGTAAGAGGTAATTCTACTTTTCACCCTCTTTTTTGGAAATTACCCCTCTCACGAGAATCTCTAAAAAATCCGGCAACAATAGAATATCGTTTTGATTTAACATTTTACATAGAGTGTGCACATTTATTATTTATTTGTAAAAATTTCGAGCTTCAAATATTAGGCAAATTAAAATGGCGTCTATTTGAAAATTCACATGTCTTTGGGGCAAAACGGCCCACACATGTTATAACATACAAAAATCTTATTGTGCAAGAACAATTGGTTTTCAAATGTAACAATTTTAACATCTGGCTTGTGCCTAATTTCCTTCCGACACATATCGAATGACTAGAATTATGGTAGGGGTTAAGAATACTTTATCTGTCAAAGGTTTGAACGTCTGAGATAAGATGTTTGTGGACGAGTCTTGTAATTGATTAATTTTGGTTTCAAAACCCATGTAACAGAGGGTGGGCCGTTTTGCCCCACCCATGGGCCGTTTTGCCCCACTCTCGACAATATTTTTGACCATTGAAAAATCACAGAAGATAGTCCTAGGAAAGTATAAAACACTCGAAAAATGTAAACCACAAACCATTAATAAAGTGGAACATCAAAGTGCGCGATGATTGACAGATACGAAAATACCCCGTACAGATCAGAGCAACTTAAAATTAAATTTTTTGGGCCGCTTTGCCCCATGTTCCCTTACAAGATCAAAATCACATATTCTAACAGTAGGCATTCTTCAGGTGATATTTTTTTAATCTTTACCCGCCTTAAAAAGCATACCTTATTGTTTTCGCATGCCTCTCCAGGATCTCTCTTTTCTTCGCAAAAGCTTTGAGGGTTGCAAAATGATTCAACGTCACACTGATTATCGAACTGACATTCGGTGCGACAGATGTCATTGATACATGGTCCATTTAAACATGCCTTGAAGAAAAATTCGTATTATTATCCAAAAGTTCGTTTTTGGTACGTTCGTTACTTGAGATTTCGAGAAACTCATTGTCTACATTTTGACGAACAATGACTTGCGACAAAATATATCGTAAGTTACGACAGTTTGAAAACGGACCCCTGAGTATCAGAGTCTATAGCTAGTGCATTAGAATAGCTCTCTTACAAAGAAGCAAAATCAAAGGATTGGAAATCAATTCGTATGAGTATTACCAAAAACCAAGATAACGCTCAAAACACGCCAACTGTTAAATTTCATTTTGTCACAATATGTTACACTTTGTCACAATATGCATATTGGGCTAAATAGACGTTTGTGAAAGACGAATTATTCTTGACTGCCCAAGTTTTCTTACTCTACCCAACTATTGTGGCAACCCAAGTATTCCGAGTTCACCTATTTTATCAGATCTAAAAATTCACAAGAGGGTATCCAAATAAATTGTTGCCGGGAAAAGCAATCAATTCGAAAATTAATCTATCGAGTTGATTTCAAATTGATACAACTTAAAATACTTGTGTGGCACAAAACACTTGGAGCTCCACGTTCAACCTCGTCACAGTACGTTCAACATGTCTTACCTTGTCTTCCGTACATCCACTTCCAGATGGGACTTTATTGGTACACCTCTCACTGCTACAGTACTGAACCGAAGGACAATCGCCATCAGAATCACATCTTGGTAAACAGAAATTATTCTCGCATATTGAAGACAAGCATTCCTAAAAAATAAGTTGTATCAACATACGATATCAATTCCAAAAAGTTTACATTCTATATCCCTTCCACGTTCATTCATGTAAAGATAATTAAAGGCTTTTGGGTTGAGTTCACAAAATGTGTAGATACTTTTTTTACTAGATTGATCTGTACTACAAACATTAAAACATTGTATTTTTAAATACAAGGTAGCATTTCCTAATGTCCATGTGGATATTAACTACATTTTGTATTCTTATTTAAACTAATATATTAAATTATTTTCCAGCACCTCCGAAAAATCAATTACTATTTTGTTCACTCAGAAAAAAGTAATGTGAATTCACGTCCACTTTTGAAAAATATTATCTTATTCTACCTGGTTTTTTACCATAGACACATGTATCTTATTATTTATGCTAAAAAACAACCTCATCACAGTTTACGAACCTCATGTTAAACATTGACTAAAAAATTGTGATTTGCTGTATTAAATATGAATGAAATAATGTACAAATATATAATATGAAATAAAAAAAATCCTGGCTTATTCACCTGTTCACCATGCCAATGAATTGAGATGATTGCAGGATTGTACAAATAGTTTTTCAGAAACAGCCAAGTTTGCTGTCCAATGGGGAGAAAGATAGAAATGTTCATGTTAGATTCAATGGATTCTCTTGAAGGATGGTTTAATGTTCTTTAAAACGTCCCTGACTCCTACCAAGCCTCTCATACAACCCACTATTAGTAATGGTATACCTCTTTTGTATCACATGGTGATCCATTTGGTTTTTTTGGTACACATCTCTGAATGCTGCCACTACCACAAAATTCTTTAGTTTGGTCACAATCAGCATTATTTTGACATTCATCAGTAACTATACCAACAGACTTGCATAAATTTTCCATGCACTTCTCACGTCGTCCACAATCGGAGTCTGTCTTACAATTACCACATGTTCCGTCGACGCAAACGCCACCTATGCATTCCTAAAACATGTTATTCATAAGATGTTAATACGAATCTGCACTGCATCATGCGTGCCTTTTGAAAAAGAGACGCTAATATTATTTAAGTTTTGGGTTCGATTCCTACTTAGGTGGAGTTACTTTTTCACATCAGCCCTAAGCATAAAGTTTGCATATAGTTTGATTCCTGTGTTTAAAATTAACGGAACCATACAAATTAAACCAGTTCATGCAATGGGCTTATCAATTATGCCTCTGTATTAATATTGTAGAAAGCCAGAAAAGGTCGAATAAAGTGTCGTTGAACAATTGTGCACGCGTGGCATACTCTGAAATACACGTGTTTTTTTTATTATTTTAAGTTTCAGAAAACCAGCAAATGCATATCAAAAACACATACCCCATTTGTGCGACAGTCACTCAAGATGTCTTCTAGTTCAATGCATACCCCATTGCTGTCGCAATACGATGTGGTATCGCAGTCATTATCCCCAGAACAAAGTCTGCACTTGTTCTCAAAACACCGTCTACTTTTGCAAGCCTGAAAGAGAATGGAAGAGAACGGTGTTTACATGTCATCCCCGTTATAAGTATTATGCAAGATCTCAGCATAATCGTTTTAATCGGGTCAATTAGTTTTCGTCGTATGCATTTTGGGAACAACAATGTTTTTTTTTTATTTTTCTTGAATACCCAAAGAGAATAAAAAACTTGCTACAAAAATTTACCAACTTTTTCAGTATGATTTTGTATATTTTACAATTGATTTATTTGTATTTCATTAAATGATATGTCAATGTAATAACTATTGAAACTCATCATGGGTTAACCATGGTTTAACATACTTTATTTGTTGTACATATAGCGCCGACATCATCCGTTCTTGGAGCGCATCTATTTGGACGAGTGGGGTTTGACACGCCTTCACAATACCACCCAGAGCCCACCTGAGGACAGTCCGAGTCCTTCTTGCATATACTACACAGTCCATCCGCACACACGCCCATCCTACATTGCTAAAAAGTACAGGGAAATATTTGAAAAGTTCAGAACAAATCCCATAACGCCAACCATGCACAGAGTCTGAGCTTCATATTCAAGTAATGGATGCAATATAAATGTTACTTGAATTAGATTAATGTAGGTTAAACCTAGGTTTCATGAGGGGTATATGGTTGCTATGGGAACGAAACGCCTAGATAAATTGAGCAAGTTTCACCTTTCTAATCTTCAAATTATCAACAGCTGTTCAAATATACGTTTACTAAAATAGCAAAGGATTTGATAAATAAAAGAATAATATAAATATCATAATTACGTCATCCTGCGTACAAGCGGACCCAAATATTAGCTTATCAGTGCATCGGAACAAATGGCAATATTCCATTTCCGGACATTGGTCGCTTCTCGTGCACTCGGGAACAGTATCTGTCAGATATGAATTGTAGGAAATTATGTTGACATTTTAATCTTAGGTTTAATTCAAAAAAACATCAATTAATATCGTTTAACATTAATCAATATTAAATTTTAAGATATTCAAATAAATGTATCTACAATTTCAATATAACTGCTGTATTTATGACAATGTAAAGTTGCACTTTATACTCACTTTTTAAAGAGCTCAAATTAGTTATCAAAATGATTATGACACACTATCCTTTTCTGACGTCCTTGAAAAACAATCCAATATGACACTTTTTGGAAGTGTAAGAAAAAGCAAATAATTATTCCGAGGTACTACTTTTAGAGACATGCCACGAAGTTTCAAAATTATTCTTTTTCCATTATGTAAATATAGGTTTCCTTAACTGACTTTCTCAATTTTAATTTCTAAAGATTCGGTTGATGTTAATTGTCTGAAGTGGACTATGGGACAATAAAAACAGTATCTGTTGTATCATACTGGTAATTTATAACATATGTGCCATATTTGCAATTTGATCATTTGCTAATACACCGTGCACAATACTGTTATATACTGTTACGTTATATTCCACGAATGTTCGTATATGTGATTTGAAGAAGCTACTATCTTGTATCCGTTTGTTGTCTGTCAGATACTACAGGTTGACAGGTTCAAATTTTATAGGCTGATGTATTCGACCTCTGTTCGAGAATACCTTTTACGAAAAGGCTAACACTTTAATTAAAATTGTCATCGGACGACCCACAGTAGTCAATAGTTTGAATGAAGATGGTTTATAAGTTAAAGTGCAGTGTTTTTAAATGGCTCTAAAATGGTCTATGGGTGGCTATTTGGACCAGTGTACTTTTAACGTCGTTAAATTCTAATTTTTACGCGTTAATAAGTTGATTTTTAACACGTCAAAAAATCATTTTTTACGAGAAAAATTTTTAATGCGTAAGAAATGTAACACGTTGATGACGCATTAGCTAGCATTACAATGTGTGTGCTAATTTAAAAACATAAATGCCGAGTTGCTGACTGACAAAAATCCAAACGATGTTTCTGCTGCGTTCTCGTCAAGATTTTGTCCTATCAAACTACAAATTGAATGATTTTTGAATGGGGATATTTGAATGGAATGAGATTTTTTATTAAGATTCTTACCGTGTCAAAAAAAAGTTTTTAACGCGTAAAAAGTACTTTTATATATAACGCGTCAAAAATATGACGATAGTTTGGTCCAGATGACAACCCATAGTATTGACAACATGTACGCGAATATGTAGAATTATTGTTATCTCCTTATATTTAGTCATAAAGACATAGGGAAAATGTTGTAATCAGATCCTTTTTAAAAAACAAGAGTAATCCAAGTGGATAATAATAAAACACATTCACGAACAAGTTCTCTTAAAATCAAGGTAACTCTCCCTATTGAAAAAAAACTAAAAAACTATCATAATAGTTATCCTACATGACTACAGAAGCCCACTAACACATACCAAAGATCCTCATATAAAGTTCAATTACGCCTAGTATATTAGAATACTAGCCAGAAATATAGAGTGACCTTTGATGTGTATTGGTGTCTCCAAAAAGGAAGAAACAAACGTTATATAATTGTTGCAGAATGAAAATTTTATTTGCATAATGTTCATTACAATTAATAATTTATAACAATAGCTAAATATAATATTATATTTTCAACATCAGAGACCACTCTAGAAGTATAAGTGTTATACGAGGAAAATCAGACCACAAATCAGAAATTTCTACAAAGCGACTAATACCAAGGGAGTTGTACAGCTATGCTAAATGTGCCTGGTATGGCCTCTAGTCTAGACACTATACAAATAAAACCATCGTAATAATTGATTAATATGAGAGAATGTCCGAGTAACAAGTCCATCGCCAATCACATTGTCATTGTTGATCCATTATTTACCTGGTCGGAAGTTGCTGGTGCAGTGGTACCTGATCACCAATCGTCTTCGTCCTTGTTCACAACCTCTCGGTACACCATCGGGATAGAATATTTCATCTCTTCCACGAAGAGGAACTGAACACGACTGAGCTCCTTTGTCCAAATTACAGTACTTGTTAAGAGTATTCAAAGCGTCACGAGCACTACAACCCCTTTGAATTCGCCCACAAAGATCGTCAACTCCTTTACCGTATTCAACAAACATAACATCTATCGCTGTTCCAGTGGGGCATATCAACATTGCGTCGCCATCTCCGCATTGAATAACTGAAAATTGAAACCACGTATTATTATGGATGAATGTGTTGTTGTATATGCCGCTTCAGGTCGATCTGAGGCCATTTAAGTTAATAAAATACTTTGACATAAGTGTGTACTGAATTTTCGAATCGCAATGACAATGGTATTCATTCCAAGAGGGTCAGTGGTTCACTTTCCATACGTGCATTCAGAGGATACACTTTGCTCATCATTCCTATTTGCAATCGGTACAAATACAATCAGTCACAAGGAACAATCATCAATAGCTAAAGCAATGATCAATTAAACGTCCAAGTGTCTACCCCCTCTCCGTCACAATTCAGAAACCATTATCACAATTCAAAACCACGGACATATCATTCATAGTCATTATAACTATAGGTAAGACCGATTAGGCTACTATGAAGACCAATATTTAAAATCAAAACTGGTAAATGTATCTGCGTTAGATTCTACAAGTACATATAGTTCACATACTTGGGCATGGCTGATTATTACAGGGGAATGTTCTGATTTCTTGTTGTCCATTCGGGCAGATTTGTCCGCTTCCAACAGGTTTTGGACAGTTACACTCCTTGATGATTGGAATATTTCCACCGCCACAGGTTGCATCGCATTGGCCTAATCTTGGGGGACAGTACCCTCCGTTAACTACAAAGGAATTTGTACTAGTATTATAACATGATTGGTAATATGGTTGTTATGTTTTATGTGTTGAGTATCACGGCCTACTATTGTTTCTCTGCTGTCAAATCAAGATGATGTTCACGATTTGTATCAAAATCTCATCTTCAAATTCCAAGGTGGTGTAATTACACAAAAAGTTGGAACAAGCTTGTGAATCAAAATCTCAGATTATCATGTTCGCAATGACAGTTATCCATTTCAAATTGGTCAATATATGTATTTTGTGATATGATATTGGGTGAATAACTACTTACTGCTTTCACAGAGACGCCCATAGTAGCGCTGACCATATTGGTTTAAGAAGCATTGGCAGAACGCAACTCCATTATTGATAACACATGCTCCTTGATTCTTGACACAATCAAAACCCTTACATGGATCTAAAATGAAATAAAGTTCACTTTGAGATTCCAGACACCTGATATTCCACCAAGAGAAACGTTTTCACCATTACACGTTAAATGTTTTAAGAATTCTTTCTTTATTGCTCTTTCAGTCTAAGATATGGAAAGTATGCTTCAGAATATACTGAAATTATAACACATTTGTGGGGTTCTGTTTCTTTCGGATCACCCTGCATGCTGACTGATATGATAATAAAAAACAGATCATGTCGATCAAATTGTTTTATTCAGGCGTTCAAATAAATGGGATATATGCGGGGTTTTATTCAAAGAAAAATAACTTGACTGTACTTACTTTCAGAGCAATCTTTTCCGGTAAACGGATTCACACATGAGCAGAAGAAGTCAGGCCTTCCAGTCAATGGGTCGACGGTCTCAGAACACGAACCACCATTTTTACATGGGGCCGAACTGCACTGCGATTGAGCTTATATTTAAAAAGAATCATTATAATTGTTCAAGCATGTTCCCCAAACCCCTAGTATAAAATACTATTTGGCAATTTGACTTAATACTTCAAAATTCCACTTAATTAAAAGTAAATTCAATGAATGGATACTACTTTAAACTCGTGAAAATAAAGCTAAATATTTCAATTATTATATCATAAAAGAAAATACTTACTCCTGCGGCATCGGGGACCACTAAAGCCAGACGGGCATCTACATTGAAATAGTTTTCCGTTCTCAATGCACGTTCCACCATTTTCACAAGGGTTGGGGAAACAAGCTAAAATCAATGGGAATGAATAGAGTGAGACACATAAGACAGAAAAAGATGATATACAAGATAAAGACTTCAGATAAAAATTGCAGAGATTCCGAAGTTTATGGTGACTGTTGAATTTTTCGAAATCGGGAGGCAATTGTAGTATTTGGAAATATAGAAAATTAAACCATGGTCATATCACTCTACTATACCTAACAACTAGAAATGCATAAGATACTCTGTTTGTCTAATTGTATTGTTTACAATATTTTTGAAAGTACCTTATTAACATCTAACAGTCATCCGATAAACCATTAATAAGGAACAGACAAATAAAAACCAATAATATAATCATTGCTAATAAGCCAAATAGGTTGCTCATGAACAACAAATGCAAGGTATAGTATAACTGAGACCTACGTCGACATATTCCTGTACACGGCTCTTCATATACAAAGTCACCAGAGCATGGCAGTCCAGGAGATACTGGCCGTTTGCACAGACATGTACGTACAAACAGATTTGTCGAACTTTCAGCACAAGGATCGCAGAAAACTGCCTGCAACCCAGGACACCATCCTCCATTAGCTAAATGAAATTGCATAAGGATGAACTAGAGACAAGGAAACCAAATAATTCCATAATTTCTAAATTTACTTTGAAGCAACGGAGGCTTTCATGTCAATGCTTTTTGGCAAAAAACGATGTTGTTTTTCAGAAGAAATATAGTTGTACATACTTCCTTCACATCTCTTCCCAGGATTGTTTGTGGGACAGCGACAAGCGAATCCTGCTTCACTTCCATCTGGGATACACGTACCACCGTTCAAACATGGTCTGGTCTTACAAATGTCATTTGCTAAATTCAAATAACATAATATTTTAGTATAAAGCATTCGATTCACTTCATATCATATTAAGAATTCCGTATGGTGACAGTAAATATATCTTGATTTGCAAGGTTGCAGTTTCTCCAACTATATTATTAGACCATGGAATTCGAATATGCAGTTAATACAAATCCTTACGTGTGCAAGAGCCGTCAATTGCTTTCGTAAAGCCTGCTGGACAGGTACATTGATTCGCACCATCTACCAAGGTACACAACTGGCCATTTCTACACTGCCATGGCCGGGTGTTGACAGATCCAGTTCCAAGACACATGTTCATGATAGTACAATCATCATTGAGCCAACGTGAGCCTCTCTAAAGTGAGAACATGATCAACTTAACAAATAAAACACAAAGGTTTCCATAACAAATTGAAACACGGCATACACTTCACTTATAATGTATCATAGGTGTTTAGTTGGTATATTTTGTTTTCAAATATGTTATCACATGACAAATTTTTATAACAAAATGGATAAACCCCCGTCGGAGGAAATTTCCATTGTCATCATCATGGGCTCTACCACCTCTGATAGAGCCCATGTCATCATTTTAAAATTCATAACTACTGCGGCGCCTCTGTTATGTCTGGTGTTTATGGTCAATTATGTGCATATAATCAGTTTTACTCATAGGTGGTTGCTGCTTTTCTAGTATCTACAAAGAATCATATATTCCAAATTTTATCTTACCGGTCTGAAAATACCATTTTCATCTGTACATCCACATCCAAACGGGAATGGTACACAATCTGTTCCAGACAGTACGAAAAATGGGGGACAGAAGCATCCTTCTACGGGTGCCTCTCCAGGGGGACACGAATCTTCAGCGTTTGGTTCAACACAGGAGTTTTGGCATGATAAGCCATCTTCCTTGTATTCACTTGGGAACGGACAGCTCGGGAACGCTGTAAATAGATATAAGCTAACTGTATTTCGTTGTGTCAATATGATCGTGAACATTTACAGTCTTTATTCAATATCATTTAAACCATTAATTTGACGTAAATTCAAAAATGTGTTATGCCTACGTACGACAATTAGTTTGACTACGCCAACCGCGTACAGTTCCAGATTCAGATGCGCAGAACGCTCCAAAGTCTTCTAGTATATCACAGAATACAGATGGGTCCACGCATAAGTCCATCTGGCACGACTCTAGATAGTATTGTTTGTCAGCATCTGACAATGCTCTTATGCACTGACCGAAAACGCCTGTGATATCACCGAGGATGCTACACTTCCTAAAGACTGTATCTTGGTCGATACATGTGGGAATATCATCCAAGTCGCAGGCTTTACACCTAAAACAACATAGATTAAAATGAAATATGTTACTGACTGATTCAGTGGTTAAGCGTGACATGATATCGAGTTTATTTAGTATGAAATGAGGTGAAAACAAAATTTAAAAATATTTTATTTAACCCTCACCCATCCAATCCAAATTACAGTTGAGAGCTTTTTACGAGCGAACAAAGTCTAATGTTTGCCACCTTACACCTAAAACAACGCTCGCTAGGCTAAACAAAATGGACGCATGTGGATCATGTGCAAAAAAGGTCGCATCAAAAACCTTAAATGTTATATGTGATAGAACAGTGTCATGGGATAATAAATAAACCCATGCATGGGATGGGACAATACTACATGATTGTATAGTTTTGTTTTATCATCATCAGTCACATATACAATTCCTCTTAATAAACCCCATACCTGTGATAGATATTAACGCACGTTATCCCCAACGCATGCAAGACCCTTCCCTGTGAATATCTTCTATATTTTTTTTATCGAAAACTGACTGTAGTTATCTTACTCATCTTGACTGTTCACTTGATAACTGTTTCCAATCTGCGTTCCAGGGTTATCTTGTCCAGCAACAGATTGGCCATTACGTAGTGTCAGGTCATCTGAAGGGTCCCCATTAAAGTTTTGACAAATTCCTTCCACCTTGTTTCTCCAGAAATCTAAAAAATGAACTTAAATTGTGAGGAAGAAGTTTTGTCCTAAATTGTTTTATTCTGTATCCGGCTCCGGTATTTTTCTTTTAATTTATATTAGATGCTACATTTTATATCAATACAAAACTCACTTCCAAGAACAACAAGAGCTCTTGCTGAACCATCCCATTTCACTTTCAAATTTAGTGGCTTGATTTCAACACATACAAACAATCCTTTTAGATAAATGTCAATATCGCCATTTTGAAGTCTCGTACTTGGCTCAACCCTCAGTCCATCAACCTGTGTCGATCATATAAATTCAAATTATTGTACAATTAGTTATACTTATTTCTGTATACACTTGTGTCATTATTCAAAATTTAAACAACTGCTTTCATTTGGTTTCAGGGTTTTCCTGTAGGCCTATAAGAAAGAAAGGCTAACGAACATTGGGAATCTAAATGAAAAATACCATTCTCAGAATGATATTCGAAGCAACAAATTTAGCCCTGATTTAAATCATGCCTCTACACATATTGTAGCACCAGACTGACATATATATTTTATATTTTCATATTTTTAATTATTTACAGAAAAATTGAATATTAGAAGTATCATAAGGTTAATAAGCAAGATGAAGAAAAACTGATTCAGTGTCAAGAAAAAGTGATTAGATTGAGCCTACAATTTGTAGAACTTTTCAATGGTTTGGGACTCAGATTCATACTTTGCTAATCTTCTTGACCAATAATGGAAAATTGAAATTGACCAAGATATATAATTGATTGTAGCATTCATGAAAATAGTGAAATAAAAACATTTACGTTTTTGGCCTACCCTGTAGAATTATTTATTCTATTAACAATTGATGAAGGCATGTGTTTTTTTCATCCATTATATCATATCTCAAAAGATCTATGATATTAAATGTAGCTCGGGCATGATATTGAATGTTATCCCATGGTTGCACATGTTGCAAGGATATAGATGTGGATCAAGACATCATAATTTAGCGAAAATGCCCAAGCCATCGAATATCACTTTTAAGCTATCAAATATCACTTCTTAAAAATTATATTCAATGGTTTCACAAGTGATATTCGATGGTTTTAAAAATGATATTCGATGGTTATGAACTTTTTTTCAATTTATTTTGCTGATGATGAATTTTACTTTCCCGTGGGATAGACTGATAATTCTATGGTTTTCAAAAATATCAATTATGTTCACTGCACCTCAATTTAAAAGAGTTTTTACCTGAACGTTAAATCCACCTGCAACTGGATCATCAAATGAATTTACAGGGTCCTTCGATTTGCCCAACGCTCCTTGAAGCAGCCTGATTTCAAGATTATTGTACTGAATTTCAACATAACGTGTCCACGATCCAATAAAATTGCCTTTCAGGTATTCATTTTGAACTAGAATCTTCCATTGGTTCCATGGACCGGGTTTAGATCCGGATAATAAGTAGAGGCAGGCACACTGGAAGTGTATAGCTGCCCCATCGAATGTCTTGTAATGGGGATCGCCACTAGCTCTGCAAATGCCAAATTCTGAAAAATTGAATCCAATAATGAAACACTGAATTGTGTATTCGATCCATATAAACTTCAAACCACTTCGGTTTCTGTTGAAGTCTTACCCAATGTCACTTTTTACGATATTTTCTTCCTTTTAAAACTTGTTAAACAATCAACATTGGTTTATATTTGAAGCTTAGGTTATTTAGAAAAGTTTAATTCCGGGATTTTGCAAAATATTTCTGATATGTTAAACCATTGAAATGGCACATTAGATATGGAATTTTATTATTGAAATATTGTGTCCTTTGTTCAATCCTTGCATCGGTGATAAAAATAATGTTTTGCAATGTACAGTGTGATATTTGATGATTAAAAAATGGCGGGAAATTTGAATATTTGAGAAATGAAAAGCTATCAACTTATTCAATTTTTTTATGAAAAAATCTCTAACATATCTTTAAAAGTCATGACAAATAAAAAAACATATTTTCATAACTCAATATGTGATATCTATCAAATAGTGAAGTTATTAATGATTCAATGAGCAAAAATGTGTAAAAACTTCTGGGGATTTTTTAAAAATAGGTATGATCATATACAAGAACTGATTACAAGCTAAAATTATTCTAATATTGAAACAAACTGGTAATGTTACATGTTATTGGCTAGGTCTGATGTTGCCTTCAAAAGTGTTTTTTTGTTGCAGTGTTTGAAGATCAGAATATTGACAATCAAAGACAGGACTGAGGACATAATCCAATGGAGAATAAGGGTTAATAAATATATAGAGGGAAATGAATGTCATTCTGAACTAAAATATATCCATACCCATGGAACATGTTGGAGGATTGTTGTCGTAGTTACCGCTTTCGGTACACGTTATCTCAGCATCTCCAGAGAGTGTGTACCCCTCTTTGCAGGCAAACCTCGTTTTGCCACCACACTCTCGATCAGCTGATACTATGAATCCGTTTTCAGGTGGTGTGACCGCCGAGCATTGTAATTCTAGAATAATATAAGTTCATGAAATGGTCTTAAATTTTTAAAACATATACAGCGTGTCCCAAAATATTGACCATGCACTCGGTAAATGGAGAAGGAATATTCTTGAAATTATTCATCTGACAGTATATTTTATTATCATATATATCCAACAGTTTCATTAAGTAACTTTATTTTGTTTTAGAAAAAGCTTGTTTTAGTACCACGTCGTATGATGAATTATGTACCAGTATTGACCCTATGCATCAGTGTGACGTCATGCCTTTGTCCGGCCAGAAAATATTGCTGGCCGTCTAGAAAACGTCATAAGCAACCAGTGCTCAAAATGGCGACGAAGTGATGAGAAAAAGTTAAAAGAGTATGCCTAAATGCTGCGTTGCCAAGCGCGTAGCTACGTTGAGGCAAATGAGGCAGCTGCCTCGTCGCTTTTTACAGCCTTTGAAAAATAATGATCGGATATAAAACCATTAAAATAAGCATCTTTTTCTTGAAAACATACCATTAAAATAAAAGCTTATGTTCTGTTGATTTTATCTAAATATAATTTCATGTACTCTTTATATAGAACTTAAAGTAGCCTTCTCTCAAGACACTTGCGTGCGATTTTATACCGTTCGCACATCGCCTAGCCTTCGTTTTTGAACCAAATTATAACGGCGCCATTTTCAGATTTTTGGTTGATATTATTATGATACAAGACTCACTGTGGCAAGAAGATCAGGTACCTTATTATTTAGGGTATTTCTTTTTTACTTTCACCCAGATATAACGACCTAGGAAGGTCTATCAACACTAATCTACTCAAGAATATTTTTATTCGAAATTCAATTTTACGCTGGTAAAAAAGTCATTTTTATAACTTCCAGCGTAAAGTGTAAAAGTAATCAATGTGCACTTGGCTGAAACGCCAATCTTTGAAATTCATTTTTTATTATTTTTTATCTTTCTATTGAAAGTATAATATTCTATGTCTCAAACGTACTCAGACAACCAATTTTACTTTGGTCAAACAATACTCCAAATTACAATTATAGCATTTAAATCACTGATCTTTTTGAATTACGAAAATAGACACAAGTAATATAGTCTGATAAGATATATGAATAAGTATATTGTATGGGCAGTATATTAAAAAAAACGCTGTTAAGTATATTGCACGATGATAATTAATGTTTGTTTGCGATATGAAATCTATGAAAGATTCAGTTTAAACGATAGATTTTTCCTTGGGAGGAAGAGCAAGTATATTCTTGTCTGATACAACCAATGGATATGAAAAACTGACTTTTATCTGTATTTAATTGATTGCTATATTTTATGCCACCAGAGTGATATCGTGTTACTTGCATTACCTATACAGTGCGTCCCAAAAATGCAACAAAGAAAAACATTGCAAAATCACAAAACCAGTGATGATTACATCAATTTCATTTAGTAAACATATGGAAAAAAGCGGCATAAACAGTCGTTGCCTGTCTTCTTATGAAAGATTAATTATGAAAGATTACATTCCCTTTCCCAATCCCATGACTACTATTTCTCTACTGACTACAACTATTTCTCTACACAGAGCGGACTGGCCTGTGTGTCCATGTCGAACACCTCTTTGAATCATCTGAGGTTCTGGCGGAGAGGAGCAACCTCATTGGTGACTCTTTGTTAACTGTTGCAATATCTAAAACTTGGTCCAGAGCAGATTGTGCAAAATGAATGATTATTCAGTGGTCCGTGGTCTTATATGAATAACTGACATACCATTGGAAAGAAGAGACATGTGGCTTCCAGGTAAACTAAATCAAATTGATGTTATCATCACTGGTTTTGTGATTTTACAATGTTTTTGTTTGTTGCGTTTTTATGGGACGCACTGTATTGTTATTGTCTCTTACTTAAAAAAGTGAAAGATGTTCGGCGTCTGTCGCTCAGCGTTGTAGCAAATTGTTGGTGAAATGTTTGCCTGTTTGATATTGTTCTACTTTAAAACGGCCCCTTTCTGTAAAACTGAAGAGTTGTTTCATAAATAGATTGTTCAAAAGATGACTTAATTTCAGTCCGAATTAGTATATATTACTCAATTGCGTTGGGTTGAAGTATCATAATGATGGAAAATTGTGTTGCCTTGATGAATGCCTGGCTGTACGTATGGTGTACGTATGCGTTTTGCGTTGCGACAATGTGACAGACAGTTGGTTATGAAATATTTTTGCCTCGTCGTTTTTTTCCTTTCTGGCTACGCCACTGGTTGCTGTTGAATGTTCGAATAGAGAACAAGTCGGCATTACGTTTTATCGCTTTCCGAGTGACAAGAAGTCACCTGTAAAAAGAAAGCTAGTATGCATAAATGCTGTAAAAAGGCAAAACTGGGAACCAAAAGAACACGATCGACTTTGCAGCGCTCATTTCTTGTCAGGTACAGTGTAGTATTCGAAACAGACCTGGTTTTCTAAATAATAAGTAAAATAAAATTTAATTATTTATAAAGTTATCAGTAAATAATGCACATTCAAATACCACGCATTGTGTTAATAACGCTATCATTAAACACGAGGGAAGTAGGCCTATGTAAGTAATATTATGTGACTGTCGGTGAGCCACGTTGATTTTCCCGGGCTTTTCTAGACGGCCAGCTGAACTGAGCTGGAAAAATGTGTATTTGTGACGTCACTCGTGCATAGGGTCAATATGAAAAGCTTACTTTCACAAGCTGGAACGACACCATCCCATTCACCACTATTCAAACACTCGATGTCGTCATCAATTCCACCACCACCCAATGGTCCGGAACTTGACAATTTGTAACATCTGTTACATGCGTATCTAATGACGTCACCTGGCTCATACGGTTGGCTAGCACTACCTGCAACTCTGCGTCCATTTTGTGGTGCAAACGGTAGAGGAGCTTCGCAGAATTTTATTTCCACTAAAATATCAATTTTATTTAGTGTAAACACTGAAAAGTTTGTGAAATCAATACGCTGGATTATATTGGTATTTTTATATAGTTTGTAATGGACAGATGCTTTGCTATTACCGCATCTCCTCTGTCAATATTTAAGCAAATATTTCATTCTACAAGGACAATGCTTGAGAATACATAGATGGGATATTTGTTTTGTTATATTACTGCTAGACATTCTCTATGATCAACTTTCATTATCAACTAGTAAAACTTGATGGTTTAAGGATTTAAGCCCTGGACCTTCCTTGAATGTGTTATGCGCAACATACATTGAGTGTTTACCTTTTTTGCAAATAAGTGGTTTATTATCCCATTCCGCTTTAAATGGACCTGTCTGTGTACATCTTATGCGGTCTACCCCTTCTGGGTTGAATCCATCATTGCATTCAAATCGAATTTCATCACCACACTGCTCACTTCCAGAAAATGGTATACGCCGACCTGATGTTGGGGCCGTTATAGCACTACATCGTAATCCTGCAATATGATTTAAAAGATTTTCTGATTTTTAGTTCCTTCACATATTTTAGATTTATTTTGGTATATTTTACATAAAAAACTACACAAGCACATATTCTAGAACAATTTCTGATGTTGGACTGTTAATATTATTTTCAAATAGTCTTCAAGGTTTATTGCAATGGCTTCGTCTTACGATGAAACATGTTGTTATAGCCTTGTTGATTTTGAAAAGGATTTTGAAAGGAAGGTATAAGACAATTTCTTGAGTTAGATCAGTGAAATTTATGTTTGGGATTTCCTTCTGACCGTGCTTATTTTGTAATCTTAAGCGCTCCATTTCTAGTATTTTTACCACTTTTAGCACTTCACCTCTTGACACTTCAATGTTATGTTCTATTAAATCAATGGAGCTACAAACGCGTGTGTAAACATGGTAAATATATGTCACATTATCAAACTTGAGAAATAAATAGTAGCTTGGCCGAAAGAAATGGCGCAGTTCTATAATAAATAAATCAGTGCAAACATACGGTTACAAACAGGAGTAGGTGAATCCCAATCTGCTGTTTTTAAGACTTCACCGGGTTTGATGACTTCCTGGCATGCAATGTCGTCATCGCGATCGTTTCTTCCAGAGGCAAAGATTCTGTAACAGGCATTACAGCCATATCGAAGAATAATACCAACAGCATAAGAAGACTGGGGTCTTCCAGAAACGAATCTTCCATTTACAGGGGGAGAATTCGCTGGTGGAGTGCATTCTGAAATGATGCAATAAAATCTCTGTTATAACAGCAGTACATATTGATGCATTTTTTATTTGTGATGTGTAATGTGGTTCTACAATAAAACTATTACAACCAATTAAAGTTATTAATGAATCGTAATTACCCAGATCTGTCAATCTAGGTACGCATTCTCGTTTCCTATCCCAGTCTGCTATTTTGTTTGGTCCTTCAGTGCAAACGTTCGGTCGATTTGGTTGAAGAACATACTGCACCCCATCCACAATTTCACATTCGTAAAATGCTTTTCCTTGTTTGTCTGGTGAGGTATTGGTCCTGCATAATCTGTCTATTTCAGTTACAATGCCGTTCTGGATAAATCTGATATCTTCACATCTCAACTCTAAATAAAGATGAAATATCCATGAAGGGTTAAAGATGAATAGATGATGTTTGATATACAGATGTATTGTTCAGTATGGTTGTTGCGATATGTATCGGTTGGCGTTTTTGTTATATGAACCTTGTTCTTCTTTTTAAATAATGAATGTTTATTATATAATCATACGCCTTAGTAGTCATTCTTATAAGCTTTAACTCCCGAATATGACCCAAATACAACATGATTCAAAGTGGGACGTCAACATGGGATTCCATTTTCTACAGTACCATTTTCTATCACACTTGACTACAATGTAAGAACTCAAGACATACGTTCACATGTTGGTGCAGGATTGTCCCACTCGCCATTGGCTTGACATCGTATTTGGTCAATCCTTTGACCAAATCTGTTGCGTGCAATACGGAAGCATTCGTTACACTCAAACTTGAATACTTGACCAACTGAATATGGAGGCCCTGAATTTGGTCGCTGGACAACAGCTCCATTTACAGGTGGAGAATTCATCGGTATTGGACATCCAGAACCTAGCGAAAAGCAGGCATTCAATAAGTAAATTTGGAAAATATATGAATAATTGTTCACATGATTCACCTGGAAAATCGGTAAATATTTATTATCGTTTACCAGTATTTACGATCACTAAATAAAAGTAGATTTATTTTTAAAAGTGTAATGAAAATATAAAAACGCATCATCAATAAGTAAATTGCGAAAATATATGAATAATAGACTAGATGCGAGTAGAAAAGATCTTGATTTACGTCATTAAATATTCAAAGTTCAGTCAAAGTGATGTCATATTTGAAATCTACATGTAAAAATACATCTAAAAATATGGTTTCGAAAAATGTTTATCAACTTAAAATTTAATCTTTTTTGAAAATGTGACTTCTAGTTCGGGTTGATTCCCCATAGACTCCATATTACAAAATCACAAAAAGTGAAATATCCTTTCTTGTATTGGACATATAACATTTTCTTTTACTTGACATACTTTAATTTGCATAAGTATTCGATACATAAGGGCTATATGAAAATTGAACCACTAAAACAGATGTAATTTAAGTTAAAGGGAACTTTCTACTATACCCGCCATGCTATCTGACCCGAGCGAGCCACCTGGTGGTGAAACTGGTAACTACCTACTCGCATTTGCGTTATTGTTCACATTGTTCACTTAAAAATCGGTAAATATTTATTCATCGTTGACCAGTATTTACACTAAATAAAAGTAGATTTATTTTCAAAAGTGTGATGTAAAAATTAAAAGGCATTTACTTTGGCATGTAGGTGGTTGACCATTCCAATCGACTTCACCACTACCAGTTGGAGTGCATCGCAATGATTGCCTTCCAACAAGAGTGAATCCATCGTTACATGTAAACTCAACCTCACTACCACAGGAAGTTAATCCAGTAATACGCCCATTTGTAGGTGGTCTCAATACACGACAGAATAATTCTACAAAAATAACGTATGATCTTATACTTGATAGCAGTGTTCCGCCACACTACCAGTGTGGCGGAACGCACGTTTTTGATTTAAGTACTTACGTTCAATGTGTAGATTAATACCAATCACATGTTCAGAAATCAAACCCTGCATATGTTCCGGAAGCCAGGTACAAAAATCAAATGATTAAGTATAACTTCCTCTAATTATATTCCTCAAATTAGTCAGTACGATACTCTTAAGTACGATACTATATGGTATTATTTACTATAGATAGAAATGGTCTAATAATTTTCTTTAATCCAAACTGATTTATGTACGTCATGAATGTTGCAAATGTTAGCCCTTCACACCCCATATGCTTACCCATGGGTTCTCGTTTAGGGCTTACTCTTCAAAAGGTCTATTATCCGATGTACCAAATAATGTGCGGGAAATGTTCACATTTTTTCTATAAATTATCATGCATAAATAAGAAATATAAGAGAATGCACTGAATGGAGTATAGAGATTCCCTTACGCTGACATTGGGGTGGAGGTGTAGCCCATCCATTATCAGTACATTGCCTGGGGTTTGCTCCAGTAAGTCTATAACATGAATCACATCCATACACTGTTTCACCTCCGCATTCAATATCTCTCTTTGTGATCTCTCCATTTGTAGGTGGGAATATGTCGTCACAAACCTTCTCTGCAAATTAGTATTTTTCAATTTCAGGCATTTTGTTATTGTATTCACGATGCGATTTCCAGCTGATTTTGAAGTAGTTCTAGATGTTTCAATAAAATGGGAATCTGTTTCAATTTTTAAATTTTGTTCAATGGACAATTATCTACGAGCTCCCAAAATATCTATGTCATGTATCTATATCAATATAATACCATGCATAATGTTTTACATCAACGTGTGTGGAATTTAGTTACTTAACTAACGTAAACTTACTTTCGCATGTGGGAACAGGACCATCCCATTCAAGACCAGTTAGACACATGATGTCCTTGTCAACAATGTTGAAACGATTGCGTGCGATAGTGTAACATGAATTACACTCATATGAAATTTTCTCAAATGGAGTGTATGGTGGATCGTCAGTTTTTCCGGGACGGTTATCCCTCCTTCCGTTTACGGGTGCAAATGGCATCGGTTCCTCGCATACACCAGCTACATAATATAGTACAAAATTTCGAGCTAATTATATTTGGGATTTAATCCGAGCCATTTTTCCGGATTTGAATTTTCCGACTGCCAGCATCCCCCCATATTCAAGAGAACATGATGTGTATTGTTGCGAAAATTGTTTTTCACTTCATGATTTATATTTAATACAAACATATATCGATCATAAAATACGTTACCTTGGCACTCTGGGACATCTCCGTCCCATTCTCCTATGGGTCCACCAGTGTCTCGACACGTTAGCGTCTTACTGCCAACAAGATCAAATCCGTTAAAGCATGCGAATTCTATCTCTTGGCCACAGTTTACAGTCTGTCTCACGATTCTACCATTCTGCGGGGCAGGTGGCGTTGGACAAGTGATCACTGAAGAATATAAACAAGCAACGCGTGACATTTATTGCAAGATGGTTCCTCAATCTACAGATCTAAGGTTTAACAAAATATTCAGGGCAAAAGCATGAAATTATGAACATTATGATACACTCAACTTGAGTAAGAGTAATTGAAGTTCATCCATAAAATATGAATTAAGAATATCATCGAATTCAATTTTCTTATGACGCACTTTTCTAATTCAGTTTATGACTTTATCTACTGCGTTGCGTCAGGGCCATCATACATTTAGATCAATCATAATTATGTTTGATTAATTTAAATTTTTGTTTACCATTATTTGATGTAGGCTACTCATAGACTATTTTTCTAGAATTAATGTTTATACAATGAAGGTATGTAATTGTAAATGTATCAAAATGATAGTAAATTAAATAACCAATTTGAAATCAATCATTTACGACTTACCTCGACATGTTGGTTGTCGAAGAGGTGACCATCCATTATTTGTACACTCTCTAGTTGGTGAGCCACCAGCGAGCCTGTAACATTCGTTGCAGGTGTACGTCACACTTCTACCGCATTCCGCATTGGATGGACTCACATTGCCATTTGCAGGAGCACTGGGTGCGGGGAGGCATTCTTTCCCTATGAATATTGACAAAATATTCATATTTTGGTGGAATCAATTTTTTCCTGGTTTAAGCATTTAGACATAGGGATAGGGAATAACTTTTTTTAACTATTTCAAATACTGTGATTTAATTGTCTTCATTACTTGAATAACTTACTTTTACATCCGGGAACTGGGTCATCCCAAGTACCATCATTCTGGCATTCTATATCCGGGTCTTTGCGACCAAGCCTGTCTTCTCTATCAATCTCATAGCAATCGTTGCAAGCATAAACAATTCTATCTCTAACATCATATGGTGGATTGAAGTTACCGGCTCTTCTACCATTGGTTGGAACAAATGGCATTGGTTCTGGACATTGTGGTGCTGTTAAATGTATAGACGTTGATATAATTGAGCAATATATTTCATAGAAGTTACATAATACATGCACATTAACATAATAGTATTGGGGTGCACGGAGAATATTGTCAGTACAACAGTGAAAAGATGCAGAGCTTACCGGAACACGTTGGTACTGAACCGGACCATTTTACATTTCGTCCATCGTCCTCGCATTCTAGTCGTTCACTGCCTATCAGGGTAAAGCCATCGTTGCACAAGAACTGTATCTGACCTCCACAATCTGTATTTTGGAACACTATACGTCCATTGGCTAGTGATTGTACTCTCTGACATTGTTGAACTGAAAACGAAAGTATATAACGAAATTTTCGAAAGTAGCCTAACAACACAATGTAAAAGAATACTAGTGGTTGGATTCTTGAGACTGTATATCCTGCCATTTCTGCCTGTGTTATTTATGTGTTAAAATGTACAATTTTCTACTGAGTACCAAGTACTCAAAACACGTACGTTGACAAGTCGGTTCAGCTTGGGGTACGAAATTTCCATCTGGTCCGCATGTTCTTCTTGTCTGGCCAACCGGTCTGTAACATTCGTTGCAAGTGTATGTTGTAGTTGAGCCGCAGTCACCGGATGGGTTCTGTATTCCTCCATTGCGAGGTCGCTGTGGTGGAGGTTGGCAAGTAACTCCTAAAAACAAAATAAAAAACGTTCTGGAAATCCTGAATAAAAATGACTGAGATCGATAAATGGGATTGTTAAGCAAAAGTCGCAATGCTGTTATTATAACTTCAAAAAAGTAAAGGCGAAGTCCAAAAAAGGTCAACAAAATGTCTAATCCCCTTGGTTATGAAAAATTATATTCACGATTAATTAAAAATGATTTGACAAAAGATTTATCTGAAAACTACAACTATATTGAGCCATTTTCAAACGCGGTATTCATCAAGGGTCCATATTGAGTCCACCTTTATTTCTGATAAACTAAAATCGGTCGAATAGATACACACAACAAATAAACATCCGTAAATTCTCAAGAGATCTTAAGAGCTATATTTTTCAATATTTTATCTGAAGTTTTACACACATATGATAGTAATATGTATAGTTCTATAATATATGTTACATAATAGTTGAATCATGGTTTCTATTGTAACAGAAAATGGTGCCCTTAATAAACAGCTAAAATATGTTGACAAAACTGGATATTTATGTTTTTTATCGAGACACTATATGATCGTTTGTATATTTCATAAAGTGGATTTTTCAAATTCAGAAATGTTTACATGCAAAATACTTACTTTCGCATGTTGGCACTGGATCATCCCATTGTTTAGTGTTCTCACAGAGAATAAACTTCTTATCACTATTACCATTAGCATCCCTTATATTATAACATCTGTCACAATCGTAGTAAATTCGATCACCTGAAATATTTCGTTATTTGGATTTGGGTTTATTTGAATTGTACATGATACCATCATGGTAAAACGCGTAATATTTAGTGTTTGTATAATCATTCAATCTCGAAAATTTAGGAACATCTGAACTTGTTTCTCGTGATATTCAAGTTCACAGCAATAGAACGTGAATATTTATGATAATTCATATTGTATCTACATCAGAGTATCTCGGTTTTAATGCTATTTTGCTGAACTCTTGTTATTTGTATTGATTTACATGAAAACTCGAGAACCCATTTGTGCCAAAAATCGGATTTAAGCAGTCCATACCAGGTGTATAAGGTTCTGGTGACGTCTGCCCTGGCCTTGTCCCAACAGGTTCACGTCTTCCATTCTCCGGCGCAAACGGCATAGGATTTGGACATTCCGGTCCTATGGTGTAAAAAATGCTTGAGGATTGTATTTTTGTTGTAAAGTTAAAGCTGGAACGGCTCACTTTCGATTACATTCATGTGTTCACATTTAGTTTTGGTAAAGATTTTAAAAGTTGCTATAAAACTATGATAACTTATATAAGTTATAGTTATGGCAAGCATAGTAGAAAACACTTGACTATGTGCACCATGGGGACAGCATACATTTTATTATAATAATGAAAAAGGGCAATAAAACGAGTTAAAGATTTACAAGTGGGGTGATGAACTTGTCAGCAGTACACGACTTTGAGCATTGACCTTGCTCTATTACTAACTTTAGTTACCTAAATGCACATACAATCAGGAGTATAGTTGTTTCCGAAAATGCTAGGAGTATTTTTCCGATATAACGCAACATTCAACAAACATAAACAATATAGAAAGTAATTTACACCACAAAATAAGACTCACGTGTACAAGTCAAAGGGGTACCACTCCAAGAGGGAGGCAAATTGCCTCTTGGAGTACATGTTACTGTCTGTTGTCCACCAGATGGTATGTAGCCCTGTTCACATCGGTAACTAATAGATTCACCACAATTGTTGTTGCTGCCCAATTGGATCACCCCCTCGCCAACAGGCACAATAGGACATTGAAGTGCTGAAATAATACTCAATTTTGAATTTACTTGATTGGCCTATAGCTAAAACCACTTTACCTCAAGGTTTAATTTGCTTTGTATATATATTTCCATAGTGTGAAACAAAGACGTTCGGTAGAAAATGGACAGGCCACTCAATGCCAAGGTTATACTTATCCCACATTCTTTTCAATCTTGCATTTACCTCACTGCTACATACTTCTTCTCGATTAATTGAATGTGGCTTTAAGATGGTTGGGTAGGAACATGTATGCAATTGTAAACTGGTAAAAGGTCCAAATCTATGTTTATTTATATCCCATAATTTTATCATTTAATCGTCTTGCTGGTTATTAAAAGAGTACAGATCTACTATATGACTGGTTCTTAAATTGCAGGAGGCAAAAATTGATATCGAAAATGAATCAACTTATTTCCCTTTGAAATATTTGCACTCACAAAATCACCCCCTAGCTATGAAAGTACTCGATATAGTACTATTTCATACACTGTGTATAAGCAATCTTTCAATAATGGTTTCAGTGCCTGAATCGTGACACCAGATGCTTTTCACTGTTATATTCAAATGCCTGATGACCAAATGGCTTGCTTTTACCGGGCTTTTACCCTACGTCTAGATCTAGTAAGCCGAGAACCAGCAACTGGATCTACAATTATTTGGCAATGAATATTTCAATACGAAGTATTGATGCAGAATTTGAACCATCAAAGCAGTACTTACGTTCGCATGTTGGTACAGGTTTGTCCCAACGCCCGCCTTCCTGACACTCAGTGCGTTTGACTATGAACTCTGGTTGTGATCCAACGGTCCTTATTTTGTAGCAAGGATTGCATTCATATATCACAACATCACCAGGAGAGAACTGTTGTTGATTATCTGCCTGGTCGCTGTTAGCATCATCAACTCTACCGTTTATAGGAGGCATTCGCATATTGCATTTTGCTGTGAGAAAAGATTTAATTTACGATGTTTAATATAAAAATTCTTACTTGTATAAAAATAGTCAAAACAATTCTACCGATCAAATCATCAAGCCTACTGTGTGAGGGTTGCAGAAAGGAGATTGAAATCGACGTGACTTCAAAAATTGAGATTTTGATAATAATGTAGAAGAACGGGGATGTTCTGATTTGAATCTAGAAGTTCTACAATACCTAATGATGTGACGTAAATTATGTGAAATATGTTGAATAACCCAAATGTGTAAATCAGTCAAGCCAAGTAACTAAGTCAACATTCGAAAATAAAAATCTCAAAAATCGTACATCTTTGATTTCCAAAATAATTTGTGAGGTGGTTATTAAGATGATAATACATCTTTTAACGTATTAATTTTGAGTACATCTTGAATCCATTCTCAACAAAGCGTTGTCGAAATAGGGATTCGAAATATTTGAGTTCGGGATGATAAAAGTACGTTAAGATATACCGCTCCTTAACAAACTCCTTTGGGAACAAGATATAGAATCAAATGCATATTCTTCTTATTTACTCCCTGACACATGCCAACGAATGTTACATCAGTTAATATCTCCGTTTTGAATAATTTTGTAAAACGTTGTTCTCTACAGGTGCCATTTTTAGAATTGAAAAACAAAATTGAACAGTTTGCATTTCTAAATTGATAAGTTTCTTGGAATACAACTTATCTGTTAACGATTTAAGTCATTAATAATATTTCCCTCAGTGATCCCATGCTAAATAGACAGTAACTAGGTTATTATTTTGTGTTCAACCTTGTTTTCATGACTTTTAAACATGAGTCGACAATTATGTAGGAAATTTCAATTCCAAATGTAAGCGTGACAACTCCTGTTTGTGCACAAAATTTAGCCTTTTATAAAGATAGATCGCCAAAATCTGCATGTACCTCTCAATGAGGCGACACATTTTTAAATTTATAGATGCTGAGCTCTAAACTCAAACAAAAATTCAAACCACCCGCTATTATTTTGATTACACAAGACGAAATTTCCACTCCCGGGGAGCATTGTGGTAACACTTTGAAGGAGGATTCTTGAAAAATCGTTCGAATTTTCACAAAAGGTTTCACGCAGTTTTTATTTTATTAAACCGCATATCCTCATTTACGTTCTTTGACAAGGACGAATTCATTTGAAAACATGGATTTTCTTGATTATTCTTCAAAACTACCCTTGAAATATAAGTGTGTGGTATATTACAGTGTAAATTGACACGCATTTGTTTCCTCCATATCATGAAAAAATAAATGCAGTACCATCTTTCAATATTTGAAAACAAAAAGTTCATTCTGTATGTAAACAAGAAAAAATACATTTATGGTTGATTCATAATGAAAAATGACAAATAACATACATGTTTTTAAGTAGGGGTATACAGGGACATAGTGGAAATTCAGAAATTTAGGCCATATCCCAAAGACTGCTTCACCAATATGTAACAGAACATCAAATTTATCATTTACACATTTGCTGATAGGTTTATTGAAAATAATTAAACAGAGGTTTACTTCAATTGTGGCACCATTCTTAGTTAATATTGATGGACATACGAATATCGAATGTTGACTAAGTTACTTGGCTTGACCGAAATATCAATTTCAATTTTTCAAATATCCATGTTAAGATTACAACTCAGAGTCGTTTAGTTTCATAAAATGCTTTGACTTAGTTGTTCGAGTAGGATCATTTACATGTGATTCCCCATTTTTGAATGTAAGTTAAACTACTGTAAACGACATACCTCCACACGTCAATGGATCTTTATCCCATTCTGCTCCATTTCCCACTTGGATACATTGGATTCGCCTTACTCTAGTTCCTTGTTCCTCAAATCCAGGATTGCAACTATAATCCACGAAATCATTGCAGTCATTGTTTCCGGAAGGTGGATTTCTTCGGCCGTTGGGTGGAGCAGGAATCGATGTACAGCGTAGACCTGGAAAATACCTTCAATCTTGTTGCACAGGTTATGTGGACCAATGCATTTTTCCTTTACATGAATTTTGTCTCATGACCTCTTTTGGTTTCTCATAACTATATTTCATGGTGTTATAAAATGTAATTATAATTTTGCTTATTTACTCCAAGGCTTGCTCAAATCTTCAATTTCCTCATAAATTCTTACTTTTCCTGGGATGCCCAAAAAGGTTGACGAACTCAAAAGTGCCTGTTTTTTATTGGATATTGTGGTTTATATTGTTGTTTACTTACGTTCACATCTAGGGACGGGATTTGTCCATGAACCGTCATCTTTGCACAACGCAGAATCAGCCATTGGAGTTGGCGAGCCAGGCATTTTGGCAATGGTATAACAAGGGTCACACCTATAGAAAAATAATAAATACCACAGGGGATTTATATCTTTTTATGGATACCAACATTTGAAACCTTCAATAGCTTCAATAATTTTATATTATGGATCATTTCAAATGTCCTATTTGAAAAGGTAATGATAAAAGAACATGTTGGTTCAAAATCGAAGTCGTTCTAGTTAAATCATATTGACCAAACATTTTTTATGAGAAACCCTGAAGAATCGCAACGATCGAAATAAAACTGTTTGGTAGTTGTAAACAACTAGTAAATCCTGCAACTTACTCAAATCTCACGAAGTCCCCAGCATCGTACTCATTTTGACTATCTGGATCCGAACTATCGTCAGAAATTTTCCCATTTTGTGGAGGCATTCGGAAAGGACATTTTGCTACAACATTAGCCAAAAAGTATTTGTATTCTCTAAAAGTATATGGTTATTGCTATTTCCTTGCTGTTTTGTGTTGGTATTTGTTCTTCTCTCTTTAGATATTGATTGATAACAATATAAGTACAGGGGTATTACCAAGCAAAATAACTTACGTATATCTAAGATACATATTGGTTTGTCGTTCGTATATGTTCCATCTTCCGTGCACTTTGTTGTTCGAGATCCTTCTAATTGATAAGGGAAATTGCATTGGAATACCAAGGTCATGTCACAGTCGGGCATGCCGCTGACAAAACCATTTTCCAATGTTAGTGCGGGGCATGTGATTCCTGAAACGAAATTAAACTCATGTGTTACATATACTGTATATTCACCAGAAAATTCCTTTTAATGTCAATGCAATGGCTTTTGACATATTTATTCCTGGGAAATGAAGATAGCTGTTCATTGCAAAAGTGTCCGGTGCATATGTCCTAACCTAAGTGCGAAAAATATTTGATATAACCTCTATTCAATGGGATTTGAAATTACAGTAAAACCTGTGTATAGCGAACATTTTTGGCGAGACAAAACGTCCACTGTTGGTAGGTATTCACAACAGCAAGAATGCGATTTTACTGCATTTTTCAGATAGAGGTAATTGTAGTTAACCAGGTTATCTTCAAAGCAATTAATGCTAGACACATATCTTGTCTTACAAAAACAAAGCTTATTAAGAATTATAATAGGTAACCCCTGTTTCAATAGAAAAGGAGGTCAACATCTCAAACTGACATTTTAATTATGGTATTATATAACATAAACGGATCAGCTCTGATAAGGCAGTTGCAGAAAATCCTCGAGAAATCTTATATCTGATTTAATGTTCACTAGAGACAGGATAATTTATTTATTGATTTTGCCAAGATTTAGCATTCACTGTCCACCCGCTATGGCTCAGTGGCAGAGTCAAGGTTACCACTATCACCCAGGTTCGATTCTCGGTTCATACAAGTTTGTTTGTGCGTTATGTATTTCTGGGTGTTTGACTGAGTGGTTCACGACTCGTATAAAAGGCTGTGGTGTGTACTTGTATGTCTGTGTACCTGTGCACATAAAAGAACACAGGGCTCCTTCAAGGAGGGGTTTCTGGCTCTGTCTTTGGGTGTAAAATACGTAAAATACTGAACATATACCGATGAGGTATTGCTCGCCAAATATGGCGGTAACCAAGATATAATAATAAAAAACAGTGTGTTCACTATAGGATTGTACTTAAACATTGGATTCAATTGGAGAAAGGGGTTTTGCCGAAAAAACGTTCACTGTTGATAGGTGTTCACTTAAGAGATGGGTTCACTCAGGTCTTACTGTACATTGAAATCAAGGATCTAGAAAATAATTGGTGAATTGCAAAAACAGAGCAATCTACCAGACAAGGGCTAGAAACACCAGGACTTATATTGTTAAATACTTACTTGAACATGAAGGGACTGAGGATGGAGTCCATTGTCCATTACTACCACAAGATCGGGTTCTTGATGACTCGGGTGTCAAGGAATAACATCGAGGACATGAGTATGTCACGGTTATACCACACGTGTTATCGTTCGGCGTCACTTGCACAGGGAATTGGCCAAACGGTCTTGGGAAGCATCTTTTCTCTGAAATGATTGAAGGTGATATGTAGACTGATTTTTGGCAGATTATTGTTTTTACAATCTTAATTGTTTCCATTTATGGTGAAAGCATTATTGAAGATGGCCTAGGGCGAATCCGTGAATACGTTTAAGAGTATTCAATATAACGTTTGCTTGGTCTCACATTGACACCTAATGAAGCGGTTGGTTGGTGTCCATCATCTTTTGCTTTCAAGTTTTAATGCTATTTATGTGATTTTAGTCTTGAGTTTCTGCGTTTTGTGTTTTTAAAGCTGATAAGTAAACGTGGTACTGTACTTACTTATGCAAGTTGGCTCAGGGGCTGACCATTGGCCACTGGGAAGACACGTCCTTTGCTCTGGACCCGACAGCTCATCACACGGGTCGTTACAGGAGTATGTTGCGGTTGTACCACAATCATTACTGGTTGTGTCAACTCTTCCTCCGGTTGGAGGACGGGGATTCCCGGGACATATCAAAGCTTTAATGTAATTAAGTATTTGAAAAATAGCAGTTTTGGCCGTATAACTAAATGACTTCAGTTACCTCTTCATACATTCAGGAATGTTTTCGATCTTCAACCGTATTAACTGACATAAATTTCAAATTCTGTAAAGAATGTAAGCCGAAAGCTTTTAGCTACTGATTTATTACATACGTTCACACGAAGGCGGTATTGGGATATCCCATTGTCCATTGGTCTTGCACACCCTTTCTGGGATCCTCTGGCCAAATGGACCCACGGGTCTCAACCGGTTACATCCTCTACATCTATACACCACCCGTTGGTTTGGTTTGTAAGTGTCAGTCACTGGATCAGCAGAGTCGCTTACTATTTCAACATTCGGATCAGTTACCATTAGTCTAGTGCAAACCACTGTAAATATAAATGTCAGATTTTGCACAACTGTAGGGTCAAATAATGTAACTTGTGTGGGAAATAGTGTACTAGTTAATGAATTTCTGTGCAAATTATTTAGCATTTATTGTCAATACATTTTCAAAAGGACCTCGGTTTGGAGAACAATCTCCTGGGCTATTTTTATGAAAAATATAGAAATATCACCCAAATTGAATTATGAAATAAAAGACAAGTCTCGATTTACAGAAAGAAGTTCATCAGTGTACTGCGCTGATCATTTTTTCATGAAAAATATAGAAATATCACCCAAATTAAATTATGGGTATTCAAGGAGGATATTTAAATCTACAATATGTACATTTATCGTATGATCTGTAAAATGAAGCCCTCTGATTGGTCAGTTTTTGTGCTGTACCAATCTGTATTGCTACTGAGATTGTCCCCATTGATCATCTCCGTCGCAATACAGAAAATATTTGTACGGATGGGACAATCTCAGGAGCAATACAGAGGATCACACGATAAAAACGTTATTGAATGATTTGAAGTGCAATACAGGATATATTCTGCTCGAGAAATTCCGTATTGGAACGAGACGAAGTCGAGTGCCAATACAGAATGTCTCGACATTCTGTATTGGCACTCGACTTCGTCTCGTTCCAATACGGAATTTCTCGAGCAGAATATATCCTGTATTGCACTTCAAATCATTCAATAATTTATAATATCGAAATTTTTCAAATCAGGCGTAACGTGCAGTAGACTGATGAATTCAAAACCGAGACTAGTATTTTACTTACAGACTTATCAGTCATGATCGTTATAAAAAACAATTATGTCTATATACCTTGGCATTTTGGAATCTCGGTCCAGCCCACTTGTCCATTTTGCTGCCTGCACTCAAATGTATCTGGGCCATCTAATACGTAATTATCATCACACGTAACTCTTCGTATTGTTCCACAATCTCTGTCGCTAGGAGTAGATTGGCCATTTGGAATAGTAACAAAGGGACACTCCAAAGCTAAAATACAAAAGGTTAAACATTTAAAAACAATATATTTTACATTCACTTCACAACTTAATAACATAATATTTATTAACTTCATAACATAATATTTTACATACACTTCATAACTTAAGTTCATTTACTTCAGAGTAAGTTATTATTAATATATTACCAGTGAGAGTAATGAATTTACACAGAAATATATTTTAGTGTTTATTGAATTCTGGTGCTTATAAACGTCAACCAGATTATCATGATAAACGATATAAAACTTCCTTACGTCTGCATGTTGGTTCTTCCAGGGGATCCCAACCGACACCTCCACCTTTACACTCTCTGACGTTAATTGGGCCTTGGGATGACGTCAGAGTGTAGCACGGATCACACCTGTAGAACACTCTCGTACCAATTGAAGTACCCTTTGGTGCTGCACTTCCGAATTCGGGATCTTTTGGCATTGGTTCACAGTCAGTTGCTGTTTGTAAATACGAGGGTTTAATTAAACAACATACAAACTTATTATAGGGCGGTCACACAAACTAAGGTCGTGAGACTAGGACACTCATTTTCATGTATTACTCCAAATACACTTCATTACAAGTCCAAAAGTTTCATTCGTTTTTAGAGTAATTAAATGGCACTAGACATTTCCATACAAAACAGTATCAATATATTAATTCTATATTTTCAAATTCACTTAAAGCGGCAGTAGAAATGCCATTTCTGGGCGATTACGCAGTGATTGAGATCTACATTTATTTATGATTTTTATGAAATAAAGAGTACTTATGATAAAAAATAACAATATGACATTTATAATTATTTTACGAATCGTACGTCATTGATTACAATATTGATTTAAAATAAAATTGCATCACCCTGGTGACTTACGAATGCATCTTGGGGGTGGTGAATTCCAACTAGGACGGGATCCTGGTATGTTTGAGCTAACACATGTTATCGTTTGAGCACCGTCCAAACGATAACCGCTATTACATTGGAACGATATCTCGTCAGTACAATCTTGGTTCCCTTGTGGAGGAAATCGTTGGCCATTGTTAGGGGCGCTTATTGGATCGCACGATAATGCTGAAATTTGACAAAACATTTTCCTGTTGATTAAAATGATTCTCGTATCACTATGAATGTATTTCAGATGAATCTCAGATCTACATTACCATTTTGAAATCCTCTCCACTGAATTTGTTTGTAAACAGGTATTGATTTGATAGTACTTGAGTTACTTACGTATACATGTCGGTGCAGCACCACTCCAGCCTGATGGTGTACATTGTCGTAATGGTGATCCTTGTAGTCTAAAGCAAGGATCACATCGATATGTCAATCGTGCACCGCAGAAACTGTCTTGAGGCGATACATTTCCATTCAATGGGTTATCAGCCTGTGGAGAGCATGTCTTTCCTTGTACAGAAAAGAATACTGATGATTATCCCACCCTAAGTGCTTTATATGATTGTATAATAGCATTGTATAACTGCAGTATAAGACCAACACTCATCGTATACAACTCTTGAGAACGATATACAACTCCTGAATAGCGTATACAACTCCTAGGCAGCGTATACAACTCCTCAACTTGATATACAACTGTTGAATTTAGATTAACCTTTTATTGATTAAAGATTAGGGTGGGATAATAAGATCATATAATGGTTGATTCTGTATATCGTTATACTCTCGTGAGTATATGATATATTCACTCGTTCCCTTCAATCTGCACTCGTGAATATATCATATACTCACTTGAGTATAAACACGATATACGGAATCAACCATTATATTTAGCAGTTATGTCCCTATCATTGAATATATGCCTGAGGTCTGTCACCAATATAGCCCGAGCTTGCGAGGGTTATATTACGACAGACCGCAGGCATATATTCAATGATACGGACATAACTGTTGTATTACATACTTTTATATCATGGCTACGTTATATCAATGACGCCACGTGTCTGTGTGCGAGTGAAATTAGGAAGATATGAAACATGACGTCCAAATGACGTCATAAGATTGTCATGGTAAAATGTTTGGCGGCTATACAGGAATATATAGCCGACCTTCAGCTCCATTGACTTCAATACAAATGCTTCGCTGGGTATGTAATACAACCTCATATTATATTACGAGATAGAAACTAACGAACAATATTCCGACATCCTTTGTTTTGTGATTAAATTAACAAGTTCCAAAAGTGAATAGCTTGTATTTAATGCATAGCTAGAATCATCAACACAAGGAGATACAAATTAGTAAATACCCACAATTTTTTTTTAAATAAGACTTAATCTTGATTTAGACCTGCAGTATCTGCTCCAACAGGCAGTACACTAACGATGACCAAATATTGTACATTTCTTCCAAAGGATATATTTAGAGCAAGATACACGTTTAAACAGAATAGCATATTGACTGAATACTGAAATATTTTAGAGAGTTTACTTTCGCATGTTGGTTCCGCAGCACTCCAAGTCCCATCCGATTGACACTCTCGTATCGATGACCCTACGAGTTCCCTACACGGATCGTTACAGCTATATTGTACGAGAGTGCCACACGTGTTTTCTGTTGTGGAAACTGTTCCACCTAGTGGCGACTGAGGGGTACCCGGGCATGTAACACCTGAAATGAAAGTATTAGGTCCGTTGAATGAATTGTCGATGGTGCAAACAACTAGGATCTGCATGTTCAATTTTCTTGTATAAAAAAGTTTTTTTGTTTGTCAATTGGCCATTCATTAAAGGTACTATCGAGTACTTCGAACGCTCATATATATCAATCGAAAAAATCATGGAACATCTAGTACTATTTAGTACATAGCCATTACATGTTATACATAGTATCAACATTTTTGAAAATCTGAGGTCATCTTAGGTCATATACTGTCATGACAATGAGTTTTAATTAAATGCTGGTGTAATTCCTGATTGCCACATGACTTAAAACAAAGGCTGGTATCCAAGGCATCCCTGTGCACGTTGTATCGTTGAAAAAAGATTAGAATATGATATGTTAGCCTATATATCTATTCGCAACTGCATGCGTCTATTTTTCCCCGAATGGAAGAGAGTTAGGCTTTGTCAGACGACTCAAAGATGGTACTATGATATGATATGATATACTATCATATCATATCATAGTACCATAGAAAATATACTAGTTTAGCTACAAGCCCCTGTGACGTGTAGCTAGACTAATACATATACATACGTCTGCATGTAGGTGGATCTCCTGAAGGCACGTAGATGGCTTCTGCTATCTGTTGAGTGGAGTCCTCTCGACAGACATACGTTACTGGATCGTTAGTTGTGAAACAATTATCACAGGAATATACCACCCTGGTGTTCAAAACGACTGATATCGCTCCAGGAGCAATAGGTGGAGTTGTCACGAAATTTCCGTTACTGATACTTGGTGGAAGGTCACAAGCTAAAAATAAAAATGATTGATATGATTCAGTTGTAAACATACTTACTAATATATGAGTAAACAAAAAATTTAAACTTGTATTTGCGAATGAAACTAACGCCTGTCGGCCACCGGATTAACCTACTATTTTGATGAAAAATATCTGCCACTATTCCATTCCGACAGGCGTAAGTTGCATTCGTGAATACAAGGTAAGCTTGATAACTTTTAGAGATTTATGACCACGAGCATTCTAAATTGTCACCATTTTCTCCTGGCGAGAAGATTCAGTGGTGACCACAAACACGGTTTGTTGGTCAGAAGACGACTCAATATTGACCAAACTCAATGCACAGTTATAGGTACCCTGCGCGCATTAGTTATAAACTACCTGCTGAAGACGAACCTCTCTTTTAATAAGTGAAGTTAATCGAATGCAAAGGGTAACAGTTAGGGTATGTTAGATGAGCAGAATAAATCCTAAGTGGTACAACTACTGGCTGTTCACAACAATTCAAATGATGAGCGATGGTTGAAATAAGGGTGTTTTTCAAAAGTGACATTTCATTGTTTACATTATTGATATTTAGGTTAAAATTATTACTTACTACTTTCTGCACACGCAGCACCCACGCAATCAACCCTAGTTGAATTGAAACGCATGACACCATTGATCATTGAACAAACTATTGTTCTCGGTAGAGAACATTTATCACCCCCACAATCCCAAGTGATTGTCTCGCCAAGAAAGTACGGTTCGGTGTCGGTACTTGTTATATCCACAGTCCCTCGGATTGTTGGAGGCGGGCATGTTGGCTCTGAAATATCAAATGGTATAAGTTTGGATTGAATTATGCAGTAAAAATATGTGATTATGCTACCGAATCAATTCTTCTTTAATTCATTCTTAAAATTATGTATATCTAAATAACCTTAATTGGCCCATAGATCTCGATTAATGGTATATATAGTAGAATGTTTAAAATACCCATAACATATCCATTCCTATAAAGTATTATTATAACTCACGTTCACATTGCAAAGGTGTACCATTCCAAATAGGAGGTGAATTGCCTTGTGGAATACATGTAAGTGTATCGTCACCACCAGACTTGACATATCCATCTTCACATCGGTAACTAATAGATTCACCACAATTAGTCGTTCTAACCAATTGGATTACTCCTTCACCAGTAGGCACAAAAGGACATTGAAGCGCTAAAAAGATAATCCAAAAAGTGTGTACAGACAAAAGTTGGATCCGTTTGATGGATACTCGAATTTTTTAATGGAAATGGGAGACGATTCGGCTCTAAAAAATAATTGGAAAACTGTGTACAAACAAATACTGGATTATTTTGATGGAGACTCGAATAGACATGGGAGACGATTCGACTTTGAAAAAATAACTGGAAAACTGTGTACAAACAAATACTGGATTAGTTTGATGGAGACTCGAATGGACATGGGAGACGATTCGACTTTGAAAAAATAATTGGAAAACTGTGTACAAACAAATACTGGATTAGTTTGATGGAGACTCGAATGGACATGGGAGACTGATTTAGCTCTTACCGTATGGCTCCAATGTATTCCAAATTAACTTACGTTCACATGTCGGTACAGGTTTATCCCACTGTCCATCCTCTTCACATTCAGTGCGTTTTACTGTGAATTCTGGTTGTCCTCTGGTGGTTATTCTATAGCAAGGATTGCATTCATATATCACAACATCACCAGGAGAGTATTGTTGTTGACTATCTGGTTGGTCGCTGTTTGCAACATCAACTCTGCCATTTACAGGAGGCATTCGCATATTGCATTTTGCTATGAGAAAATAGTTTATTAACTTAGATTTATACATGCAAAATCATTTACAACCTTATCGAGTAACGATGGAAAACTTTGTTGGATGAAACCTAATAATTCTATTTTATGACAACATTACGATCTCGAGTGGACATGTTAAGACTAAAATTACGAGAAAGAGAAATGAAGTGATCACTAAATTTAGGAAATATATATGTACATAATACGATGACATACATCCACACGTCAAGGGATCTTTATCCCATTCTGCTCCAGTTCCTACTTGGATACATTGGATTCGCCTTACTCTAGTTCCTTGTTCCTCAAATCCAGGATTGCAACTATAATCCACGATATCATTGCATTCATTGTTCCCGAATCGTGGATTTCGTTGCCCATTCGCTGGAGCAGGAATCGGTGTACAGCGTAGAGCTGGAAAAATATGGACTTATAGTAAGTAACAAAAATATGTTTCTGTGCTATTTTGAATTTGTTGAAAGAAAAAATTGGTCGATTGTAGAAGTTCGAACTTGGACCTCTTGGATATTGTTAACGGTTTCGATTACAAGAAAATCATTTTCGCTACGTCGCTATGAACGTCTTTGTAAATTGCATTGACTTTAACATGTATCGCCAATGTAGGTTTTTACACCAGTGAGCAAAAAATGTCGATTGGTTCTCTAATGTTTAAGATTTGCCTAAGGCTAATGTCAAAGGAAGGACTTGACTTCTTGGCAATGGTTATGTTTTGTGATAAAACGTTTGGTCTAGATGGACCTTCATTTTCATCATCTGTTTTGTATTTTGTAGCGTTAACTTACGATCACATCTAGGAACGGGATTGCTCCACGAACCATCCTCTCTGCATAACGCAGAATCAGCCATTGGAGTTGACGATCCCGGCATCGTTGCAATAGTATAACAAGGGTTGCACCTGCATATAAATCATGAATTACACTATCGACTACCTGAAGGATAAGATCCTCAGTATAGTTCTTATATAATTCTTAAACCACATTTATTTATGTATATGTTGATAGCTTGTATTCGTATACAATTACCATATAACTATACAGAATTACCAAATTACCAATTACAGAAGACAATACTATGGTTGTATTTGAGCGATGCTCGTTTGTATTGAGGGACATAGAGAAGTGTTTTTCAGGAGTTGAATTAACACAATCAAATGTGAGTTCGACTGTAAAATAGATCTCTAGCTATAATTCGTGGAACTTACTCAAATCTCACAAAATTCCCGACGCTGTACTCATTTTGACTATCTGGTTGCGAACTTCCACCGGAAAATCTACCATTGAGTGGTGGCATTCGGTAAGGACATTTCCCTGCAATATAGATGCAAAATGAAACATTACATAAAACCTATGCCATCAAGCGCATACACTGTACAGTACATACTATCACTGTGTACTATTGCATTACTTTCTGGACTTATACTTTAACTTACTCTCGATTATACATGGATTTGTATTACAAGCCACTAATCGTTCTTCAGTTGCCTGGCACTGTCTGGGTCCATCTGTAGGGTTGGAACATGTTCGGCGTTCACGTCTCTTTCCTCCTCCGCAAGAGGCGCTACATTGGGATATCGCAACCCAGTTAGAAAACCCATTCCCTGTAAAAGCCCTTACATGTTATGAACTGTAAAAAATTGTATATATATGCATCTTCATTCACAGGGTTTCAATTGCTCCAGCAAGATATTTCAGAAAACCTAACAATGCATATTATCATGTGTTATTTATTCCGTGTTGCGTATTATCTCTCGTTTGAGCTCTTCAATGTTTCTAGGACTGTTGACATACACATTACATTTCAGGATAAGAGCCATATCTACCAATGAAAGCACACTTATCGTCATGATCACCGCGCAAAGTGTGCAAATCTAGAAGAAGTAGTAGAAATTTGGGTAATTTGATTTGAGTTTAAACATTTTTGTATATATTCAGTTTAAAGTTCGGCTATCAACTACGTACAACATAATATTTTAAACGAACACAAGCATGCGCATGACGATTAACAACCAAAACAACATAACACAGCTTGCAGGCAGGATGGATGCATTGAAAAGGAGTTGTATCGATGGAGAACTAAATTCAACAAAGTTTTTCTCTTAAAGATGCATTATGCCATAGATTTCTTCCCCAGATAATCAATGATGGATATATCTTGAGAATATCTTTTGGGTATATTATTGCCGAAATATCTAAAATAATCAATAGAACAATCAAACTCCAGAATTAAACACAATCGATTCCTCGGCTAGCGAGGAGAATCCCCATTGAGTCACACAAGCGCCCACAAGCGCCTTAAACCAGGCAGCCAATCAGGTTTATGATAAACAAATTCAACGACCAATCAGATAACAGGAGGACTTTCCCGGTATATTCAAACTTCAGATTTAATTAATTTCTTGGAAAATAATAAGATCGACCAGCACAATCACAAAATTAACACTGAAAGAGGGGGATTTTGGGACTTGTTCTTTGGTAAGCAGATGGGTATGTATGTGGTGAAACTCAATATGCAAAAAATTCCAGAGGGGTCTTGATTGTGTTATCCTATGGCATAGAGCCTCTTTATACCAATCATTGAAAACATTCTGTAAACAATTCGGTAATTTATGTAATGTTGACTGATTGACACAATTTAATGCTAAAATTATTTAGAAATATTTTATACAGGGTGTGCCAAAAAACGCCAATTTTTTTCAAAATGCTATAACTTTTTTATTTTTGATATTAAATCATAATTTGCATATCAAATGAAACTTGAGATTGTTATCTAGCCATGGATCATAAATTATATACTTTTACTTGAATAAAATATGTCACAGCGTCTCACTTAAACATGTGGTGTGCCATGAGAAATAAGCATAATTTGCAAAATGTTCCTGAACTGATACGGCCTGATAATCATTAAGTTAATAGCCCTGATGCACACCCCAGTGAGTATATTGGAAGGTTTCCAGGAGATTGTATGAAGGCACCCCATCTAGAAAATTGCTCATTTAAAGCTGGCAATTAAGACAGGTTGAAAAAAACTTAGGTAACATTTCATTGATACTACAATATCAGCAAGGTGACTAAAACTAAAATATATCATTATTTAGGGTGGCGGACCAATTGAACTCCCCTTTTAGATCAGTTATAATCAAAGTTGGAGGATTTGTTACATTATGTTATTACTAAGAACCCTTGACACCATATAACTGCAAAATTTGGGGTATGTAGGTTGGAAAATAAAAAAGTTGTAGTGTCTTGAAAAAAAGTGGCGTTTTTTGGCCCACCCTGTATAACTGTTTGTTGACATTTTTTGTTTCTTTAGTGCAATTGTTTTTGCTCCTTTCTACTAATTCTTGAGAATGAAATAAAATGTCTTTCCGAACCTTGATGGAACAAAATAGCATATACAACATGTTTTAGAGCTCTCAATATTATAGTTATACAAAGGAATTTTTGGTTGATTTAAAAAAAAGTATTCAAAAAATTATAACAAAATCCCCCAAAATACAGGGTGGACAAAAAACGCCACTTTTTCAAAATGCTATAACTTTTTTAATTTTTGATACAAAATAATAATTTGCATACCAAATGAAACTTGAAGTTGTTATCTAGCCATGGATCATGAATTCTACACTTTTACTTGAATAAAATATGTCACCAGCATCGCACTTAAACATGTGGTGTGCCATGAGAAATAAGCATAATTTGCAAAATGTTCCTGAACTGACACGGCCTGATGACAACCAAGCTAATAGGCCTGATGCAAAGCCCAGTGAGTATAGGGTATGGGAATGTCTCCATGGCCAGGAGATTGTATTAAGGCACCCAATGCTAAAATATTGCTCAACTTAAGCTGGCAATTAGGAAAAGTTGAAAACACTTAAGCTAACATTTCATTGATACTGCTATATCAGCAAGGTGACTAAAACTAAAATCGATCATCAAATAGGGTGGTGGACCAATTGAACTCCTCTTTTGGATCAAATATAATCCACGTTGAAGGATTTGTTACATTATATCATTGCTAAGAACCCCTGGCACTATATAACTGCAAAATCTGGGGTATGTAGGTTGGAAAATAAAAAAGTGGCGTTTTTTGGCCCACCCTGTATATAAAAATCAAGATATAAACCTTTTATTTCATTAACAAGATACTTTTTTAAATTCAACCAAAATTTTCTTTGTACAATTACAATATTGAGAGACCTAAACATGCTGTGTTTATGTCGTTGTTCTAATGAGGTTCGGAAAGATATTTCATTTCACTACCAAGAACAAAACAAGTGTTTGATGTGTTTTCTAAAACAATATAGATGAAAGTATATAATATATATTTTTCAAATTATATTGTTACCATTCAAAAGATGACCATTTAATTGACGATGTGTTAAATTTTTAGATTTTTTATGACTGGTTTAAGAGAAACGTGTGTTCAAAAAGTTCTCCATATCGATACCACTCCTTTAGGGATAAGAAATAAATTGCGAATGATAAATTTTGGGTAAATCCCAATACTAGTATGTTCATTTTATAATGGTTTATATTGTGGCACCAAATACGATTGCATTTTCCCAGTTTAAGTATCCAAGTGCAAAGAGAAATATAATCATCCAGATTGCCATATATATTATATATATTTTATATATATATTTAATTTTTTTATTCAATGAAATATAAAAATACTTACCAATGCATTTATCTGTACAGCTTTCAGTCTCTATTCGTATAGACCAACATTGACGTGGACTGGTTGGGGTACCCCTTTCAAAATCCCGGTCGTCGATTCCATCGAATTTATTATCTACTGCAACGGGCCAACGAAGTTGTCTTAACCTGTTGTTGAAAAAATACCTTGCCCTCGCCGAATTGCCACTTGAGTCTTTGTTTTGAGATGAACCGCTGCTTCCACTCCCACTACTCTTGCTAGATCCTTTCCGCATACTACTTGATCTATCTTTTTTGCTGCTCGAGCCGCTTGACTTGCTACTCTTTCTCGAACTTTATTAAACATTAAACATTCTCAATTATTTCAGTGGCAGAAAATCAAGAAATTTTATCTTGAGACTTTTTATCTAAAAACGTCGTAATGTCTTAATGTTCGACAAAGATCAAGATAGCAAAAGAAACACACGACCAAAAAATTATATAAAGAGAAGAATGATGCTCACGAATAAATAACTAATAAAGATAATAATTTTGAACCTTCTGCTGTTTCTCTCACTACTGCTAATCGCTTCTTCCTCACTAGTGATGTCAAATCTGCTTTCATCCGGGTACCGATTGGCGAACGGTGGAATTGGCTTGATGATATCACCGGGTAAATTCCCGTCCGGTGACCCTCCGAATTGACAATTAATTGGGCATCTTTGTCGGCGTTGTCGTTCACAAGTTGTGGAGGAGCATCGGCTCCATTGACCCCAGCCCTCGCAAGGTGGAGCTAATAACGTTTGGAAAAATCAATCAAGTAAGATTAAGATCTTTGATAATATGTACACAACAATTTAAAGTTAATGACCCTGAGATAGAAGATCTAGTGGAAATAAAGCTAGGAAATGTAACAGATATGCAAATTAATTTACTCCATCGGCCATTTGGAATAGTATAACCTATTTAAACAAATATTTTCAGGATATAGTCTCGGGAAACGCCAAGGTTAGGGTGTACGAGCATAACCCCAGGGACAGCAGATTTCAAAAGGGCGATCACGCGTGTCATTCAGGCCATACCTGTTGAGTGATAAAGTCTGCTCATTGACAACCTTAATATTGTAGGCTGGTAGAAAATTCTCTAAAGGGGCAAAGGATGTGAAATCAACAAAACAAAATATCAAATTCTTCTATCGGAAGTCCGGCCAGGGTATGATCAAAACGTTAAAACATTATATGCGTTCAGCTATTCTAATGTATTGCTTATACTTACGTCTACAAGAGCCGGGACTGCAGTCTCGTGTATCCAATTCTCTATCCCAACAAACATAAGGTGGTGCTCTATATCCAGAAGGAAGGTTGAAGTCAGGTCTGGACCTTATTTCTTCACTACTAGCACTTGCAGCACTACTTCCGCTACTCGATTTACTCTTGCTTGACTTGCTCTTGCTGGATTTAGTTTTTGAACTCCCGCTCCCACTTCCACTTCTCTTGCTGCTTCCACTACCCGATTTACTACATTTGGATTTATATTTACTACTTCCACTTCCGTATCCCTTACTACTTCCACGTCCACTCCTGTCGCAATCTTCTTCGCTGTCTTTATCATTAGTGAAGTCACTCTCAGGTGACGAAGCTGGGGATCTAGAAACGGATAGCAAAGACGCAAGATTAAATCATACTATCTAAGATAGACATTTTGACGTTTGTGAAACGTTAGAAATCATAACTCACAATTTGGAAGCTTCAACCACAATCTCCTGTTATATACCGTTCTTCATTTCGACCAATTCTGATCTGATTCTTAACTATTCTAGTTCTTCAACTGATCAAATATGGGTGTTAAGACTCCATTTAACATGCTTGTGCATGTATCCATGCTTGTACATGTATCCATGCTTGTGCATGCATCGATAACGTCTGAATGCCTAACGACAACTATGATTGTGATAGAGATTAAAATACATTACGCAACCAGTTTCAACTAGTAAAAAGTGAATTATACCTGTCACGTAACCTGGGGTCGTCGCATAACTTTGGAAAGTATCTTACTCGCCGGGATTTGCAATCGATTGTGTCACATGGACCCCAGCGACTCCATTCTGTTGGAGTTGGTCCTGTTTGGAAAAATATTTCCAAACATTAATGAGTTCTCTGTGTTTTATATGTCCTTTGTGCTTAAACATACCGCGTTGTTTGTTAAAGTTAATGGAAGTATTTGTTGCGAGTAAACTAAATACATGAAGAAAATAATGTAATTTTGCAAGAAAATACCAAAAAATGAAAATGAAATCAGTCTTACCAGTGCACCCAGTAGGACATCGTCGGGATTGACTCTGGGTGTAAAAGCATTCATGTTCAGCGCTAGATTGCCACCCACTACTTCGTCGACTGCTCGAACTTTCTCTACTGCCAGCGCTACTATCTCTTCGTTCACTCTCGCTACTCTTTCGCCTTATCCACTGCGTCGCGTACCACCAAGGAGCCTGGAATTTAACAATAAACACCCCATGATTTTTAGTTTCAACTAAATGGTTTTTTATTTTTAGCAAACAAAATGTTTGTGTAACAATATTTATAGTCTGAAATGGGTCGGAAAAAATACAATAGCTTATCAACTATATTTGTAATATACCGTGGCCGTCCGTTTCCTTCTGCTAGAGCCGCTTCCACTTTTTTTATAGTACCTCTGTCTAGATTTCGCTCCATATTGACCACGCCAACGCCTGTATTGAAGTAAACGTGTTCAGTACGTTCATGTGACATCCATTTAACTGTACTTATCACTTATATGTTTTAGCATTGTAATTAGGTTTAGCTTTAAACATTCTCAACGTATATTTGATTTCAAAATGTTAAAAATCTAACTCTCATTGATACCAAATGTGGAAAACTTAAAAATTAGAATTTAAAATGGTTAAGAGTTGATTCGCAGAAAAACGCTTTTGTAAGTGTGCAACGAAAAATTGCTCCCATTATTAACAAAACATTTACAGATCAGTTGTTGCACATCCGTTACAAGATTATCTAGAGTCTCTATTTAATATTGGAAATGTAAACTCAGTAGTATGAAATAAAGATTTCAATATACCGACTGGTGAACTCATTGCCGTCACATGCCTTGGGGCATTTCCTATAACGTTTATTAGTACACTTTAAGACATCACAACCTGGAAAATATAAGGTGAACTAAAGTAATCTGAAGGTACCATGAGCTTGATCGGCGGTATCATGGCTGTGTCACTGGGCTTAATGTATTAGCGAGCTTGCCGGTGTGGTCAGCTCAATATGGATCCTCAAAAGCTCACGATATCATCGTGTCTGCTATACGCCGTGTTTAACAATTTTGCTTAGCACGATTGTAGTTTAAAGATCAAAATGGCATCAAAATAACTACATCCCTTTGTCTTTAAAATCTATTAGAAACGATAGATAAGAAAGGGTCTGGTAAAGCAGAAGGTCAAAATGATATTAAGAAAATCAGTACTATAGAAAATTTTAAATATTTCCTCAAATGAGCAAAAAATACTTTATATGCAATTTTTGAATGGTAGTAATGCACTATGATACCATTCACACTATCTAATTAATTTATTTACTGAATCATATGGAATGATTAGAATGAGACAGATCTCGGTTGCAAGAAGCAATCGTATCAACGCGAAAGTTGAGTTTCGGGTGAAATATTTTCACATATGTATAAAAAAATTCGTATCAAATTCTTGTAACTCAAGAGTAACTCAAATGACAAAATACATAGCATTAGATACTAGTAAGCGTTACCCATGAAATGCAAGTATGTTATTGAATTTTAAACCACGCTTAGTTAACAACACAACTGAATGAACTGTAATTTTAAGAATACCCAGCTATAATAATATCGAGAACTATATTCGTGTGGATAACATTGCAAAACTTTGACGAGAATGAAGGCCAACTTTTTGCAAAGGAAATATACAATCAGAATAAACATAAACTAAACTCAGACTGATACTTCACAACATCAATTGCAACTTGTCTTAGTTTGATGGACCAAAAACGATACAAAATTCGTATATTGTCAACAGGTGATATTTTTAGAACAAACAAAAAAATTCAAATCGAGTCAAAGGTAAGAGAGAAGAATGGTCTAAATTACCAAAATGGACCCCCATAAAATGAATGAGCACTCGAACGGAGGGACTGACGTGAGGAAGAACAACGATTACACACGCTCTAACAGATAGGCACTTAAATATATATAACTGATTGGAAGTGTTGTTTATGAGAAATAATAAACGTACTATTCCAGCTTGACCATTGACCGCAGTTACCATAGAATCTAGGAATGATTTCTGGTCTACTTTCTCTACTTGACGATTTTCTGCTTCCGCTGCTCCCGCTTTTTCTCCTGTAACAAAGGACGGTTAATCGTTTACAGCCGGGTTGGGGCGTTGGGGGCTCCATTTACATTGTTAAAAAAACGTGTAACTTAACCTCCCTAGTGTTTGGGTTCTTGAATTTTTGGAGACCCAAATCATAACGACATAACACACGGAACATCGGTGTAATTGAATTGTGTTAATATTAATATAAAAAATTGACACGAATCTTGCATGCAAAATAACTTTCAAGCTTTTAATTTACAACTCCTTTAACTTAGTATTTTGATTCGAACTATAAATTCCAACTAGTATACAAACTATACATACTTCGAACTACTTTTACTACTACTTCCTACTAAAAAGACGTTAGTTCCAGCAGCTTGTATGATGTTGTCCGCGTCATCCGGGACGAGATCTGGAATAAAGTTATGAATATTTGAAATTGTTGGATATTTTCATTGGCCCTTTAAACACACCAATGTGTTCTTTTCTTTTGAAAAAACTGACCATGATCTAAATCTAATATTGTTTGACAAAAGGCAGTATGTATTTATTTGAAATATTACTTAAATTGAAAGAGCTCAAAATACAGGGTGAGCCAAAAAGGTAAGTTGTAGTCAGAATAACTTCACCCGATGCATTCAAGTTTTTCTCCAGAGACGATACCGGTATTTTGAGCATGTTTTATAAATGGCCATAAGATTGTGACCATTCAGATTAGATCAATGCATGAATGAGAGAACATTAAACAAGATTTGATTGTGTAAATGTGAACTTACAACTATGCTGAATGACTGACCTTGTATTCGCGAATGCAACTAAGGCCTGTCGGCTACCGGATTAACCTACTATTTTATGAGCCACTCATTTAAATATGAATAGTGCATGTCACTATTCCATTCATATTCAAATGAGTTGGTCATAAAATGTAGGTTAATCTGGTAGCCGACAGGCGTTAGTTGCATTCGCGAATACAAGCTGAGTTATTAATATTTTTGGTTTACCTTTTTGGCTCACCTTGTACCTCCAATCTTGATTATCTTGGGTATGGTAGTGTCACAATTAATGATCGTTTCGTTATGCTTACCTCCAGGACAAATATCACATGGAATAATAGATGTTTTTCTCAAGTGGTATAAACCACTTCCACCGGGACACCATTTTCCATTCAGACATTCCGCCTGCGCACGAGTGACACACTCCCCTGTTCCCCTCTTTCCTTTTCTGTAGCATTCGCCTACAGGCATCTCCGGTCCATACATTTTATCGTCCGCTAAAACAGTTGTTTTACTAGTAATCTTCATTCTTAGATAATTTACCTACTTACTAGTTTGATAAGTACATGTATGTTACTGATTAATCTGATTTTTCATCTATCTATTTTCTTGAGGAATATCCGTACAGTTACTTTAAAAGTTACAAAATTGAAGTGATATTCATATCGTTCAATATCAACGCAACAGATGTAAACCAGAGGTAATAGAATAGAATCAAATATATCGTATGTAGTATGTACACTTCGAATTGATATACAGCAGTACAGTGCGTCCCAAAAAGCAACAAGCAAAACATTGTAAAACCACAAGATTTACTGAGAAGATTTCAATTTAAGTGCTTAATGGTTCGGGTAACGTTACAAACATATGAAAAAAGAAGTGACATAAACAGTTATGCCAGTTAAGTCACTATCATTGCCTGTCATATTATGAAAGATTACTCAGGAAAGATAACATGTCGTCCCTTCGCATGACCGCCACTTCTCTACACACAGAGATTGGGTTGTCTCTCCATGTCGCGAAAACCTCTGAATCATATACTAGTATGGTGTTCTAACGGAGAGCAGCAACCTCATTGGTGATACTCTGTCAACTGTTGCAATGTCTAAAACTTGGTCCAGAGCAAATTTTGGCCCGTTGTAAAAAAGGAATGATTGTTCAGTGGTCTGTGGCCATATATGAATAAATAAATAACCATTAAAAGAGGAGACAAGTGACGGTATGGTCAATATATTCAAATTGATGTAATCATCACTGGTTTTGTGTTTTACAATGATTTTACTTGTTACGTTTTGGGGAACGCACTGTAGGATTCAAATGTAGGAAAGGGCTAATGATAATCTAACAACTTTTTCAGCGTGTTTTTTCGAAAATAAACTTTTTCATAAAATGTCTTCTTGCTTAACTAATATATGATTGTTTTTATGTACCAGTTACTAGGCAATAGATATAAATAGATATAAATCCTTACGTTGAAATTTTGCTTTACGGTTGCAGAGGTCGCCCGTACAACACCCGGAACAAATGGTCACTGGCGGCTTCACTTTGTTATTAACAGAGCACCTGATCGTGTCTGCTCCCTGCTTGCACTTCTTTGCAGATTGACAGCCAAACTCTTGATATGTTACTGTGTCATTATTATTGTCTATAGTGAAAGTCAAACTGCAGATCTGAAATTGAAACAACTTGAATCGTCATAAATTCAGTTAACTATTAAATATTAATTGTAAGGTATGACATAGGTTTGCATTCATTTGTACTTTTTAACCTATATTGTATAATGTTATAAAATTGTTGTTCTATTCGTCTAAAATTATCGTACTTGTTATGCACACATGGTGATACATAAATTCTAAGTTGGTTGTGCCTGTTGTATCAACTGATTTATTGAAGTTCCAACGAAAATTTTATTTCTTTATTCTGTTACTGAAATTAACGATTTTGACAACTGAATTATAGTATGCGTACGATATGCAATAATGTCGCGATGGGTAATATCTGAAGATCAAAAGTACGCATGTTCAGGGTGGGACAAAAATTACCATGTGCGATCTGATTTGTTGAACTAAATCACAGATCCGGATCCAGATCCAGCCCCTATTGGTAGTTGGCTCAAAGAATAAATGGGAAGATAAGACACAAACCAAAAATGGTACATCAAAAAAATGACCACCCAAAAACATGGCGCTCGTATATTTGTTGAGCCTAGACACCAAGAAGAGGTAATCTGGCAGAGGTCCGTGAACTAAATAAGCGGAGTGATTACGCAATGTCCTTTGTTCAACAGTTTTCTAAATTAAAAGATCTAAGTCTTGGTATAAGAGTCAGCCTGAGAATGGCAATTCGAATTATACAATATACGAATACCATTATGAAATAGCATGGCTATACGTGTCTTAAGAAAAGTTCATACATGTCAGACAATTTACTCTGAACCAAAAAGAACCCCAACATTTTAAAATATCACTTTATGTTATCACATGCATGTGGTTACCAAAGCTTTGTTGCACAACTCAACAAAACCAACGAATTTGCTTCAATGAATTTATTTATACAATTACTGTAGTTAAATCATCACATAATATTATATAATATTGTGCAAGTTTGGGAATAATTTCGAAGTGTGGAAGGTTGGGGAATGGGCATCGTGAGATATCACAGCCTTCTCTCAGTTTCCTTCGTTTTAAAATACAATAATATATAATCTATACAGTCAATATGTAGAATGATATCAAATGTTCAATATGTACCAGGTCGTTCAATAAGTTCATGCAAAATCATTCTCATTTTTTGTTTTTCCATGTTTTTCCTTGAAACTTTCACACAACATAGAAAAAATGTATCCTCATTAACACCCTATGCAGACAGAGCCTGTGGGAAATATTGGGTGTGGCGCAAATGAGCGGAGGGTGCGGAGCTAACGGTCATTTTTGAATTTAAAATTGGGATATTTCTGAAACTAAGCCGTTTTGGGACTTCAAATATACCAAGATATGTGTATTTGACACCAAATATCAATAAAATTGTGAAAATAGTAGTGCAATTCATTTTATAGCGACGCAGTATGCCTTTAACATTTCCCAGACCTATATATTTTGAGACTATCCTTTTAATACTTTGTCCCCAGCATTCATAAAAAATGGTGTTCAAGATACCCTACCCATGCAAGTTATTTTTGCATCTTGGAAGCCAGGCAGTATCTGTGTGATTTTATAAAAATTCGGAAATGTTCTTCAGATATGAGCCCCCTCTAAATATTGGGTGCGGAGGTACGTTTATGGAGCTTCTCCGCACCCAATATTTAGAGGGGGCTCATATCTGAAAAACATTTCCGAATTTTTATAAAATCACACAGATACTGCCTGGCTTCCAAGATGCAAAAATAATTTGTATAGATAGTGTACCTTGAACACCATTTTTTATGAATGCTGCGGACTCAGTATTAAAAGGATACTTTCAAAATATATAGGTCTGGGAAAGGTTTAAGGCACATTGCGCTACTATTTTCACAATTGTATTGATATTTGGTGTCAAATACACATATCTTGGTATATTTGAAGTCCCAAAACGGCTTAGTTTCAGAAATATCCCAAATTTAAATTCAAAAATGACCGTTAGCTCCGCACCCTCCGCTCATTTGCTCCGCACCCAATATTTCCCACAGGCTCTGTCTGCATAGCAAGGAGGATTGGAAGCCAGGGTTCCAACTCGATATTCTTTAATCTCCACGCATGCGTCATTTGCTATTCGTGTCTGTATAATTTGTACGACTGCATGGAGAATGACCCGATACTCTCCAACAAAGCTATCGCTAGGTGATTGTTTTGCAGAATATCGGTGTTGCATTCTGGGAGCCAATCCTCCTTGTCTGCATAGGGTGATTAAAAATTAAAAAATAAATTACTTTATTTTGATAGGTCAAAAGTTATGGTTGCTATGGTAACCCGTGTCACGCGGGGCAATATTTTTCTGTTTGTGAATCCCAAGTCTAAACTTTGGAGAAAGTTATAATTGCAAGCACGTTATTCTTTCATTTTGAATAAAACAGCTATTGTTGCAATGGTAGCAACTAACATATTATATAACATCACAATTACATTTGTAATGTAATGTCATCATAGTTTATTTCTTTAACGTCACCTTAAGCGAGCTCCGCCAGGAGCGAGCTCTACAAAAGAAACGGCCTAAGATTACCCCCTTCTTCAAATTATTTCACCAAGACAATGTCCCATGCCATCGAGCAAATATGGTTCAGGATTCTATCCGGGATACCCTACAGATGGGAGTTTTAGACCAGGGTGCATACTCACCAATGAGGCTGTATTGGACTTGGGGTGTTCAATAGGATGAAAGATGAACTGAGAGGTGTTCGGTATGCTTGCATGACAGAGCTCACTGCAGCTGCCCAGATCTAGAGTGCCTTGTGCACTAAATTCCCTTGTTATTGTATGGCTCAATATGAAGAATGGGTGAAGTACTAGGCACTACAGTCATGTATGCATCCAGTATAAAGGGGAATATTTTGGGCATTCAATGAAGTGACATGTTTGGTAGGAACCTTCAATTTGAAAATACAATGTTTTATAGTGTGTACATGTGCAACTTATAATTCACAAGAGTTTAATTAAAATTGAACTTTTTTCGCGTCATAAATTGCCCCGCGTGACCAAAACACGGGTTACCATAGCAACCCTAACTTTCGACCAAGCAGAACAAAGTAATTTATTTTTTGTTTTTTAATGAGTAGATATATTTTCTATGTTTTTTCCCATTGTATCTATCTATATCTATATTAACTGTGTGATTTAATTTCTAAAGGCGATTGACTCAATTACTACAAAATTATTTCGCAGAGGTGTGTATCAAAAATCGAGTCAGAAGTATTTCCATACAAGGCATTAACATGCAAATGTCCACCTCACATTTGTTACAGATGCCAAACGCCGACCACCGAATACCAAACAGCGTCCACAAAAAGTGGAGACTATAACAATCTCACCACGTCTTGTGGTGTGGACGCAATACACCAAAATAATGAATGTGGTCGCTGATGATGTTACCTATCGCACGTTTTTTTTAAATTTATTTATTGACCTTGCGATAGCAATCAAACATGTATTGTTTAAAGTTTGTCCTTCATCTAAAATAAATCTCAGTTTTTGAATATACCTTGCCTCACGTCGGTGTGAATATATAGACTGAACAATCTGTTACTTGTCTGGCCGTGATGCCAGGTCTTTGTGACCTAAGCAATCACTTATCACGCATTACATTGTCAAAATTATTCTCTTGACTGACAGTTCATTTGCCAAAATCTGATAGATTGTGACAAATATACCAGTTTGTGAATTCCCCATGCGCTTGCATATCTATTTCTATTTATTTAATGAAATCGCTTTTCATACAGCGGAACATGCTAGGGACGGGCGCCGGCCGATCGCCGGCCGCTTAGTCACTGTGACATCGGCCGATTGCCGGGAACTTTTCTCCGATATCTTGCATTTATCGTGAGTTGACTGACATATCGTGCGGTGCCCGCAAACAATTTGATATATGGAAATCGTACGATGATCGTACGATTGCCGTACGGCATCCGTCTGGACATCGGCAGATTTAACTTATATTTTATAATACAGGAATTTGTAATTGCAATTTGATTTGTGAAAAATTTTATATTATATATTTACTTATTAGAATATCAAGTTTTATTCAATTATTAAGCATGTTGTACGAAATCACGGGATGACCGTACGATGACACCGATAGCCGTACGATCGATAATCGTACGATGACCGTACGGGCACCGACAGAGTAGGCTCCGATGAGTTTGATTGAGAGAAAAATCGGTGAGACATCGGCAACTTTCAAGTCCGAGAAAGATTTCTCCCGGCGTCCGTACGATGTCTAAAAATTGACCGATTGTTGCCGATGATCAGTCGGCGCCCGTAAGATGCCCGTACGATGTCCGATCGATTTTGAAAAATACTAATCGGCCAGTGCCCGGCGTACAATGAATCGGAGCTTATGAGCGATCATAACTTACCTCTGGGTTCTTGTCATTCTTGGGGTTACATTTTTTCTGGGTATGGCAATCTATTGGATTATTCGTGTTGCTGCAGGTAAAACACATGTTTGCTGTTGGTAGAACTCCTGCACCTTGTTTATCTTTTTTGCCTTTCCTATCTTTAGCTCCTCGCTTAAACCTTATATCCTCTAATAAATCGTCCATGGCGTTGTCTGAAATGGTACAATTCATTAACATATCACTATTTTAAATCGTAATTTTGGGATGGCGTTTGCCGGGTCCTTTAACTCTTTAAGATCGCTATGGATCAGTGTGTCCTACTCCTAGTGGCAAAATTATTTTAAGTTTTGTTTTGATCATTTTGGATTTACAAAAAGTATTTTCAGCTTAACGTTAAGGTTTTGTAAACTTGCGCTTTTATGTAAACGCGTCAACTTTACCACACTTATACTGTATTTATCGAGATTTACTACAGTCTGTATTCTATGGTATCTTGTTCGTGTTCGTATTCAATGAGCAATTAATTTATTGCAATGCATATCCTAAACAAGAATTGGTCAAATGCATGATAAGACCTGAGACAATCATTTATGTTAGTCTCAGATAAGACACAGTGAAAATGTCGCACTTTTTCTAAAAAAAAATCAAAATGGCCGTCAATCAGATCTTGGCACCAGTTTGCTCTTGCATCCGTAAAAAGTGGAATTTTGATGATTTATGCGGCGCCCACCAGCCTTCCAAGACAGACGCACCCCTGCCCATCAGAGCAAGAGGACCACAATATAGTAGAATTTTCAAAACAGTATAATGAAAATCTTGAAAGTCTTGTAATTGTCTTAGACATTTTTGTCCAAAGAGGGTGGCGTCCAAAGGCATGGGGTATTACATACACAATCTAAAATGTACGATGTATGTCTACTTTGTTTTGTTACGTGTATGAATGTTCAATCATATTTGGTTATTGTTGTAAAGTTAATTAATATGTGTTTACATGTTCAATGTGAAATCCATTTGATTATGTGAATTAAAGCAACAATAAATGTATTTACCAACTATTTCAGCATCAAGTAAAACGCTGGTTGCCGAAGCGAGGACTGTGTAGCAGCACATAAGCCCGCAAAGCAGCGTAAAGAATCGCATCTTGTTTGAGAGAAACAAATCCTAAAATGAAATGAACCTATTATTAAAATATTGTTGGATCTCATAACGCATCAAAGCTAAAAAAGCTATGACATGAGAGGGATGGGGGATGAAATATTCTAAAATTGTGACAATATTCAAAACGCTATTTCTCAACACCTTGCCTATTGTTACGGAATATATATTTGGTCATTCTAAGAAGTACAAGTAAAAGTAATTATAACTTGTTGAGCTTAATGTTACTTACAAATCTGAATGTGAATATTTCAGAGCGCGTTAAATGTTATGGTACCAATTTTTCCATATTGTCTTAAATTTTATATCTCATAACTATAATTAAGTCATTTGTACACGTATTAAAAAAAGATAATATTACCTTCTCAACAAGTACCGATTTCTTTATACCTAGATATTCCAACTTAAATGCTGCATTCGTCCTTTGCGAGTTTTACATGTCTGAGTAAAAAAAATATGGTAACATTTTAATATATTATAATCTCAGTTTGGTATAATTCATCTTTTGACACATTTCTATGTCCAAATATAATCTGTTAAGTCTGGGTTTTTATGTTTGCGAAACTAGACAACAATAAAAATGTGAAAAATGACTTTAAGTCTCTATACAGAAGAGATCGTCTGATATAAACCATGATTTTGAATAGAGTATATAAATGTCATGTCGTACAAATTACAAAACAAAACAAAACAGCTTAAATACATGATTTTAGACATGTAAAATATCAACGAAACTTATGAAAATTTATTGTATAAGGTCCTACCTGTCTCATGGTTCATTTAAAATTCCCTTTGAAAATAGGGGAGTTCTACTTCCATGGGATTAACAAGACAATTCTGCAGCCGACCCCAAAAAAACTTGTCCTCTGCTGACACTGGCATGAGATGACCCAAAAGTATCGAAAAACTATCAATCAAAAAGCATAAAAGTTATGGCATTAGGATTTCTTAAGATGGGATCATTTTACAACATATTTGAAAGGGATTTTGAAATCATTAATGACGTCATGATACTTGTTTGTGAGAAGATACAAAAAAGTGTTATTAATCATAAATGTTGTCATTTTATGTGCGTCATCCGTAATTTGATACAAGATAACTTCATGTTATTTTACACAATTTGAAAAGGTTACTTACATATTAATATGCTCCTCATTTGTAAGATTTATGATGGTAAGTCTTTTGACTCAATCTTGTGACAGATCTTCGCGTATGCCCTCTGAACCCATAATTTTCAAGGTAAACCGCAAGACTGTCAGTTAAGCTGAAAGCCGCACATGTTGTCCCATCTTTGCTAAAAATTGCTGGTGTATCATTGTGTAATTAAAGAATTTCATTTAGAATATCAAATGGAAAATGTCCAAAAAATGTATCTATATAATATCACTTTACCGACACAGTAATGCATCGTATTCCCGTAATACATCTTATGGTCGTATTATCATTTTTACGGTTTTTTAATCATACATCATACATAAATCAATATATTCTAATAAAATCTGAATGGGCTTTTGTATTACAAAAATATCTTTAACAGAACACGTTCAAAAAGTAAGTTCAGTTCAGTTCAGTTCAGTTCAGTGTCTTTATTTCCTCCACATAGGTGAAGATTTAAACATTACATATAATTACAAACATTTTACATTAACAGATTATTTACATTTGTACATATCAATTGCTACATATAGATTTACATTTAGAGTTTTACATTTCTGTTTGTTTGATTACTGTTTTTACCATTAGATCAATGTAATATGCACTATTCAATAGGAACTGTTCAGTTGTACCATCTTGGCAATTGTGAAGTACTTCAGTTGTGCTTCCTAATAACGTTTCTACTATAATATCTTCAGTAGTGTTCAACAATTGAACTGATAGATCAATAGGTAGTATATTAACAATACCATCTAAGAGTTTCTCTCTCAAGTAAATAACTCGGACATGCTGGCAGTGAAGAACAAGATGTGCATCTTTGATCAATGTACCTTCTTTCTGGTTCCCCGTAACTTTTGAATTGTTTATTTTCACTCTCAGAGCAATGTGTGTTTCATCCATTATTTCTCCCACTGAGGTTAGTACGTATACCCATTCGGAGAATATCATTACAATTTATGTACATTACGAGTATGTATAAGATGTTGTATTATAAATGTTTTTATCTTATTTATTTATTTATTCATATATATTTCAACATCAAATGTACAGTAAACGGGTGACACTTCTCGTGTACAAGGTATATTCCCGTGTTTATAATCAAACATTGGGGATCTGCTTGTGTAATGAATAACAAGTAATAAGACAAAGCATACAGTGTATTTGCTCCCCTCCTATACATTTTGGTAGTTGGTACCATAAGTATATATATACATGATGTCCACGCTTCTTTCCCAACCTGGTTTAATTAACATAACATCATAAATTGATGTTGATCAAAAGAGCAAACCATGAAATGTACATAAGTTGTTTAGATAAACGTTAAGGACGTTATAATTCTTTCGTCTAATATCACAGAACTTTTTTGTATTTGTACATTCTTCCTTGTGTAATTGTTCTTTAGGTGTGTTTCCGAAATGTTGCCTTTCGTGAAATATGCTTTTAAAATATGAATGGTATCATATCACATTACTTAAATACAAGAGCATCAATCATTCTCTTGCGTTTGTCATTTTCATCAAAACTGAAAACCTGTCCTTAACTTTATGAAGTTAGTTCAAAACAAAAAAACTTCTTACTTTGAAGAAAACGCAAAAAAGTGATTAAAACTGTCTTTACTTCATAAATGGTTGTGTCAATATTCGAATGATTGATGTGTTTTTGATATGGTCAAAGGAAATTATTTCAAAATACTTAAGAAAAGTAGTCAATTAAATGAGCATGTAATTTACCCCTCAGTCGAGTCAAGCAATTTGGTAGGACCAGTTCATAAAGATGTAATTATATAAGATCAATTAATTATTCTAATTGCTTTGAAATAAAGCGAGTGTATATCTGGTTGCGTTAGAGAAGGTGAAACTGCCTGCTTCCGTGGGACGGTAAGTCAATATGATTTTAAAACACAGTTTCCGTTTTTTAATTCATAGTTTCCATCTGTGCATTCTTGCATTGACTCGCATAACTGTATTATTTAATGGAACTAGTTCACATATAGTTCATTATTTGGTTTGTTAGATTTGAGTACTATGCGATTTTATTATGTCACCACATTGTTGACATACTGTTACATCGATCATTTTTTGTGCTTGGTGTTCTGTGTTCGCCATAGTTGTTCAGTGTCCGTAACAAATTCTTACACTTTTTATTTGCAATTACTAAGGTACTTATATACCCAGATTTACTTGAATTTGCGTCTATAAATACATTTAACATTTTCATAAGTTTCAACATATCATATTGTTTTTATTAACAATATATGTTACCATAGTAACGAACCTAACTTGCGATAATTTTAAAAGTTCGGATTCACTTGAAACTTGAAGATATAGGCATGTTAAATGTTTGGACAAATTATTGGCAGCATCTGTTACCATGGTAACAAAATGGGATAAATTTTAAAACTAGTTGAGTACGACAATTTTTGAATGTAATGCCTCGGTCACATTTGTCTACAGCAACCGTACGGCGGCCTAAGGTTCCCGAAATCGAGAGAAATATGCAGAATAAAATCTGAGGATAAGCAGTGCAAGGTAGATTCTCTCTAGATTTTGTGAAGCTAGGGCCGTCGCCCTAGAGCAAATGCATACTACCCTTACGTATCTAATAGTTATACGCATTAAAATATGTCCAGTAAAAGAAAATATTATCTGCCCAACACAAGAAAAGATATTTCACTTTTTGTGGTTTTACAACATGGGGTCTATGGGGAATCTCCCCGACCCAGACATCAGATTTTCAAAGAAAACTAATTTTTTTCAAAGTTGATGAACTCTTCAAAACCACATTTCTAATTTTACATATTGATTCCAAATATGACATCGGTTAGACTGAATTTTGAACTTTTAATGACGTAAGTCAGGATTATTTCTACTCGCATGCTAGTATATTGCCTAAGTTCTCCTCGGGAAAATGAAGTTGTACAATTAATTTATGAATATCATCTTATCCAGGGGACTTTGCAACATTATTTAACAAATATCGTGTTCTAAACGGTCACTCTGGATCGTCTAAATTAAACGTCTCATTCAAGTTGTCAAATATGCCTTGGGAATTTGTATGATATAAGAACATATTCAATTAAAAACCAGACAGGATGCTCAGTTATGTTCGTTTTTCTTACCGTTTTGTAAACTTGAACGACGAATAAATTACCTCTGACAATGTTCGAGGCACCAAAATACATTTACAACAAATAATCTATGTTAAATGTTGTTTAAAAAAGGGAACAAATTAGTAACTCATTCGTTGCACATGCTAAATTTGACATGGCATAGCTCAATCCTCTCACATCCTTTCGTAAAATAAAAAAATATTTTAGCCAAAAATGCAGCAAATAATGTTTGCAAAAAGTTTGTAAGAATGAGTGGTAAAAAGAAAAAGATAAATATAGGTGCTAAACTGATGAATGGATAGGTAGATGGCAGCACTTGTGCTGGTTGGACTACACGCTAGCATCTACCATAGACACATATTGATTTACCATATTTGTTATTTTGGATTAAAGTAAAACTGCTTTCGCATCAAACTCAATGAGATTCAGATTGTGTTTGAAACTAGATGATCTTCAGATTTTGTGTGAACCTTAAATTCATGACAATCAAAAGAATTCAACATTAAGAAGTCAACATTAAGATTTTTAACATCGCGTCGTCTCAATGAGAATTTAGCCCGACCTTTTTCAGAAAGTTAAAGATCATAGAAAATTGAACATAATCAAAGTTCCTCAGAAGAACATTTAATCTCCTAAAATCACATTAAAACTATATCAGCAATATTTCCAAGCTAAATAGTATAAAAACTTCTGTCACATCATTTGCAACGTTTTCATTATTCGATAGTTCAACCCTATATGAATTATTGATGATTTTAAAGGTGCAAGGAATCTAAATGAATCAGGGAAGCCAGTGATATGTATTTGCCTTATTAATTGTTGACTTATACAATGAAATAGACCTAGATGCAAGTAGAAATAATCTTGCTTTACATCATTAAAAATTCAAAATTCAGTCAAATAAGTGATATCATATTTGAAATCTTCAAGTAGAATTACATTTCTTCATGCAATAAGTTAACCTTTTAGTGAGTAGTTGTGACTAATGTAATCATGTACTTATACAATTTGTCAGTAAAAGTTATTTATCCTATACTTAGTGTTATAGGTAAATAAAATGCATGAATATAATTGATACCTTAGGTGAGTGGGGATATACATGTACTGCATATCCCGCTTTATCCCATACTTGGTCGTGTTTCAGGTACATAAAGCAGGTTTGTAAAAACTTATATTCTCATTCTCATCAGCAGGCAGATATAGCTTTACGTCCTGTTGCGAGCGGGCAGATATAGTATATCTGCCCACTCCGTCATAATCGCCCTCGGGCAGATATATTATATTTGCCTCGGGATAGTCTCAATATCCTGAACCTCATATAGGATAATCTCTATGTATCGCAAGGTTTATCACCCGCTCAGTAATCCCCTGCAGGAATTTCATTCTGTACAATTTCTCATATTTTCGTATTTTAGTATATGATAAATAATTTTGGGTACAAGGTATAACCCTTGGGAAATACAATATTCTGCCATCATTGAATTAGAGGCAATTTTGAAATTACAATATATTAAAAGAGGCTCTGTTGCTTAGTATTCTTTTTATTGGGTGGTATTAAAGTACCCCCATGGTTTTTTGGGGGTAGGGGTATAAATTGGTCTGAGGGCCGTCTGCCACCCCT